TGCTTTGTGGGCGGGGTGGCGTGTTATCGACCCAGGAAAAAAAAAACTCCCACAACTTAGCACACCACATCCAGCATACAACTCGCCGTGTCTGCGGCTACTCGTCACCTATTGTATTATCCGGATTCTAAGACGCAAGATGTTTTTTTTTCCTCGCTTGGATCTTTAAACGAACGTTGCGCGCATTGTATTTATGTGCCATTGTTGAACTTCTTTCGCACCGTGCGTGGCCGACCGTGCTCGTCGGAGGTGCGGGGGAAGGACATCAAACACGTGCAGCCCTGCAATTGCTTGCTCGTGCCAGTGCTGGCAGAAGGGCCTCTACTATTTGGTGTCAGTCATCACAAGCCAAATGTAGGAGGTGGGAGTACCCACACTTTACCCCACCACGTGCCATACCCGTGTATACTGCTGGGATGACTGAGGCGGGGGGGGGGGGAGTCTAAGAAACTCGCCCCCATTGTTGCAACCGCCGCACCAGGAGGTCCAACCGAACCGGTGAACTCTGCATGGTATGTGTGTAGGTTCAACTTCTTTTGCACCGTACGTATTCCAACCCATACTAATCGGAGGTGGGGGGAAAGTCGTCGGCGCGCTGACATTCACACCACGGCAGCGTGCCCGCCGTTCGTGCAGTCCGTGCCGCTTGGACAAAATATGCGGCGTTGCCGCTCGCGAATGTGATGGCCGACGGTCCCCTGCCGCCTGCACCTCTCGCGACGGCGAACGGTTCCGTCGCCGAGTGGCTGAATGAGGGAACGGGAGCGGTCGCCTCGCCGTGTCACGATCAGCTGTCGAGCAGCGGCCGACGGGGAACGTTCGTTGTCGTTATCTCGACGCTCGTAACCGCGGCCGTCCGTGCCAAGGGGCGAATCCGGCCACCCGGGCCTGCGGCGGCTCGTCGCATGTGGGAGCGGGAGCGGCCCGCTGTGGGGGTGAGGGAGGGAGGGAGCGGGGTGGGGGGTGGCAGCGGGCCACGGTTGGAAGATTTAGAGCGTGAGTTGGGTTGGCATCGCTCCCGCGCTAGCGCGAGCGCGTGGTATGACAACCAAACAACAACAAAAAAACCAGCAACAGCGGCGATGTTGTCGCTTGCTCAGCATGGGGCAGGTGATGAATGCTCACCGAGCAGGGCTTTATCTTTTTAAGTCGGAACAGTGCCCGGAATTCTGTATCGGGAATTGTTTTGGCATGCCGCATCCACCTTGCCTTATTTTGTTATCATTGTACATTTTACTCCGAGAAACCTGTTCATGGTATAATAGGAATATAGGGTACAACAATAATTTAGGAGAATTAGGTATAGGCATAAACTCTGTGTTCTAGTGGTCATGCCTTATACCAGTAATCTCCAGCGCCCTGGAAAATATCGAGCGGGGAATTTAATCCCTGCTTATCGGTGCGGCGTCTTACAGCCACTCCCCATCCCTCGGGGGTCTTGGGGAAAACCTCACTTCGGAGGCAGTGTAGCAAGTGGGTTGTTGTCTTAAAACCAAAAAATAAATTTCAGCCCCTTTGCCAATCCCCTCCTGGATGAAGACACCTTTATCTCATGGCAATGCTGAATGCACAATCGTAAACAAATTTGTGGTGGTGGGGAGAGGGTAAGGGAGACATTTCAAAACATAAAAAGCTTGCTTTGCTTTTTGTTGTTTTGATGCAAATGGCACAGTGTCGGCAGAAGGCTTCCTCACACTCGTGACTGCACAAGCGGCCGAGTCACGGTGGTGAACTGAGAGTGCAAACAGGATGGGCGGTAAGCGTCAGCCAAGAACCTCGTGACCGCTGTGACAATGCGGCCCCCCCTCGTGCGGCCCTGTTTTTAGGAACGCGAGCGCGTGGAGAGGAGCGGGCACGCGCTCGTACGCACGCACGCCGTGCTGACCATCGCCTTTGCCCACGAAAGCTGAAGGTCACCCGCTTCGCCCGGAAAATTTACGGTGGCCCGCAGTGCAACGGCAGTCACTTGTTTCAAAAGGACAGGGACCGCGTGAGGACGTGCCACTGCGAGCCCGCTTTTATCGCTCAACCGGCAGAATTTTGAACGTTCGTTGGCCTACCCTTGCGGCCAACATCGACGTGGACATGTGCACATGCCTGATGGAGTCCCCACCATATGGAGGAGGAGGAAGAAGAATAATTAGAAACAAATGCCCCCAGTGCGTTGGCTCAGCCGTCGTCAGAGTACGCTGCCATCAATGGCAACAGCGTTGAATTCAGAGCGTTTGTCCATTTCTAGCTTTCCTCAATCCGAGGGCTGGCCACGAGGTGGGATGCTCCCACGGAGCTCTCTGCCTTTGGGCCGTTCTGGCGAATTGTCCCGCACGGAGCCCCGTCCAAGCAAACTGCATCGTCGATCCAGGATCTTCTGGGCTGGCCGCGGGCCTCATTTTCCTGAAGCCGTGCCTTGCGTTACCACCTTGCGTTACCATCTTCTCCAGGCAGTCTCCTCCGGGTTTCCCCCGCAGGATCTGTCCCGGCGCACGATCATATTACTCTTCTTGATGAACTCAAATTAATTCTTTGTACCCCGTTTGATCAAAGATTGACGCAATTGTCTGGTGGGGCTTGTCTCAGGGGGTTCTTCCTGAGTTTATATAGCAGTGCCTTTCAACTAAGGCCCTTATAAAGTATTTAAATATCCAACCACAATATAGTGATTATATATATATATCGAGACAAACGGGAGACAAAGTCGATGCAATGAAGATGGGCCTCGTTGCTGTGTGACTTGTTAAACAAGTGTGTGTTCTGGCGTGGTTTAAAAATGGACATTCAAAACCGACTCAGTTTATGTTGCTGTTGTGTACATGCGTCACGACGTGATTTTAACAGGCTCGCGCATTGCCGTTAATAAGAACAATTTACATTCAAGGGGCCAATCTTGCCGAGGGGACCCCTTCTGCCAAGGGGGCTTTTTATGGGTGCATCAAGGTTTTTACGTCAGTGCTAAAAATGAAGAGCACGCCACGATGGAAAGAACCCGGAGTGATGGTTTGAAATTTGATGTGATAATCGCAACAACGGCAAAAAGTTAAAAGGATCAACAAGTTTTGTAGCGTGGCCAATTTTAAGTAGGACCAGTGAAAGCAAATCGTCGGTTCAAAATGTTGAGTATTCTTTTTTTACTTGTCTTAATGCGTTTCCTCTTATGCCTGGGTTTGCATCTTTAACCAATTACGTCCCAAGTGCACAGTCAGCATCTGGCCACAGAGATAAACTTTTTGGTTGTTTTCCTGGCAGCCTCGACAAGGGGGAGAGAGCTGTGTGGGGGCACGTTGATCTGCTCACGCGAGGCCTTGCTTTTACTCTTCACGATATATCACCCAAAAATCCTGAAAGGGTCTCTTTGCTCACTGCCTTTGTACCGTGTGCTCTTCAGTGTTTGTAAATATGAATACTAATGTCCTTTATTTGTCTGCGAAAGCCTCGCCTAGTCTGACGTTTTATATAAATAAATACACCGTTTAAAAATTCATTAATTAATGCAAACCGCCACTTCTTTCAAATGTTTCTTGCCGTTGGTTTTTTCACACCTGATAACGACCGTTTGTGTTATGGTCAAAACGTCGTGAGAATTTTTATTGTTTTATATAGATTTTATTATTTTATTGTTTCCCTTCAACGTGACTTTACCGAAAGAGCTAAGAATATGAATTACTGCAGTCACGAAAGCTTTAAATCAAAACGTAATACTATTGATACAAAGTTCTACACAGATGGATTAATTAATGCATTGCTGTGCCAAGTTACGACCGAGCACTACAACCAATGCCGCCCGCTATTCCCAGGTAGTCTCCTATCCAAGTAACCAACCCAGTCTGACGCGATCGGGGGCCGCGTTCAGCATGACCCGGTCATTGGGGCGGTTTTTGCTCCGCTCTTGTCGTACGTGCCCCTTGGAGCGAAAGCCCTGCAAAACTTGGCTCCGATGGGAAGGCCTGGGGTCCAACCGCATGTAATTTTCGTGGCAGGTGTCAGCACAGTGTCAAATTCTCGAGGGCGCTGGCACTGTGCGGGCATAGCTGGCATCGGCCCACTCTTCCATCACGCACCGTAGCGGCCACAGCTGTCGCGCGGGGAGCTAATTTTGGAAAAACCTGTGGCCACCCGGCACCACGGCCAAACGCCGGATAACCAGGCTCTGAAATTATGCTTTCCACTCACGCTCATGCGGCGAGTCCAGGTCAAACGTCTACAAAGAGTTCTTCCTGGGGGGTGTGGTGGGCTGGAGCGGTGGGGCATTGGTTAACGCCCCTCCGCTGCGGTCACATCCGGCGACGGGGATTTCGGTTTGGAATCTCCGCCACTGGAATGTCAGTGGCGAGTGATATTTGAGCCGGCCCTGGGCACATTCCCACCCACCTGCCCGCCCGCCCGCTTCCCCGTCACTAAGTTCCATCTCCTCTGACCAGCGAAGTGAAGTATGACCGATGTGGCTAGATGTTAGCGACCTCTTCTGGCATGCAGGTGGTTGTGGGTTCGATCCCGACCCATATTTGGAGTTTGCATGTTCTCCCCGTGGGCGTGTGGATTTTTCTCCGGCTCCTCTGGTTTTTCCCTCCACTTTTAGAATCAACGGCCGTTTAAGTATTTGGCTGCTATCTATTTTCACGTGATAAGCCACTTCATTGAGCTATCATTTGTGGCCAGGTTGCTTCTGAAAAAGAGCCACATAGCTCAGTGGGCCTTACCTGGTAAAATAAAATTTTAAAAATAATTTCATTTAACCTCCCCACGACAGACAGTGTTGACATGGGGAGGCCTTCATCCAGCAGTGGATTGGCAAAAGTGCTGTAAACTGAACTTGAATCTATTTCATTTGGATGAGAGGTTATTGAAACTACAAGTCTTTTTTTTTTTCAAAACTAGGGCTGCCCAATATTTGACTGACTGGACCCTCGCTTGGTTTTAAACGAATGTTTACTGATATAACCATTCGGCATGTAATGAACGCATGCCGCCCCTCTCCACCCCACCCCTACCGTGCGTGCCTGCAGGGCATGGAGAAGCCCTTCTCGGAGGTGATCAAGGCCAATATTGGTGACGCGCACGCCATGGGCCAGCGGCCAATCACCTTCCTGCGCCAGGTGAGCTCGCGGTGTGCATGCAGACAGAGCTGTCGCTGGTGATGATGATGGTCATGTTGGTGGTGCTGGTGTCTGTGGTGATGATGGTGGTGGCGGTGGTGTTGCTTGTGATGGTGGTGAAGTTGCTGGTGGTGTTGATATTGCTGGTGTCGTTTGCGACGGTATCGGCGTTGATGGAGTTGGTGGAGCTGGTGGTGATGCTATCGATGGAGTTGTTGAAAGCATTGTTGTTGATGGAGCACTGGACAGTGGTGGTGGTACTGATGTATAACTGCTGGTCATGATAATGGAGCCACTGCTGCTGGTGCTGATGGAGCTGGTGAAATTGGTGCCTAGTGGTGGTGATGATAGAGATGGTGGTTGCGTTGAAGTGATCTGTGATAGCGCTGTTGGTGACATTGATATAGCTGGTGGTGGTGGTCTTTATGGAGCTGCTCGTCATTATGATGATGGAGCAGTTATATTGAAGGGCTGGTGGTGGTCTTTATGTAGCTGCTGCTCGTGATCTTGATGAAGCTGCTGATGCTGCTGTTTTTGATGTTGATGCTGGGTCGACTCAGCCTCAAATGAGTACCTGGTGTGGTATCTAAACATTGCCACTAGGGAGACAAAGGCGGTCGGGCGTGGTGCTGGCCACCCACCCCCTCGTGTACCATTCCGGCCTTCATAGGTGCTCGCTAACAGCACTTGCCCCTACAGTCTGTTAAGGCTATACGGGGGATCTTTGTCTTTTGTGCGTGCAGGTGCTGGCGCTGTGCGCCTGCCCTGAGCTGCTGGAGCGCGACGGCTTCCCCGAGGACGCCAAGCAACGCGCACAGCGCATCCTGCAGAACTGCGGCGGCGTCAGCATCGGTGAGTGAGCGAGCATGGCCAGACGTGCGTACGTACACGCATGCACACGTACACACGTACACACGTACATGTACGCACACACACGCGTACGCACACACACGTGCACACATACATACAAATGTACACACCCACACGGGCGATAGGGCAGCAGGGTGGCGCAGTGGTAAAACCTGTGCCCCACAGTAAGAAGGATCTGGGTTCGATTCCTGACTCGGGCGCCTTTTGGCATCCTCTGGTCTAACACTGTTGGAAACTTGGCTCTAAAGAAAGCTGTCTCTGGTGTGGACCAATCAGTTTCAAAGGCAATGCATCATCATATACTGCCGGAGCATGTTTTTTAGTTGCATGTTCACCACAAGTATCTGTGGTTAATGCAGTGACACGATTCCTTGCAATAAGGTTTCTGTTTGGTGTTTTAACATCTTAACACCTCCTGTTTTATTGCCAGAAAGGGTAAAACCTATTCTTTGTACGTATGTATGTTGAACTTCTTTCGCACAGTACCTAGCCCAACCGTGCTGATCGGAGGTGTGCGTGGGGGAAGGGCAACAAACTAAATAAATGAAAAGTTCTAAAGAAAATAGTTTTAAATTTCCAGTGTAGCTGCGGGTCGGGTGAAGCACAGTCGTAGGCCTCATCTGGCGCGTCGGGCCGCAGTTTTTCCCCTCCAACGCTGTCTGATTGAAGCACGCAGCACAAGAAGACAAATGAAACACACGTGCTCCAGCTGTGTTCAAAGCTATCAAACGAAACATTTCAGCTTATTGAAAAAAAAATATATATAGCCATGGTCACGAGGTTCATCTTGTTCAATAGAGCGTGTGGGGTGGGGGGGGTGTCACGGTGACATCTCTTGAGTGCCGTAATAATGCAATTGGCCAGAGCGGTAAAGTTTTGTTCGTCACGCTTCCTCTTTCGTACGGCGTGTTGCGGAGATGATGAGCGATCGATTTTTGGAACGGCAACGAGACGAGTTATAAATGGATGTCTGTGATCCCTTGCCATTTCAGCTGTACTGACTGTACGCCGACGAATGGCTGTGATGCCGTCGCACAATGGTTTTGATGGACAGCAGTTGACCACGTGTGTGTTTCAGTAACGAAGCTTCGCAGTTGTGATTTAGTTCTCCAGAAACACAACCGAGATGTACTGGGCTTGCAATGATTCAGGAGCGAGATTCGCTTGAAGAATCGATTATTTTTGTGGTGTTCTGGCCTTGATGGGTGCTCGCTAACAGCACGTGCCCAACGGTCCGGTCAAGGCTACACAGGGGATCTTTGTCTTTTCCTGCAGGCTCGTACAGCGCCAGCCAGGGCATCGCCTGCGTGCGGGAGGACGTGGCGCGCTTCCTGGAACGCCGCGATGGCATCGCCGCTAACGCAGACGACATTTACCTGTGCACGGGCGCCAGCGAGGGTGTCGTGGTAACGACCGCGCGGGCACGGGGTGGCACGCCAACCGGGCACGCTCCTGTAACGTTCCCATTCTGCTGCAATGTGCACTAAAGCACTTCCGATTAGCACGGTTGGCTACATACGGCGCGAAAGAAGTTCAAACTGCATACGTACATGCCTACTTTATGGAGGGCGATATTGGCACAAGTAAACATCTCAAAGCGTCCAGGACAAAGGGGCGTTTGAGATAATACCTCAGTCGGGAAGGATTCATCCTGGCCCGGCCGCGGACCCCCCCCCCCCCCCGCCACCGCCGGACGGGAGTGGCACGTGGCCTGTGATCCAGCGCTGTGCAGACAGTGCGGGTCGGTGGATCACTGCACAAATGCTGCGAAACTCTCATCCCGTTGGCTTCGAGGTGTCACACCCTGACTTGCCGTGAGAAGGCGGGACAGCAAAAATTTGGAACTCCAGCCGTTCTCTCTACATGGGATACAGTGTTTCCCCCCCTCGCATGCCCTCCGGTGTCCTCCCACATGTAAACCGTCATAACACCACAATATATAGAGGAGCGCAGAGCTTGGGCAATTGCTGTCGCCAGCTCACGGCGTGACTGCCTTCCTGTGACCCTCTTGAGTCGTTCTCATGTCTATAAGCGCGAGCGAATACTGTGCGGCACGTTACAAGTTTAAATTATTATTCTTGTTGCAGGTTTGCCTCGCTTTACGCGGTAGATGTGTTCCAAAAGAAGGGCGTACAAAGCGAAATTGCGTGGCGTGCAACGCGCAGTCACCCAACCCACAATGCACTGCACGAGGAGACGACTGCCTGTCGTGCAGTGCACACAGTACACACACATGTTGTCCCACGTCCGACTGCGAGTGAATTCAAACTGCATAGTGTAGTGAATTCTGGTTAGCGATAGGTTAGCTGCATAAAACCGTACCCGCATCAAGCGAGGGAAGCTTGTAATGGGCGCCACGGTGGCGAGATGTAAACTACCTTGTACACAGGAGGTCGTGGGTTTGATCCTGACCCCGACGCCTGTGATATACGGAGTTTGCATGTTCTCCCCGCGGTCGTGTGGATTTTCACCGGGTCCTCCGGTTTTTCCCTCCACATTTAGAAACGCGCATTTAAGAGTATTTGGCTGCTATACATTTCCACACGACAAGCCACTTTGTTGAGCTATCGTTTGTGGCCAAGTTGCTTCTAAAAAAGAGCTTCAAAGCTCCGTTGGCCTTACCTGCTAAAATAAATAAAAATGTTTGCACGTTTTGCCAAAGCTACATGTGCAGACTTGATTCCTCGCAAAAAGGTATCTTACTTGGTGTTTGAACACCTTAAACACCTGTTTTATTGCCAGAAAGGGTAAAACATTCCTATTTTTTCACAACATAAAAAAAAGTTTCGTAGTAAAAATAACGAATGGACCGCAGACGAATCGTCTTCTCCACCGATCGCCGCAGCCTCTCTCACTCTCCGTCCGTTCTCCCCCCCCCCCGCCGCTCGCTCGCCCCCCTCCGGCATCGAAGACGCTGCTCAAGCTGCTGGTGTCGAACGGCGGGCGCGTCCGGAGCGGCGTGCTCATCCCCATCCCGCAGTACCCGCTCTACTCGGCAGCGCTGTCCGAGCTGGGCGCCGAGCAGCTGGGCTACGAGCTGGACGAGGGACGCGGCTGGGCGCTCGACGTGCGCGAGCTGCGTCGGGTCCTGGGGCGGGCGCGCCGCAGCTGCGAGCCGCGGGCCCTGTGCGTCATCAACCCCGGCAACCCCACGGGTACGTGCGTGTGTACGCGCGTGTACGCGCGTGTGCACCGTGGCACCGGCCTTGTATTTATATAAAAACTCTCAACTTTTTATTTACCAGGTAAGGCCCACTGAGCTGCGTAGCTCTTTCAGAAGCGACCCGGCCACAAATGATAGCTCAACTACAGTAAGTGTCCCATCACGTGGAAAATTTATGGCGGCCAAATACTCTAAACGCACGTTGATTCTGAATGTGGAGGGAGAATCCGGAGGACCCATTGAAAAATTAACGCGACCACGGGGAGAACATGCAAACTACAAATATTACAGGTGTCAGGATCAGGATCGAACCCACGACCTCCTGTATACCAGGCGAGGTAGTTAACATCTCACCACCATGGTATGTGTGTGTGTTGGACTACTTTCACACCATACGTAGCCCAACCTTGCTAATCGTAGGTGCGGGGGGAAGGATAACAAACTAAAACGCACAAAGCAGTTGTAAAGAAATGAGTTTTCAATATAGATTTTAAAGTGCAGAGCTCCAGTGTCTCCCTAATATTGGAAGGAAGAACGTTCCAGACGGCCGCAGAAGCGCATCTGAAAGCACGCGATGCGGTAACCGTCTTTGTTCGATGGCCAGCCATAGGCACTCGCCACAAAGTGCTTGCCCCAAAAGTCTGTTAAGGCCTGTACGGGGGATCGTTGTCTTTGCTGTGGGGGAGCGGTAGTGTAGCGGATAGCGCAGGAATTGGGAGTGGTCTCCACGAGTCGTGGCCAACGAGGGGAAGATCGAACAGCAGATGGTCGTGTCGGATCTCGCAGTTCGCGTGTCGACTGTGCAGCGGCCGTGATATCTGCCAGAGGGGAGAGAGCGTTGGTGAGGTGCGGTGACGACTTTGGCCACGATGACGTCTTCATCCTCGCAGCGCTCGTCCGGCAGTCCGTGCCAAAGTGAGTATCTCTGGACCGCCGTGCTAAACCTCCAATTAGCACGGTTGGTTACGTCTGGTGCGTAAGAAGTTCAACGTACATTACATACATACATGTTGCGCTCTTTCCCTGGCAGGACAAGTGCAGGACCGGCATAGCATCGAAGAGGTGATTGAATTCGCTGCTGAAGAGGGTCTCTTCATCATCGCGGACGAGGTGAGAGTTTAATTTACTCCTCCCATGGCCGGTTTGTGCTGGGTTTCTCTGTGTTCACTCTTTGATGAACCCGGTGAGTCTGGCCTGTGATACACCACACTCTCTCTCTGTGTCTGCAACCGAGACGGCTGAACAACTCACCCGCCCAAACCCTTCTAAGGCCAGGCTCAAATGACGCGCTGAAAACGAGACTGAAATTCAAACCTTGGCCCTGATTCATGACGATTCATATTGAATGCCAGAGGTGTGTGACAGTTACATGCCTACAACCTAAACGCAAATGTTGCATTGACGCTCACGGAATACGCGAGGAAGACCAATGCCAGACAGGTGACTCAAAGTTGACAAGAACAAAAAGAGATCGATTCATGAATCCAATTCTGACTGTACGTGTGCAGTCCTCTTGTCAGTCCACAACTCCAACCACGCTGGTCAGTACGGCTCAATGAAAGCGGGGAGCACAGAAGTGCAGTCGGGCAACCGATCCCGCCGCAGTTCCCTCCGCCGTCCCACCGCGCGTAGCTCCGCAGCGGCGGCCTGCGGGTGGCCACACACCCAACCCAGCTGAGCTTCCCAGGGTCTGACGAGATCGGGCGGCCTCGCTGGCGATTCGGTCACCCCGGATCGCGGGAGCGAATCGCCACGCTCCCAACCGCCGTAGGTCTCTTCCCCCTACCCGCGCAACAAACCCCAACCCGGTGTGCTCCCTAGGTGTACCAGGACAACGTGTACGCCCCCGGCTGCCAGTTCCACTCCTTCAAGAAGGTCCTGCACGACATGGGGCCCGAGTACGAGCAGACGGTGCAGCTCGCGTCGCTGCACTCCACCTCCAAGGGCTTCCTTGGCGAGTAAGTGAGCGGCGCGGGCGGCACGGGCGGTACGGGGCGATTACGTTTGCCAGGCGGGCCGTGCTGCTGTTAATGTAAACGCCCTCTGCTGTTCGTGTGCGCGTGTCTCCGTGCAGCCATCACATTTGGTCACGTTTTTGCTTTCGAGAATTTAACGAAGCCCAAGGTTTATTTTGTGAAAGCCTTGCCGGCGCCGGTGGCTACGGAGAACATTTACGATGGATGATCTGAGCTTAAGCATGCTGCCGGCTACGTTAAAACAGTCTTCAGTTGTTTTTCTTACAATGATGTTGCAAGATGAACCCGCTTGGGTTGATTCCGGGTCAATTCCCTTTTTTTTCCTTCCCATTTTCAATCTTGTGGGAGGAAACCAATGGCAACAAAAAGGGGGAACTCTGAATAACGGAACTGATAATCTAGTAGAGTAATAGATTATGCAAATAATGGGATAGGCCAGCTCTAGTTGTTTTCATGGTGTAGGTAAAACACCTTTACACCACACACAGGTGTGTGTGTGTGCACTTCTATTACACAGTGTACAGGTACAGCACTCACAGGTGTGACGCACGTATACACCATGCACAGGTGACAGACACGTGCACGCACCGCTCACAGGTGACACGCGCGTGTATACGCGCCGCGTGCGTGCGTAGGTGCGGCCAGCGCGGAGGCTACATGGAGGTGCTGAACCTGCCGGCGGGCGTGAAGGCCGAGCTTGTGAAGCTGGTGTCGGTACGTCTGTGCCCGCCCGTGCTGGGCCAGGCCACCGTGGACGTGCTGGCGAACCCGCCGGAGCTCGGCGAGCCCTCCCACAGCCTCTACGTGCAGGTAGCGAGGCGTCGGGGTAGCGAATCGCGCGTGATGCCGCACGATCCCGTCGGGTCTCGGAAGCCGAGCAGGGTTTCGCCCGGACGGTGCTCGGGCGGTGAGACAGTCACCGTGCACAATAGGGGGCCCCGTAGCGATGGGGCTGCTGCGGGGCTAACGTGGTGGTCGGCAGAGGGGCGGCGCGGCAGAAGGCCGTTGTTGCGCCGCGTCTGTGCACCCCACCTTGACCGACCCGCGCTGACCAGCATGGTGAAGTATCGTCGGGTCAACCCCCCCCGCCCACCCACGCCCCGCGCAGGCGTGGGTGGGCTGTCATGTCATTGAGAAGCGGATAGCGCCACGCCGCCGCCGTCGTCGTGAATGTGCGGTGTTTTTTGAGTGGTTGGGAGGGAACGAGCGGGCGGCCGCGATGCTCGAGGCGCCGGGGGCGGCGGTGGGCATCGTCGTCGCCATCGCGGTGACGTCACCTCCACGCGTTCCCCGCAGGAGCGCGACTCGGTGCTGCGCTCGCTCGCGCGCAAGGCGCTGCTCACGGCTCAGCTGCTCAACGGCACGGAGGGGATCGCGTGCAACCCCGTGCAGGGAGCCATGTACGCCTTCCCGCGCGTGCACATCCCACCGCGAGCTGTGGCCGAGGCGCAGGTGAGCACCAGCCGCTCCACGTCGCTTCCACAGATCGCCCGGTCGGTTACGCGCGGCTTGAGAGAAGTTTGACGCACGCACGAACGCACGAACGAACGCACGTCCACGTCAAGCTACCCCACGCCACCCGCTTCGCCGTCCGGGCTTCGCACAGAGGTGTCCTGGGTGGTTCGAAGGTCGGGGAGTGTTGAGCTGCCATCCGTTGAGTTCCTGGGTTCGGCTTCAAGCGGTCGCCCGCGATACATGCTGCCAATGGGTGAACGGGTACGGGTAGGCATGCAACGGACTCATCCTTTGAACGCGATTGTTGTGCAATATTCACGAGCGGGATCCCGTGTAACTCATTCTCTCTGCGATATTGACGCCTTCGTGTTTCTGTTGTTGCTGTGGTCACGCGCCCACAAATGTCCCGTGCAAAATATCCGGGAAACTGGCTAAACGGGACCATCCGTGCAATAAAAATGAACTCAACATAGCGTGTAGGAAACAATTAATTATAATTCATGTAAATGATGTGAAAATTGAGTGCAGCGGCGGTGTAATCGTACACGCAGTGCTCTATGAACCCGTCAACCAGACTTTGATGCCCGGCCACCGTCAATATCAGTGGCGAGTGATGATCTGTTCCAATCCTGGCTCACCTCTTCACCAGCCAAGATTGACCGGCGTAGTGAAGTATGGTCACGTAACCCGTCTCAACGACATGGTGTGGGGGGAGGCGTTTATCCAGCAGTGCATGGACGACGAGTTGCAAATAACGGTGAAAAAGGTGTTTTGACCTGACGTTTTGGACAATGAACCTTCTTCAGAGAGAAGGCAACATGATTGGCCGACTTTTATTTGAAGATCACACGTCACCCGGTGGGACGCTCAGAAAACTGGGACGCCGCAAAGAATTTGCACAATTTGAATTTCCATCTGAACAGATTTCATTCGTAGACGACGATTGAGTATCGAGCTCATTGGCACGTTTTGCTTACGTGACAAACCTTACTAATTGCCTGTGTCGGGTGGTGGCGGCGGGTTTAACGACACATTGATATTTCCGCGATCTAACCTAAAAAAAAAACCTCGTTGTGATGAATGTGCTATGTTACTAGAAATCTGCGTCGTGTGTCATGTAGCCGTGACCTTCGACCCTCACCCCCCACCCCCCGCAGGCACGAGGCCTCCTCCCCGACATGTTCTACTGCCTGCAGCTGCTGGAAGAGACTGGGATCTGCGTGGTGCCGGGCAGCGGCTTTGGCCAGAAGGACGGCACCCACCACTTCCGGTGGGTCCACTGCTCCGTTGCCACGGCGTCGTCTCCCGGGCAGGCGATTGGCTGTTGCAGTGAGAGAGCGGTTGACGTTCGTGGGGGGAGAGGGTTGCCGATCTCACCAAGACTCCCCAAAATTGCCTTGAATTACGATCCGTTCTCTGTTATTTCGGACCAACTACGACCGTATGGTGTTGACACGTGACAAGGTTTTGAGAGCGTTTTCTAATACCAGGCCACAGGGTACCTATTTTTAGAGATTTTTCAGATGTGTGTAAGCTGCAACGACTAGATTGGCATTTGAATAGATCAGTGCGCCCTTCACCAATCTGCACTGACCGGCGTGGTGAAGTGTCGTCGGACAACACCCCGATGACTGGCACACAATCGCCAGGCCTTCTCCTGGCAGTTCGATCAACAAAGAGCCGCGCGTTAACATGCAGATGAATGACCACGCGTGCGTGCTTTTACCGTTCATCCTCTCGCGTGCAGCATGACCATCCTGCCGCCCGAGGAGAAGCTGAAAATTCTCCTGACCAAGGTGACCGAGTTCCACGCGAGGTTCACCGAGCTCTACGCCTGATCGCCCCTCTTCCCACCCCGCCTCCCCCCCCCTCCTCCCCCGTCACCCACCACACGGCGTGACGACGCTCTGCCCCACCGCGACCCACCTCGTCGGATCTCATCGCTCCTCCGTCTCGGCACAAAAGAAACTGGCTGCTCCCGGGATCTCTCGAAGACCGTCTTGCCGGATTGGGGACTAGGAAGGTGGACTCAATAACATCCGGAAGCGCCACCTTGACCCCGGCCTGCGCTTGCCTTCTGAAATGAACTCCTGGCCGTGTCGGCTGAACGGCCGCTGCGGTTGAGATTGCCGGACGAGCCGATGGAGCCGGCTTGCGTTCGCCGCGTCACCTCTTTGTGTACTCGTGGGCGGTGACGCGCGGTGTGTGGGTCGGCTCGATGGCTTACGCGTCACACGCGCGCACGCGCGCCAACGCTGTCCGTGCGTTGGCGCGCGTGCGCACAAGGGGAAAGCGAACCTATCGCCAATGAATGTAGCGACAGCAACAACAATAGCAACCACCACGTGCTGCTAAGCGGCGGTGCAGTCGCACGGCGCTTGTGCCAGGTGCCTTGCACCGGTTACAAAGTCTTATCTAGCGCGTAGGCAAAAGCACACACAGAGACGCGCGCGCACGGACGCAGTCGGCCTCACGCTGTCCCTCCCAACGAGCAAGTCCCACGTGGCATCGACACTTCTCTCTGTCCTGCTGTAGAATCCCCCGCCAAACGCGGCTGTGTTGATGTCAGGAGGCCTCTACCACACCCACCACCCTTTGACTAAAGTTCGGAATAACAGAACAGGGGTGGTGGGATGCCCGGAACAGCGTGCGTGCACGCGAACGCGCGCCCCCCGCGGCACGGTGGCTGCTACACGCGACGGCGCGCGCGTTTATGCCCGCACGCGCGCGTGCGGTTACGTAAACGACGATGCCATTAACGCGCATACGTTTAGTCGGGAGCACGTTCGGGCCCGCCCGCGTGACACGTGCGGGCGCGGTCGACGTTCGGTCTCCCGCGGGCGCGGGTTCCTCCCGCTCTTGTGATTTCAGCAGCCAGAATTCGCCACTGCTCGAAGAAACGGCTGGAAGGCATCGTCGCCCAGGGGGTGATTTGTCCCATTCGGGGCCGTGGCGAAGTTTGCCGCGTTGTCGTCGAAAATCGGACAGGCCGAGCAACGTTCAGGCTATACAGATAAATCGAGCCCTGTTGTGGTCACGTGTTCGCTAGACGTAACGGGGACCGGTCGAAAAGATTTTGAGAAGGAGACGGGAACGGAGTATCGCACAGAGCTAATGTGAGGCGTTTCGCGATATCCGTGTCAGTGTTTTGCAAGCTAATGCTGTTGTTTGAATTGGTTGAAAGCACTGCAGAGCCGAGGTGCCATGGTGAGAGCGTTTAGTTTACCAACTTGCTCTTTGGCTAACCCTCTCATACTTAACACTTAACGAAGCTTAGTCACGTGCGTTGTATTGCAGAACTTAACTCGTAGCATTGTTGCCGCTGCGAAAACCGTGCACGGATCGGGTAGAATTATTTTTTTAAAGGGATTTTGATTTCTCTAGTGGAGATGATGGTTACAGTGATTTTTTAACTTGACTGTCCCCACCGCGTGCGGGTCTTCTAAACCGAGTACTCGTTTTGGTGCAGTTTTGAGGCTGTATGGTGGCAACCCCGGAGACAGTTTTGAATAACCGGACTCTCGACTGTAGCTGGCCAAAGACGTCTGGATTTTATTTTCTCCTTGTACCTCCTTTCCACTGCGCAACTGAGCCACGCTGGGGCCACGCGGAGGCAGCCCGGCTCGGCTCAACGTTGTTTTTCCACTGCAGATGCCGAGCAGTGCCACTCGCGTACCGCACACGCAAAGAACGAGTCGAGACGCATTCAGGTGGACGCGGTGATGCTGAGCTTAACCCTTTCCCATTCCGATGATGTATGTGTACTTCATAGAAACGGAATTGGAAGAAAAAATAAACGAACTATCGGTACCGAGGCTTCCACAAGGCCATGCGGGGAGGACGTGTGGCACAGTTTCGTGCCTGCTATCATATGGTGTGGTCGTGTCGCTACGGTTCTCCACAGTGAGTACTTTAAAAGCGACGGCGCTATGCCCCTCTTAAGTAAAATTAACGCCGAGCCGCTTGCCTGTTCCAAGAATCAGCGGAGGACGGCACGGCAAATAGCCAGTGGAAAACCACTCGCACCGCGAGGGCCCCGCCCTGGCTCGGCTCGGATGTGCCAGTGGATAAGCGAGCATTGGTGACAGAAAACATTTCCTGTTTTTGCAACGATTACTTTAGCGTACGTTTTACGCCGATGACAACGAACCTGTGCTTGCACGAGCGCGTGCCAGCGAGCCGCGACATACAGCTGCAGCGCTGCGCTTGGCGACCAAGACGGACCGTTGCCTCTGTGGCCTTATTCACGCGTGAGACTGTTAGGTCCGACTTGTTTTATTCCCATATTAGAGGTTTTTATGGGTTAGATCGCGTAAATATATAAATGTGTTGTTAAAACCCGCCACAGCCAACTAGTAAGGGTTGTCACGTAAACGGAACGTGGCCAATTCGTCACTAGCACAGCACACCGGTGTGTGTTGGAGAGCCAAGCCACGACATTTACTCAGTTTGTAAATGGTGTGGCTTGGCTTCTCCATGTTCTGTTTACGTGACGGGTGGTGGTGGGCTTTAACGACACATTTATATATTTACGGCGATCTAACCCAAAAAACCTCTCTCGTGGATGACATTGGTCGCGAAAGCCTCCCGCGTGTTAAAATGTTTTATTTGGCGCCCCTCTTGAGTAGCGCACACCGCGTGACAGCGTGAAATTCTCGCGTCTCCAATATCCACGGCTCCTTGGTGGCATGACGACACGGGCATAGCCTGGGATGAGCTACAAATGAGGCGACCTCCCGATCACATTTTCCAAACCATCCTAATCATACACACGAGGTGTAAATGTCAAGGTAATCGTCTGTAGTTTTAGAAAGCACGGCATATTTAGGGAATAAGTCGGTGGTTTGCCACGTACATGGCAACTGAATGTGCCATCACATTCCCAGCGTGGGTGAAGAACGCAGTTCGTCCGAGTAACCTCCGACACCACCGTGGTGTTTTTATGAGCATTTTACCCCCTATCAGGGTGGGTGGACGAGTTACTTATACCTCAATTGCCTACGTGATTGGTTGACGCTATTGCCAAGGCGAAAGAAACTTGACGGCGAGACTTGCGTCTGCGCTCCGCTTGTGCTAAACCGTCTCGAAATGCCCCTCCGAAGTGGTGGAGCTGCCCCTCTGCTGCGGCCACCGAGGTCTGCCCTCTTTAGCACAGGAACAACAGTTGGCCATTTAGCACAGGAACAACAGTTGGCCATTTAGCACAGGAACGACAGTTGGCCATTTAGCACAGGAACAAGTTGGCCATTTAGCACAGGAACAACAGTTGGCCATTTAGCACAGGAACAACAGTTGGCCATTTAGCACAGGAACAACAGTTGGCCATTTAGCACAGGAACAACAGTTGGCCATTTAGCACAGGAACAACAGTTGGCCATTTAGCACAGGAACGACAGTTGGCCATTTAGCACAGGAACAACAGTTGGCCATTTAGCACAGCAACAACAGTTGGCCATTTAGCACAGGAACAACAGTTGGCCATTTAGCACAGGAACGACAGTGGGCCATTTAGCACAGGAACGACAGTTGGCCATTTAGCACAGGAACGACAGTTGGCCATTTTGCACAGGAACAACAGTTGGCCATTTAGCACAGGAACAACAGTTGGCCATTTAGCACAGGAACGACAGTTGGCCATTTAGCACAGGAACAACAGTTGGCCATTTAGCACAGGAACAACAGTTGGCCATTTAGCACAGGAACGACAGTTGGCCATTTAGCACAGGAACAACAGTTGGCCATTTAGCACAGGAACAACAGTTGGCCATTTAGCACAGGAACGACAGTTGGCCATTTAGCACAGGAACGGCGGTTGGCCATTTAGCACAGGAACAACAGTTGGCCATTTAGCACAGGCACAACAGTTGGCCATTTAGCACAGGAACGACAGTTGGCCATTTAGCACAGGAACAACAGTTGGCCATTTAGCACAGGAACAACAGTGTAATGTAAGCACACGTTGCTTATTTTAGAACCGTGCTTATATGAGGTATGCTTATATCCAGGCTTCTACTTTGTTGGCTAACATTTTGAGCAACGATTCTTGCTCGTAAAGCGCAATGTTGGTCTGTTTTTTTTTGCTTGTTATCAGGCGGCGGTTCATGATAAACGTCATTTTTAACCTTGATCATTTTTTTTTTTAAACTACCTTTCTGTTGCTCACTCCCCAAGGAAGAATGACGTCCATTTTTGCGACACGGTTGCTACGTGAAACGCAACAATCTCTTTGCCGGTGTATGTATTTTATTTTTTTGAAATCGATGAAATTTGATTGTTTTTCTTGACCAACGCAAAGTGTTAATCAACGTCCTGCGGCAACCGCTTACGCACACAGCGATACACTCGGTGGACCCGGCGGTGTTTTATTTAATTTTAATCGACCATAATAATTTTACAAAAACATCACGTTGTTGTGAGGCTGGGTGTGCAGTTACTGGGAATGTAACAATTGATCGATTAAAATTGATTCTCACGCTCAAGATACGTGCGTCGAACCATTGCGTTTGGGGGTCGATTAAACGGCGTGTACATTATGTGCAGATTTGGTGGAGTGGTTGCGCGTTGGTGCTGCGCACCGCTTTGTAAACTCGGCAACCGGAGGTTTGATTTCCCAGCCACGGCTAATATATCCGTGGTGATCGATATCTGAACCGGTCATACGCGCCTCCTCCATCAACCCGCACGATCCAGCATGGTGAGGCCCGGTCGTACGACCAACATGACCGGCACGGCATGGGGAGGCCTTCATCCAGAATTCTATTGGCAAAGGACTGAATTGTGTTTGACATGTTAAAATCATGTGTTGTCATGGAGGATCACGGGTAACATAATTAACCATAGAAAAGTCAGTGGACTGCTCTCGCCAGTAACATCTGGTAACAGCAGTATTTATTTAACAGGCCTGATTTTGCCGATGAGACTCCCAAGTCAAAACTGGCTCAGTGTTTGCCTTCTTAATGAAATGCTGCTGTTAGCCATTGATTCGTGTAAGCTGTAGGCAGATGGACTGAAAAAAGTGACCAAATGTTTACGTCGCAAAATACTTTTTAATGTTTATTTATCCATTGATGTTGTGTTATTGCCCCTTTAGGCTAATCGAATTAACAATGCCGAACGAGATGGGAGATACCAGTTGGATACAAATCGGACGGTACAAATAAGGCAAGACTAATCGTCGATTCTCGATTCTGATTATGGCTCTGAATTGTGATCATTCAGCAAACTGCTGTGTGGGCATGCGGTGTTGAATTGGTACATTCCTGACGGTTGCACAGTTTTACCGCGGTTCTTTGTGGTGTTTTGGCGATTGTGGAATTGCCCGGTGTTGTACTCGTAATGGAGTAACATCGAGCCTCATGGACAGGCGTCAACTCCACGGCCGTGTGGGCGCGTGTTTGTTTTTGCCCTGCACGAGTGTGCGACTTCGATCCCAGCTCACGGCCAACACCAGTGACGATTATCTGAACCGGTCCTGGGCCTCCCCTAGGTCGACTGAGCCTCAAATTAGTACCGGGTGCGGTGCGTAAACATCGCCACTGGGGAGACAAAGTGGTCGGGCGTGGTGCTGGCTGCCCACCCCCTCGCGTACCGTGCCGGCCTTCATAGGTGCTCGCTAACAGCACTTGCCCCAACAGCCTGTGAAAGGCTATACGGGGTGGGGGGGACTCTTTATCTTTGCAGTGATGTAGCGAAGTTGGACATTTCCCCTCTTCGTAGCCTGGCACACCCAGCGCCCGTCTAGGCCTCCCGGCTCTTGAGTCTTGGCACAGACGAATCGCCTGCAGGCTCCATAGAGGCATCACTGCAGGTGTTCGTGTGTGGGGTGCGGTGATTGAAGCACTGTGCTGTGAACCTGATAAACCTGCTTTCCGATTCCAGCCACGTCAGAACAAATCGTGGCCAGCGATGTCAGAACCAGTCCTGGGCCTCTTCCCTAGTTCGACCCAGCCTTAAATTAGTACCGGGTGTTTTGTGTAAACATCGCCAGCAGGAATTGCCCCCATACGTTCTCTATACAGGTGATTTGACATTTGAGAGTGTGTGTGTGTGTGCATGCGTGCGCATCTCTGCAATCAGGGCCTTTTGTTGAGCTTGGAGGCTGGGCACTGGATCTTGTAGCCGACCGTGTACGCCTGTACGTACACACGTACCTGGTTTATCCTGCACACGCGGACACACACACACGCATTCAGAGAGCTGCAGGACATCGGCGAGGCTTTTCACTCGGTCTCGAGATCTTTGTAAAATCTAGGGAATGCGACTCCACCGCAGCTCTCGACGCTTCACCATTGCGGACCGAGTCGCCCTACGTGCAAGGTCCGGAGAAGTTTCAGATGCCGTCTGCCACATGTGATGTGCGTCATGGCTGGTGCAATCCGCTTTGTTGGCACTCTGTTGCACACTGACCGAGATTTTAAATTGGGTTCTCAAGTGTAGCGAGTTCGTTGTCTTTGCCCCGACCACCAACGACTGAAGGATCTTTCACAAGCCTCCTCCATCGTGACGCCGCTAGTACCGGTCATCGACAAGCTCACTCAGTAAATTTTGATTTAAAGCTTTTTTTCAAAATTTCTTGCCGTGGTTTTCACACCTGATGATGATTGCTTGTGTCGCACTCGAAACCTCGTGAGAATTGTATTGTTTTATATTTTTGTTATTTGTTTCCCTTCTACGTGACTTTACCGAAAGAACCAAGAATAAGCTCACTCAGCTCCACATCCGCCCTACCACATCAGTCCACCTCCTCCCTAACGCCTTGCCGTGCCCTTTTAGGCCCCTCTACCTGGCCACACCCCCATCACAAAGACAAAGATCCCCAGTATAGCCTTAACAGACTGTTGGGGCAAGTGCTGTTAGCGAGCACCTATGAAGCCGGAACGGTAAACGAGGGCGTTGGTGGCCAGCACCACGCCGGACTGCCTTTGTCTCCCAAGTGGCGATGTTTACACAATCGCACCAGGTACTCATTTGAGGCTGAGTCGATCTAGGTGAGGCCCAGAACCGGTGCAAATAACCGTCACGTGCGCGTCCTCCTGGCTCACCTGTACTTGGTGCAGAGCTGCACGCCAAGCGGGCCACAGCGGTCCACGTAGCTCTCGCGCACGCCCTTACGCACCGCCCGGGATCCCAGCACGGCCCGCGTCACCAGAGGACAGACCCTGCGTGCGTCGAGGGGCGCCGTGCCACGGCTCTCATCGTGTGCGCGGCGTTCTCCTTCGCCCCACCCCCGCCGCCCCGCCGCACCTCCGATGGACGCGGTTGGCCACGGACGGTGCGGAATAAGTTCAACGTAAATTTTGATTTAAAGCTTTCGTGACTGCAGTAATTCATATTCTTAGTTTTTTCGGTAAAGTCACGTTGAAGGGAAACAACAAAATAATAAAATATATATAAAACAATAAAAAAATTATCACGACGTTTCGACCATAACTCAAACGGTCGTCTTCAGGTGTGTTGGTTCGCATAAATTTATTTTTAAACGGCGCATTTATTTATTAAAAAAAAAACGTTAGCGCCACGCGCAACGATTTGGCAGTTTATTTAGGACTAGTCCATCTATATTCTGAAAAGAGGAGGGGGGAGACGAAATTTTTTATAATGTATGCTGTCTGAAAGCCACTGTAAGCGTGAACAATCAATTAAGACCTGAAATGGTTTATCAAATCTTTCCGATGATTGCTAAGATAGAATCCATCTTCTCGGTTGAAATTGTCTCTGTGCTTGTATATGTGGATAGCTTCATGAACGAATCTCTCATGGAAGCCAGATGGCTTACAAAGAACCTCTGTCTTGGAAAAGTCAATGGCATGTGAGCCTACTGAATTAGAACAATGATCGGCCACGGCCGAGGTGTTGGTCCTACCGTGTTTAAGGTCTGCTTTGTGTTCACGAATGCGGTCCGAGACATGGCGTTTGGTTTCTCCAATGTAACTACTACCACAGAGGCAACTTAGTTTGTAGACACCAGGGTATTGTATGTCCGGAATCACATCTTTTACAGACGGAACCAGATCACGGATTTTATGTAATGTGTTGAAACGGACCTGGATCTTGTGTTTATTCAAGATTTTGGAGATCTTTTTTTGTGATCCCAGCAATGTAGGGTAAAGTGATGGTTTTGAAAGGCTCCTCAAGAGGGTTCTTCTTCATGGTTTGAGTGATAGCTTTGCGGATTGTATAGTCGGAGTAACCATTAGCCCTAAGAGCTTGGTGTACGTGCTTGAGTTCACTGCTTATGTGTTCCTGGTCGGATATGCATTGGGCTCTATGATACAGAGTCTTGATGAGAGAATTCTTCTGTGATGGATGGTGGTGGGAATCCGGTTTCAGATAAGCATCCGTATGGGTAGCTTTCCTGTAGACAGAGTGGCTCATTGAACCATCAGGTCTCTTTTTAATTAGGACATCCAAAAAAGGTATCTTGCCATCTATTTCGACTTCCATGGTAAATCTGATGGCTGGGTGTATGGAATTGATGTGGTCGAAGAATTGGTCTAGAGCAGGCCGGCCATGTGGCCAGATGACAAAAGTGTCATCCACGTACCTCTTCCATAAGGTTGGGCGCAGAGTGGCAGTCTGGATGGCGTCAGTCTCAAATTTCTCCATGAAAATGTTAGCTATAACTGGAGAAAGGGGGGAGCCCATTGGGGTGCCCTCAGTTTGTTTGTAGAAAGTTCCATTCCAAGTGAAGTATGTATTGGTTAAACAGTGTCTCACCAGGGGGGGTACCTCAGTGTTTAGTCCTTGATGAACCAAGTCTTCAATGATTGCAATGGTGTCAGGTACAGGAACCTTGGTGAATAAGGAAACTACATCAAAACTGACAAGCAGGTCGTCTGGGGACAGGGAAATACCCTTGATTGTCGATACCAGGTGAGTAGAATTTTGTACCGCAGAGGTGGTCTTTCCAGTGAAAGGACGCAGGATTTCAGACAAAAAACGAGCTAGTTTGTAGGTGGGGGAGCCGATAGTAGAGACTATGGGACGAAGGGGTGTATCTACTTTATGTATTTTTGGTAAGCCGTATAATCTTGGTGGCCACCAACAGCCTCGTCACACAAGCCAACAAAGTAATTTCTGATTCAACCGCATTAATTGATCAATCTAAACAGTTTTCGTTGAAACCTTCTGCTGCCAGGCCATAGATGGCAAGATACCTTTTTTGGATGTCCTAATTAAAAAGAGACCTGATGGTTCAATGAGCCACTCTGTCTACAGGAAAGCTACCCATACGGATGCTTATCTGAAACCGGATTCCCACCACCATCCATCACAGAAGAATTCTCTCATCAAGACTCTGTATCATAGAGCCCAATGCATATCCGACCAGGAACACATAAGCAGTGAACTCAAGCACGTACACCAAGCTCTTAGGGCTAATGGTTACTCCGACTATACAATCCGCAAAGCTATCACTCAAACCATGAAGAAGAACCCTCTTGAGGAGCCTTTCAAAACCATCACTTTACCCTACATTGCTGGGATCACAAAAAAGATCTCCAAAATCTTGAATAAACACAAGATCCAGGTCCGTTTCAACACATTACATAAAATCCGTGATCTGGTTCCGTCTGTAAAAGATGTGATTCCGGACATACAATACCCTGGTGTCTACAAACTAAGTTGCCTCTGTGGTAGTAGTTACATTGGAGAAACCAAACGCCATGTCTCGGACCGCATTCGTGAACACAAAGCAGACCTTAAACACGGTAGGACCAACACCTCGGCCGTGGCCGATCATTGTTCTAATTCAGTAGGCTCACATGCCATTGACTTTTCCAAGACAGAGGTTCTTTGTAAGCCATCTGGCTTCCATGAGAGATTCGTTCATGAAGCTATCCACATATACAAGCACAGAGACAATTTCAACCGAGAAGATGGATTCTATCTTAGCAATCATTGGAAAGATTTGATAAACCATTTCAGGTCTTAATTGATTGTTCACGCTTACAGTGGCTTTCAGACAGCATACATTATAAAAAATTTCGTCTCCCCCCTCCTCTTTTCAGAATATAGATGGACTAGTCCTAAATAAATTGCCAAATCGTTGCGCGTGGCGCTAACGTTTTTTTTAAATAAATAAATGCGCCGTTTAAAAATAAATTTATGCGAACCAACACACCTGAAGACGACCGTTTGAGTTATGGTCGAAACGTCGTGATAATTTTTTATTGTTTTATATATATTTTATTATTTTGTTGTTTCCCTTCAACGTGACTTTACCGAAAAAACTAAGAATAAGTTCAACGTACATTACAGGCGCAAGCCGTGGCCCCGTGTGCTGAGCCCGGCCCACAGACGCCTCGTTTCCATGAACTCCGGGAGCTGGGAACTGGGAGCTGCTGGGGCCGGGGGCAGCCCGGGCGAGCGGCCCGGGTCTGTGTGCCGCAACTCGACGTTCCAGCGGGCTAGGAGGAGGGCTGGATTTATCGTGGGATATTTTCTTTAAAACTAAACGATGGAAACTTTATATTTTATCAGGTAAGGCACACTGAGCTGTCCGGCTCTTTTTCAGAAGTGACCTGGCCACTGAGTGGTAGCTCAACGGAGTGGCTTATGTGGAAATTTATAACAACCAAATACTCAAAATGCACGTTGATTCTAAGTGGAGGGAAAAACCGGAGGACCCGGATAAAAAATCCACGTGACCACGGAGAGAGAGACGCGCAAATCAAATATACAGCAGCAGCAGACGTCAGGATCGAGATCGAACCCACGACCGCCTGCATACCAGGCGAGGTATTTGACATCTCCGAGCCACCGTGATGATGATGAGAGAGAGACACGCAAACTCCAAATATACAGCAGCAGGCGCGAGGGTCGGGATTGAACCCATGACCTGCTGCATTCCAGGCGAGGTAGTTAACATCTCCTTGCCACCGTGGCACGCCTTGGGCCCCCTCAACGCCATAAATCCCCCCCCACCCCTCCCAGCCCCTCTGAACCACCCTCTGACAACAATCGTCTTAAGATTCAAGCCAAGGTGTGCTGAAATGTAGGCGAGGAGATTCTGGACGGGAGGGGAGGACGAGGGGGTGGGGTGGGGGGGTTCCAACTCACAGCTTTTCACAGCGGAGGCCCTCGGTGCCCTCGGGGCACGAGCATGAGTTGTGGGGTCCGCACGTGGCTCCGTGCAGACACGGAGGAACGCACGGCTCCACCACGGCTAAAGGGTGGGGAGCGAGGGAGGGAGGGGAGACGAGAGCGGTCGGGGTTGGTCGGTGGAGGTGCGGTCACGGCGTGGCTGCGGGTAGCGGGCTCGTCATGCGCTTCCACGGCTGCCACCGTGCGTGATGGCGGGCGGCGAATTGTGCGGGGATCGGTACTAAGGATGACTGCCGATGTACCACTGGAGTGGTTCCAGTGATTGCGTGGGTGGTGTTTGGTGCAATTGCGCCGGTAGTGATGGTACTTGATATGTGTTGCCAGTGGCGGTGGGTGCTGGTGGTCGCCGGCCGTGGCTCGGCGTTGCCGTCGCCCTCACCGCTCTCGCAGGCCGCTCCCGTGTAGCCGTGGCGGCAGCGACAGCGGTTGAGCCCCACGCAGGAGCCCCCGTTCCTGCAGGGCGCGCCGCAGCGCACGGGCTCTGCGGCAGGGAGCGAGAGCGATCGCGGTGCCCGGCGGACCACCGGGGTGCACGGGACCCCCGTCCCAAATACCGCGTGCCTGTGAGTGAGTGCGTGCGTGCGGTTCGGCGTGTTTCACACGTGCTTTGTGCGCGCGCGTTTGTTAAATAATGTGGCTGCGTGAGCACACTTGTGTGCTCACTCACCGATCTGGCAGCGCGTGCCCTCCCAGCCTCCGGCACAGATGCACGTGTTCACGTCGATGCAGCGCCCAGAGTTGAGGCAGGGAGGGGTGCACGTGGCTGAGCAAAGACAAAGATCCCCCGTGTGGCCTTCAACAGACTGCCGCGGGGGGGCAAGCGCCGTTGGCGAGTAGCACCTCTGAAGGCCGGCACTGCACACGAGGGGACGGGTGGCCAGCACTACGCCTGGCCGCCTTTGTCTCCCCAGCTCTGTTTTACACACTGCACCAGGTGCTCGTTTAAGGCTACGACCGGTACAGATAATCTTCGCCGGTGTTGGCCGTGAGCAGGAATTGAACTTGGGTCGCTGGGATCATAGCGCGGTGCTCTTGCCACGACCCACACAGCCTACGTAGAATGCTCTTAGCAAGCGCCTATATTGAGGCTGACAGGGCGCTGTTTGCATCTGTTTTCATGCGTGTATGTATGTTGAACTTCTTTCGCACCGTACATAGCCAACCGTGCTAATCGGAGGTGCGGGGGAAGGACAACAAACTAAACACAACAACAAGCAGTTCTAAAGACGTGAGTTTGTCAATCTAAATGATGATTTAAAAGTGCATAGCTCCAGTGGCTTCCTAATATCAGAAGGAAGAGCGTTCCAGGTGGCCGCAGAAGCGCATCGGAAAGCGCACGACGCGGTGACCACCGTCTTTGTTCGATTGGCAGCCAAAAGCCGCTGCGGCGAGGATGACCGGAGTTTGCACGATGGTTTACGAGGCATAGCTACCGAGTGTGCAGATGGTGTGACTGCGTCGGGGCCCATTGTTCCTGGCTACAACGAGTGGATAGGAAGACCGACGGACGTGTGGGGGTGGGGGGGGCATTTAATTCATAGTAAAGTTTTTTGGGTTAGCTCGCGTAAGTATAAAATGTTGTCGCAACCCTCCACCACCCGACACAGCCAGTAAGGTTTGTCACGTAAACAACACGCCAGTTCGTTCACTACTTCAGCCCACCGGCATGTTGAAGAGTAAATACACAACATTTACAATTGATCTTCTTTGGTTCTTTCGGTAAAGTCACGTAGAATGAGAATATAAAATTCTCACGACGTTTCGGCCACAACACAAGTGGCCTTCTTCAGGTGAAAGGAACAAACCTGTCGTCCCGACATTCTACGTGACTTTACCGAAAGAACCAAAGAAGATGAATCCTTGCAGTCACGAAAGCTTTAAATCGAAATTGACAATTTAATTACGACGTTTCGCTGGTAATTACATCCCAGCATCATCGGGCGATTTAATTCCTTGCACAGGGGCGGCCCCGTGCCAACCACGCTCCGCCCATACGTACGCGAGAGACACTGCGGCCCCGTGTAGTCGGACGAGCACTGGCAGACGCCCGGCCCCACGCAGCGCCCGCCGTTCGCGCAGGGAAGTTCACACACGGCTGGGAGATGCAAAACGACAACAAGCAGCAGCAGCAGCAGCTCTCAAATGTTTGTTTAACACGTAGTGGCGCTTTCGCGACCGATATTATCCATAAGAGGTTTTTTTGGGGGTCAGTATAAATGTGTCGTTAAATCTGCCACCACCCGACACAGCCAATTCGTAAGGTTTATCAAGTAAACAGTATATGCCAATTCGTTACTAGTTCAGCACGCAGGTGTGTTGGAGAGTAAACCCACAAGATTTATATGGTGGTGATGGTGGGTTTAACGACGCATTTGTATTTCAGCTTTCTAACCCAAAGAACCTCGATTATGGATCTCAAATGTTTGTTATTCACACGACGGCCCTTACAGAACTGCTACTTTTAGTCATGCACATGGTCGACGATGAGTTGTCACGACTTTCCGTGATGACCGATCACGGCAAATGGCGTTGGTGCAGATTGGACATGCGGTGAATTTGCACTCAGGGCCACGGGTAACAGAATCGGAATACTGGAGGAATCGATGAGCTATGAAGCTCTTTTTTTACAGGTGTTCAGTAGGGGTGGGTAAGACGGTTACAACAACAAACAATACAAAAAGTGTGATAGTAGTCCAAAGTGCAAGAAAGCTAAACAAATCACACAAACACATTTAGAACTAAACCATCCCCATCATACCAGGCAAAGCCCACTGAGGTATTAACCAATTTTTCAGAAACGACTTGGCCACAAATGATAGCTATATAGCTCAGTGGGCCTTACCTGGTAAAATAAAAAAAAATATGTATCGCTTTTTAGTTTTTAATTTATAGTCTTCTCACCATCACAGTTCTTCTCGAACAATGTCGCTTATTCACTCGAGTCACTTGCTTCCTTGTCAATCTATTGTCGCTACTACCACAGCCATTGTTCCAATGAACTTGACGCCACGGTTCCACCACCTTTTCCAAAATATTGTTCCACCAGATGGACCTTGACTCCTTCTACCAGATGGACCGGTTCCTTTCATTCGTTAGCGCGTTCAACCACCGTATAGCAAGGTGGGTTTAGGAGGCCCGGGGCAACTCACCTGTGTGGCATCCTGGGCCGGTCCACCCAGGTGGGCAGAGACACACGTCCCAGCGCATGCATGTTCCCCCGTGGGCACAGGGTGGTGTGCACATGGCTGCACGTGTGTTGCGGTACAGGTGTGTGCGTGGTACATGTGTGTGCGTGGTACATGTGTGTGCATGGTACATGTGTGTGCAGCACACGTGTGTGTGTGAATGTGTGCGGTACGCGTGTGTGGGTGCGTGCGTGCGTGAATGTAGAGAGGGCAAAGGTTGGGGGAAGAATATGGGATGGGATACAGATTTCACATTGACACATTTAGCATATTGTGTAAAAAAACATCACGCACTTTTTTGTCACATGCACTTGTTTAAGTGTAAAGCATTTTGTCTACTGCTGGATAAGGGCCTGCCCATGCCGTGTGGCTCATGGCGGTTATCTGACCATACTTCACCACGTGCTGGATCAGTGCCCGATGGCAAAAGCAGGGAGCATAGCTGCAGGAGCTTAGAACCACAGTACAACAAATGGATTTTGTTGCACTGCCCTCTGCTATCTACTAAGTAGCCCTGCGTCAGCCTATAACAACCCGCTCTGTGTGGTGGGCGACCTTCCGTACACACACACACAATACAGGCTCACTCCCGCTGAGCTTAGCGACCGAGATGTGATGGGATTGGTGGTCCCACGTCGGGTGATTTAGTCAGAGGCGTCGTTGAGCAACTCTGAGCAACTCTGAGCAATCCAGAAATGTCCATCTCATCTCTCCAGATGAAAAGCAAAATTCATTAGTCCATCTCGGCCATGGGACTTTCAGAGCAAGGCAGGGTCCACTCGCCAACGCCAGCCAACCAAGCAGCAGTTTGTTGAACAGGTGTGCTTGCTGATGAGGCCTCGGAGGCGATCAAGTGATTGCTTATTAATTCAAACCCTGCTGGGTTATATTGGTCTGGAAAGCCTGTGGGCTGACGAACTAACATATACATTTGTACATGGATAGAGGAGTGGAGGTTTAGTTATCCATTTGATGATGGAGGTTAGAAGTGTTGGCTCATTATAAATCTATTCATTACTGTTTTACGTAGGTGACATCCAATTTAAATCATCATTTATAACCATGTTATGTATATACGTATTGGTGTGGGAGTGTGTATAATTGTGTGGGTGTGTGAGTGTACGCGTACAGTATAGGCATGTAGTTGTGTGTCTATATATTGTGTGTATATTGTGTATATAGGTATAGATGAGTGTGCAGAAGCATGTGGCTTTGTGTGCGTGTCTATAATGTGCATATGTGGTGAGCGGTGGCACAGTGGTTAGCGCGCTGCGCTACAAACCCGGCGACCTGAGTTCGATTGCCACTTACGGCCAACACCAAGACGAATATCTGAATCGGTCCTGGGCCTCCCCTAGGTCGACTCAGCCTCAAATAAGTACCTGGTGCGATGTGTAAACATTGGCACTAGGGAGACAAAGGCGGCCGGGCGTGGTGCTGGCCACCCACCCCCTATGTGTGCCGTGCCGGCCTTCATAGGTGCTCGCCAACAGCGCTTGCCCCAACAGTCGCTTAAGGCTATATGGGTGATCTTTGTATTTGTCTTTGTGTGTGTGTGTAGACGTGGATGTTGCTTGTGCTTTTCTATCACGGTGCTTCTTACCCGAGCAGCTGGGACCCGGGTACCCAGGGGGACACTCGCACGAGTTGGGCCCCACACACTCGCCGTAATTCTGGCAGGGAGGGTCACACACGGCTGTGGATCACAGGGGGTGGGGGGGGGTGGGGGGGCGGGGAGATTTGTCCACATCTGGAGCTTGCCGACCGCTGCAGGCAGCAGATCCACTCTCCCATTCCGTACGAAATTCCACACTCGGAATCCACTTCGCCGTACGGACTCTGGAAAACCGCTGTTGTGGCGCAGTTGGCACGAGGCCCTGGTGCAAGGAATAGAATGTTGCCACCCCCCCCTCCCCCTCCAATTTCACACCCCTCTTCGTGGCCGGGAACCTGGGCCCAAACGGAGCGCATGCACCGCGGTGCCGGCCTACACACGCAACAATAAGCTACGCCGACCATTCCGAAAACATCTTTGGTCAAACGGAGCACGGGGCCCTCCTCCGACCCTCGCCACGTCGCGCGGACAGCGGCGTCGCCGCAGCTGCCCGGCACTACGGTCCACCACGCAGATGGCCTTTTTAACGCATTGTTAGAATACGGTACACTCCGATGTTGATCATCATCACGATCCATGGGCAGATAGCCCGTTAGGTGTCCACCGCACATTTCGTTGTGTTTCCACTTTCCTCTTATCGTATGCCAATACGCTCACGTAGTGGGCACATCTTTCTGCCACCAAGCTCTTGTGATTTCGTCGTCAAGCCATTCTCTGTTGGGCCTTCATCTGTTTCAAGTTCCTTCACATTTTTTTATTTTCCTCTTGTCTATCCTACATATGCGTCCTATTAGTGCCGGTTCCGTTCTCACCACTGCCTGCATCATCAAGTCCTACGTGCGACCTTTCTCTTACATCTACATTGGTCACTCTTTTGGGTCCAGCTTAGTTGCAAGCAGCATCCTTCCGTAGCGATACCTTTCAAGGTGTTTGTGTGGCGTCCAAATGCGACCGCACGGCAATTCGCTGCATTGCAGCCGGCTCGTTGCAAGAGCCGGCTGCAGGCCACGTATCGCCGCGTCCCTCACTGAAGAATTACGCCCGAGTCTCTAGTCGACTGCAGTTGTAGGCACGTGGCAATGGAGCAAGATGAAGACACTTTGCAGGAAGTGTTAGAATTGGTTTTGCCACTCTCCCCCCGGTTGGGTGGAAAGTTTTCGATGTGTGTGTGTGTGAATGCCCGTACAGCTTTTGTTTCGGCCGAATCGAGGGGACTAAGCAGGCGCAGCATGGGCTAGAGAAGAGATGGAGTGATGTGGTACAGGAGGATGTGGAGCTGAGTGGACTTGTCAATGATTGGTACCAGCGGTGTCAAGAACGGCCTCTGTGGAGGATGCTCGTGAAGGATGCTGCTACTGGGCAGTTGAAGGCAGTCGCCCTCAAACAACAACGGAGGGCAGAGAAGCGATGCTCACAACAACGAGCAGAGTGCCGGGTGGCTAAAACGCAGCAATTTGGCACAGTAGGGGGCACAGGTGGTGCATCGACCAGTCATCTCAGTCAGTTGATCCGTGGTACCTGGGTCTACCCTGTGACCTCCTGCCAGCGGACGTTCGACACTTCACGTGGCCTCAACGTGCACATAGCCTGGCACAATCTCCGTGGTGACGTCACCGCCACTTAGTGGCGAATGGCGGTTGTTGTTGTTGTTGTACGAAGTAGGGAGCGGTGGTGTAGCGGTATGCACAACTGTCATATAACTGGAAAAGTTCGATGCCCGCTGACATCCACCAACACCAGTGACGATTATCTGAACCGGCCCTGATACCTCCCCGAGGTTGACTCAACCTAAAATGAGTATACTTAGTTATTTCGGTAAAGTCACGTTGAGGGGAAACGACAAAATAATAAAATATATATAATGTGACTTTACCGAAAGAACTAAGAATATGAATTACTGCAGTCACGAAAGCTTTAAATCAAAATCTAAAGTGAGTACTCGGGAGACAAAGGTGGCCGGGCGTGGTGTCGGCCACCCACCCACTCGTGAGCCACTGTCCTCACGCAGGTGTTCGCTAACAGCACTTGCCCCAACAGTCTTGTTAAGCCATAATACAGTTTTTTTGGGTTAGATCACGTAAATATATAAATGTGTCGTTCAACCCGCCACCACCCGACACAGCCAATAAATAAGAGATGTCACGTAAACAGAACGTGGCCAATTCGTCACTAGTACAGCACTACACCGGTGTGTTGGAGAGCCAAGCCACAACATTTACAATCCGAGTACGACTTTTCACCAATAATCACAACTCGCTTCATCAGGCGACAGCCAGACTTGTTAAGGCTATACAGGGGGGGGGGTGTGGTGGGGGGGGGGGGATCTTTTGTCTGCACGTACGCTCGCACTTGCTGAGGTCGTCCGTTCGCACGCGGAAGCCGGGCGAGCACGAGCAGTTGAAGCTGCCGGGGAAGTTGTCGCACTGCTGCTCACAACCCCCGCGCGTGAAGTCGGCACACTCGTCCACATCTGGGGGGGCGGGGGGGGGGGGGCAGGCGGGACGAGAACGCACGGGTACGCGTGCGTACAAGTAGTGTAGCGGTTAGCGCGCTGGGCTGTGAACCCGGCGACCCGGGTTCGATTCCCGCTCACGGCCAACACCAGTGACGATTGTCTGAACCGGTCGTGGGCCTCCTCGAGGTCGACAGTGTGAAAGCATCGCCACTGTCGGGCGTGGTGCTGGCCACCCGCCCCCTCTTGCGCCGTGTCGGCCTTCAAAGGGCGCCTGCCCCAACGGTTTGTTAAGGCGACACGGGGGATCTTTGTGTTATCAAAGATCCCTCCCAACCCGTGTAGCTTGCACGGCGACCGCGACGACGATGATGATAACGATGGCGATGATTATGACAGCGGTGGTGACGGTGACGACGATTACGATGATGACGACGGCGATGAGAATGACGATGTCAATGATTCTGACGACGACGAGGTCAGAAACGCTCACGAGTCTCCGCCGGCGGCGCCTCTCACCGTCGCACGACAGCCTGTTGGGGTTGAGTTGCCACCCGGCGCGGCAGGAGCAATCCACGCCGGCCTCGGCGTGCACCGAGCACACGTGCTCGCAGCCGCCGTTCCGCTGCTCGCACGACGTGATGTCTGGCGGACGCGGGTGGGGAGCGGGAGATGGGAAGGGACCATTGAATTATCCAGACAGACCACAAACAGCATTACCTAATTTAGCGTGTGTGTGTGTCTGTGCAAGTGTACGTATCTGTGTGTGTGTGTGGGGAACGGTACCGGAGTGCTTAGCGCGCTGCGCTCCGAATCCGGTTACCCGAGTTCGATTCCCGCTCATGGCCAACACCGGTGATGATTATCTGAAGTGGTTGTGGGACTCCCCTAGGTCGACTCAGCCTCAAATGAGTACCTGGTGCAGTGTGTAAACTTTGCCACTAGGGAGACAAAGGCGGCCGGACGTGCTGCTAACCACCCACCCCCCTTGTGTGACCTTCATAGGTGCTCGCTAACAGCATTTGCCGCAACAGTCTCTTCAGGCTACACGGGGGATCTTTGTCCTTGGCGAGGAATAGTATTGGCTGGATACAGGGGCCTTAAAAGAGCACGGCATGGGCTAGAGAGGAGATGGACTGATGCGGTTGGGAGGATGTGGAGCTGAGTGGACTTGTCAGTGACGTCAGCGGTGTCAATATCGGCCTCTGTGGAGTAGGATGCTCGTGAAAGACTCATCAATCATTGGTTGTTGGGGACAAAGACCACGAACTCGCTGCACAGACGTCTATTAAGGCTGTGGCCGGGGGACCTTGGTCTCGTGTGCGTGCGTGGGCGCGTGTGTCCGTGCGTGCGTCTGCGCCGTGCCGCACGACTCACTGACGCACGTCTTGTTGTCCACGTCCAGCGCCAGCTCCAAGGGACACCCGCACGCAAAGCCACCGGGCGAGTTGCTGCACGAGTGCGAGCACCCCCCGCTCTGCACCTTGCACTCGTCGATGTCTGCGACACCGCACGCACAGCAGCAGCAACACGGGGCTTGGAACGTTCCATTCTCCGAGATGCGGGGGGCGGGGGGGGAGGAGGCGGTGGATCCGGGAAAGAACGAGCGGATATCCACCAACCCTCACTGCTGCTGCTGCTGCCTCCGCAGCACTGGAATACAGGCAGCAGCAACAGCAGCGTAGCCACCACCAAAGGACTCCCGTATAGCCTCAACAGACTGTTGGGGCAAGAGCTGTTAGCGAGCACACACATGCACACACACACACACACCTCCGAATAGCACTGTTGGCTATGTACGGTGCGAAAGGTACAACACACATAACATGCACCACACTCGATTATATAGCTACATACCCAGACACATTACACACACACATACAAAAAAGGTCTCCCTATAGCCTTCACAGACTGGTCGGGGAAGTGCTGCTCGTGAGCACCTATGAAGGCCGGCACGGCACACGAATGGGGTGGGTGGCCAGCACCACGCCCGGCCGCCTTTGTCTCCCCAGTGGCGATATTTACACATCGCATCAGGTACTCACTCGAGGCCGAGTCTACCTAGGGGAGGCCCGGGTACCGGTTCAGATAATACATTGTGCTTCAAAAAAATATTAACACTTCGGAGAATTTGCAACAATACCAGAATAAATGTGCCTGGAGATCACCTGGAGAAGATTCCGGGTGTACATTGACAACGATGGCGAACAAGTGGAGATTTTGACTTTTTGAAGCTATTAACATTACCTTTGTTATCATGTTACAGTGTATTATCCGTTATTTTTCCATTAAAAAAACTATAGTCCCATGTAAGTGTTAACATTGTTTTGAAGCACCATGTATATCAGAGTGTAGGTGCGCATACCCACCCACGCACCACCACCACCTACCCACACACTGCCGCTTGTCCACGTGCAGCTGGAATCCGGGTGCGCAGGAGCACCTGTAGCTGCCCTCCGTGTTGCTGCACGCCTGGCTGCAGTTGCCGTTGAATATGGAGCACTCATCGAAGTCTGGGGTGGTGGACGCAGAGGGGGTTAGCTCGGTTCTGTGACGCTTCCCAAGGTTGAAAGCTGGAATGCGTTAGCGCTGTCCATCTATGCATGCATGTATGTTGAACTTGTGGGAGGTGCGGGGGAAGGGACAAACAAACTAAACACAAAAAGCAGTTCTAAACAAATGAGTTTTCAATCTAGATGATGATTTAAAAGTGCACAGCTCCCAGTGGCTTCCTAACATCGGAAGGAAGAGCGTCCCAGACAGCCGCAGAAGCGCATGCGAAAGCGCCGCGCGATGCGGTGACCGTCTTTCTTCGATGGCCAGCCAGAAGCCGCCGCTGCTGCTGCTGCTGCTGCGAGGGCGACCGGAGCTCGCCTGATGATCGTGATGATCGTGATGATAATGATGATGGTTCCCAGTCCTCGACGAGATCGGCGAGCTATCGCGGTCCATTTGCGGCGAGCACTTTGCGCGCAACGAGTTGCGACCCTGTCATGCCGCGCGTGCCCGAGTGAATGCGCGAGTGCCCGGGGGAATCGGACCGATGCAGTCCCGTGCGTTGGGCGCCACCACGTAGCCCGCGTCGCACTCGCATCGGAAGCTGCCCGGCTCGTTCACGCAGAGCCTGGCACAGCCACCCTGCACCACCGTACACTCGTCGATGTCTGCACGCACGCACAAGAAAGACAACGGTTACCTCCCCCCCCCACCACCACCACTCTCCGTGTAGCCTAGAAAGCACTCTTGGAGCAAGAGGGCTGTTAGAGAGTAGCATCTAATGAAGGCCGGCACGGCGCACTAGGGGGATGGGTGGCCAACACCACACGTGGCCGCCTTTGTGTTCCCCAGTGGCGATGTTTACACGCCGCACCAGGTACTAATTTAAGGCTGAGTAGACCTAGGGGAGACCCAGGATCGGTTCAAATTATTGCCATTGGTGCTGGCCGTGAACGGGAGTCGAACTCAGGCCACCGGGTTCGTAGCGCAGCGCGCAAACTGCGCGGCTTTAGAACTTAGGCACAGACCTTCAAGTTGTGATTCCGCACCTCCGGCGAGCACGCCCGGGCCACGTACGGTGCGAAAGAAGTTCAACGTACATCGTACGCAAGAAAAACTACCACCACCGCGCCAACCCATCGTCATGGACATCATACACCACCGCCACCGCACTACCTCCATGGCTAGCCACCCCCCTGCTCCCACCCCCCCTGGCGGTGCTGGGACTCTACCGAAGCAGGAGAACCCATCGCCGTTGAAGCCCTGGAGGCACTGGCAGAAGTAGGAGCCGATGATGTTCCCGCAGCGCGCGTTCGCGTCACAGCCGTGCTTCCCGCTCGCGCACTCGTCCTCGTCTGCGCGGCAGAGACGAGGGGGGAGGAGAGCACGTGACGAGTGTCTCTTTCTCAATATGATGCCCGCGGTCGTGGCGGTGGTGATATGCGAGGGCTGTGACATCGTGGTTGGTAGCAATTTGGTATCACGATCGTAGCGAGGACGACGATGGTGGTGGTGATGGTAGTGGCGGTGATGATGATGATGATTGATGGTGGCGGTGGCATTGAGTGCGTGTGATGCCTCTGATGATGGCGGCGCTGTTAGTGATGGAAGCGTTGTAGATATTGATTGTGCACGATGTTCATGATGATGGTGGTGGTGGAGTTAGTGGCTGTGGTATTGCGAGTGAATGCGCGTGACGCTACTGATAGCAACGAAGGCGAAGATCACAGTGGTGCTGACAGTGATTATGCATGAGGCTCATGATGATTTTTTTCGATTTGAAGCTTTCGTGACTGCAAGGATTAATCTTCTTTGGTTCTTTCGGTAAAGTCACGTAGAATGAGAATTAAATAATAAAATAACACAATAAAATTCTCACGACGTTTCGGCCACAACGCAAGCGGCCGTCTTATTGTGTTATTTTATTATTTTATTATCATTCTACGTGACTTTACTGAAAGAACCAAAGAAGAGGCTCATGATGATGCTGATGATGCAGCTGATCGTGCAGCTGATCGTGACGACGACAATGCTGATGACGATGGCGTCGATTCGGAAGACGCTGTTTGCCTTCGCAGGTGGTGCCGTTGCCACGGTAGCCCGGAGGACAGGAGCAGCGGTAGCTCCCGAGTGAGTTCTGACACACGCCGCGTCCCGCACACAGCCCCGGCCTCTCCGCACACTCGTCCACATCTGCGCACACGCGTACGTACACATGCACACACACACACACGCGTGTACACGCAGCGGCTTCGTGCACATTAGGGGGCAGCGTTTTCACCTCCCGACGCGAGAGTGCAGAGTAATGTTCATCACACGACAATCGGACGGATATTTTCAATGCTCACGGTAGGAATCTACTTCGATTAGGTGGAAACCCGAGTTTAATTTGACGGGGTTTTAGTGTTTGTGTGTGTGCAGTTCGTAGTGGTTAGCGGTAGTGTAGCAGTTAGCACGCTGCGCTACGAACCCGGGGACCGGAGTTCGATTCCCACTCACGACCAACACCAGTGACGATTATCTGAACCGGTCCTGGTCCTCCCCTCGGTCGTCTTAGCCTCAAATGAGCACCTGGTGCAGTGTATGAACATCGCCACCCGGGAGATAAAAGCAGCCAGGCGTGGTGCTGTCCACCCACCCCCTCGTGTGCGGTGCCGGCCTTCATAGGTGCTCGCTAACAGCACTTGCCCCAACAGCACTTGCCCCAACAGCACTTGCCCCAACAGTCTGTCAAGGCTATATGGGGGATCTTTATCTTTGTTTGCAGTCGTTCGTGGTGTGAGTGGCCATCAACTCGCTGAACCTAAGAACCAGGTTAAGAGTTTTGATTTAAAGCTTTCGTGACTGCAGGGATTCATATTCTTGGTTCTTTCGGTAAATACTCTATGGTTTTTTCGGTAAAGTCACGTAGGTAAAATAAAATAGATTAAAATAAAATAAAACAATTTATTTTATTTTACCTACGTGACTTTACCGAAAAAAACAAATAGTATGAATCCTTGCAGTCACGAAAGCTTCAAATCTAGAATCCTTCGGTAAAGTCACGTATTTGTATTATTTCAGGTTAAGAGTGTTTGGCTGATACACATTTCCACGTGATAAGCCACTTCCTTGAGCTATCACTTGTGGCCAGGTCGCTTCTGGAAAAGTGCAAGAAAGCTCAGTGGGCCTTACCTGGTACAATAAAAAATAGTTACGTTTGATTTTGTTTGTTTAGGTGTAATTAAGGGCGGTTGAACACCACGTTTGAACCACATTTTGTAAGTAAAACGGAATCATTCCACTCCGTAAAAGGTGTGAAACGAATATTTCCCCCTGAATCCATATATTTTTGCTTCGAAAATCTGTAGGAGGGGGTTTAAAAAAAATTCGGCAGCCTACCGTGAGCGCGCGAGTGAGTGCGTCGCACGGAGTGCAAGCGTGCACGTGAGCGCGTGCGAACACGCGTGCGTCGCGCGCGGGTGGGTGTTTGTTCGCGCGCGCGCGAGTGGGTGTCTGTTCGCGCGCGCGCGAGTGGGTGTTTGTTCGCGCGCGCGCGAGTGGGTGTTTGTTCGCGCGCGCGCTATTCACCGACGCACGCAGCCCCTTGGGCACGGAAGCCGCCCTGGCAGACGCAGGCGTAGCTGCCGAGGTTGTTGACGCAGAGGTTGCCCAGCTCACGGCGGCACGTCTCCTCGAAGGTGCACTCGTCCACGTCTCCGCGGTGCCGCGGCGAGGTCGCAGGTCGTGGGTTGGGGGTGCAGAGTGGGACGGGTTCGGGCGGAGACCGGCGGAAGCGACGGCGAATGATAGAGGAGACAGCGGCGTAACGAACGCAACAACAAAAAAAAGGACATTGGGCCGTTTAAAATCAGAGGGAACAGGACTCGTCATTGGACAGGATACGAGACAAAGTAGAGGACGCAGGGTACTGAGAATAGGGGATGTGTGATGCATGTATGTTGACGTTCTTTCGCACCGTACGTAGCCAGCCGTGCTGATCGGAGGTGCGGGGAAAGACGACAACACGAATGTATGCCACAGAGGTATTTACAATGGGTTTTTTTTGTGAATTAACAAACGTTGATGTACAGTCCCTTTGTCAATCCACTGCTGGATGAAGGCTTCCCCACGCTGTGTTGGTCAGCAGGGAGTTGTTTGACCGGACTCACGCTCTGGGGGTGGGAGGGGGGAGGTGTTGGGGACTGGTTCCAATGATATCGGTTCCGATAATATCGCTCGCCACTGGCGTTGGTAGCGATGGCGAATCTAACACGGGTCGTTGGGTTCATGGTGCTCCTGACTACAGCACTCCTCTCATCCCTGTGCCTGCAAACAGCGCTTCGTTTCAGCCGGAACAGTTCGGAACGCTGTTCCGGGAACAATTCTGGAACGCCGCGTATAAAGAAACGCGGCCAATGTTTAAATTGCAGTGCCGGCGATTTCTGGATCGCAAGTCGGGTGTGGCGAACGATTCCCTTCGGTGTGGTGCCGGTAAACGCGAGTGCTTCGCCTGCGGTGGTGGTGGCGGCGGTGGTGGTGGCGGTGGTGGTGGCGGCGGCGTCGTCGTGGCTGTTTTACCGATGCAGGCGCGGCTGTCGAGTGAGAGCACGAAGCCCGACTCGCATGCGCACGAGAACGACCCCGGCGCGTTGCGGCACACGCCCCGGCCGGAGCAGGCCTGCAGCCCCGTGACCCGCGCCAGCGCGCACTCGTCCACGTCTGCACGTGCGCACACAAAAAAATCCCCCGTATAACACAGGCTTTTTTTGGGGGGGTTAGATCGCGTAAATATATATAAATAAAGATGTGTCGTTAAACCCGCCACCACCCGACACAGCCAACTAGTAAGGGTTGTCACGTAAACAGAACGTGGCCAATTCGTCACGAGTACAGCACACCGGTGTGTTGGAGAGCTAAGCAACAACATTTACAATCTGAGTACGACGTTTCACCAGTAATTACAACCAGCTTCATCAGGCGACAGCCAGATTTGTATAGAGGCGTAGTTGTGATGACAACACTTGTGCACTCTTCTTGCACAAAGTGGGGGGGGGGGGGGGGGGTTAATTAATCAACGTACTTTATGCATCTGCATTATGCGAGCCCATTGATTTTGTACTTCCATCCCCCGTATAGCCTTCACAGACTGTTGGGGCAAGTGCTGTTAGCGAGTAGCACCTATTAAGGCCGACGTGGCACACGAGGGGGGTTGGTGGCCAGCACCACTCCTGGACCGGTTCAATAATACGCCACTGGTGTCCAACTTGGGTTGCCGGGTTTGTAGCGCAGTGCGCTAACCACTGCACTACCACTCACGCGCACACACCCGCACAGACTCACGCACACACACAGGCGCACCCACACACCCGCACAGACTCACGCACACACACAGGCGCACCCACACACCCGCACAGACTCACGCACACACACAGGCGCACCCACACACCCGCACAGACTCACGCACACACACAGGCGCTCCCACACACCCGCACAGACTCACGCACACACACAGGCGCACCCACACACGCGCACACAGCGCAGTAGGGCAGTGGCAGCGGCTTGAGCGGTGACAGTGCAAGGAGACATAGAAGAGGTGTTATCGATACGTGTCGTGCGAAGGCTTTCGTGACCAATGTTACGATTCCTGATTGGCTTCCTGTGCGTTCGATCATCGTGTGGGTATTACAGCAACGTCGATTTGAGCTGACAAGGCCAAACAAATCAAGTTGTCACGTGGGCAAATATGACAATTGATTTAGATTTTTTTTTTGGCAAACCCGAGATTGAAAAGCAAGTAAAATTTTGATACGTGGGTCACATAATTTCTTTGCCTCGCAGGACATTAATTGGCCGCGTTGTCTTCAGCGGTGTAGCTGGCTGTGTAGCGCAGCGTCGCTCCACATTGTGCTGAGTGACGCTGCATTGTGCTGCTCTTATCATGTATGTTGGACTTCTTTCGCACCGTACGTAGCCAACCGTGCTAATCGTAGGTGCGGGTGAAGGACAACAAACTAAACACAAAAATCAGTTCTAAATTGATGCGTTTTGAATCTAGATTATTTAAAAGTGCATAGCTCCAGTGGCTTCCTAATATCGGAAGGAAGAGCGTTCCAGGTGGCCGCAGAATCGCACCTTAAAGCGCGCGATGCGGTGACCACCGTCCCTGTTCTATGCGCGGTCGTGCTGCGCTTCACGGTGCAGTACTTTGCTGTGCCGTGTTCAGCGGTGCGGCCGGCTGCGTCACTGCACATCGATCTGCTACGTCGCGTCGTGTTGCATCGTGTTGTGCTGCGCTTTGTGGTGTCGTGTTGTACTACAATCGTGCTGTGCGGTACTGCAACGCGCTGTCGCCGCGTTGTGCCGCGTTGTGCCGCGTTGTGCCGCTGCACGCACCCTCGCACCCTGCGGGCCCCATGATGTACCCTCGCGTGCACTCGCACAGGAAGGAGCCGATGCGGTTCGTGCAGTTGGCGTGGAGGCCGCACGGACCCGGTCCCAGCGAGCACTCGTCCACGTCTCTCACGGCAATGCAAGAACACACGGGGGAGGGGTGGTGGGGGGGGGGGGGGGGACCGGGAGGAGGATGAGAGGGAGGGGAGAGACACAGGGAGAGGTAAACGGCAGAGATGCAAGGGGAGATACAGGGATAGATAACAGGGGAGAGACAGGTCGAGACGAGATGGGAGCCAGGGAGAGAATAAAGGGGAGGTAATTGAAGAGATGACAGGGGAGATAGAGCGATGAGAGGGGTGATGAGGGTACAGGAGTGGTAAATGGGTCAGTCTGTCACTGGGTTTGCAATTACAAATCGACGCTTCCTCCGCTCATGCCTCTCTCACTGTGTTTCCAATTAGACGTTTCGTTTGAACGATTCAAGTGTTACGCCAGCAGATATTACCTGCTGTGACACATGGCGTAAATATCGAATGGGAAAAGCAACCCTCCCATCAGTCGTGACAACGTCCAACGGGAATTAACTCGAGAGAACGTTGGACGAACCCAATCAAGAAGGGCGCAGGTTTGGGCTTGCGATAGACGGGCGCGAAACAACAACAATCCGCGTACGGAACGTTTCGCCGAACGTATCCGAGACGTTGGCTGTCAAAGTTTGGGGGTTGGGGGGGGGGATGGTGGGGGGGGGGGGACGACCCACGACTGGGAAAAACGCCGAACGCGGATCGACACCAAAACGATGACGGCGAAACGGAGAGGCGGGAACGAGAGCGTTGTTTTTTTCTGCAAAGAAAATAAAAGGAAGACCATCTCCGCGCGTCCCGTTACCCACGCATCCCGGCCCCTGGGCTTCGAATCCGGCGGGGCACGTGCAGTTGTCTCCCTGGCGGGTCGTGCCATCCGGGCAGCCGCAGCCGCCCCCGTCCAGGGGCACCAGCTCCCCGGCGCACGGGTCCAGCTCGCCGGGGTCAACCGCGAGCTCCTCCGCGGTCTCCACCGCAGTCTCCACCGCGTTCGTCCCGTTCCCCTCAACAGGGGGAGCTGGGCAAGTCGGGGGGGGGAGGGTTAGGGGGATAGAGGTTCAGGGGTTAAGAGGACGGAGGTGGAGCAAGCTCTGTAACGTCGGGAGCGGTGGTGTAGCGGTTATCGCTACGAACCCGGCGGACCCGAGTTCGACTCCCGCTCGCGGTTGACACCGGTGACGATTATTTGAACCGGTCATGGGCCTCCCCCGAGGTCGACTCGGCCTCAAATGAGTACCTGGTGCGGTGCGTAAACATCGCCACTGGGGAGACAAAGGCGGTCTGGCGTGGTGTCGGCCACACCACCCTCTCGTGCGTCGTTCTGGCCTTCATAGGTGCTACTCGCTAACAGCATTTGCCCCAACAGTCTGTTAAGGCTACGCGGGGGATCTTTGTCGTTGTCTTTGTGTTGTTAATAAGTTTGCGAATACATAGCCAAGGACGTGGCAGAGCTTGCTAGGTCTTCGAAAACTGGGAATTTGAGAACCCCCTCCACGCTAGAGATACTTTTCATTCACCTCTGTGCTCCCCGTTGATTAAAAACGGCTCTAAACTCCGTTAGATTTGGGCTTCACACACCCCACCAATGCAGCCGCACGGAGCAGTGGTGACAACCTGCGGGCGACTTGCATTCGGAAACGGTTGCGAGTTACAAAGTCCTGGTCGGCGGTCGACTCGGTCATTCATCCCTCCAGGGTTGATTTTTTTTTTTAAATGAGGACTGCTTTGTGCGTCGGGAGGACTGCCGGAGGATGGGGGGAGACGCGCGGTGGTGCTGGAGAGGGAGGGGTGAGGGGAGTGGAGGGAGAGTCGTTTTGAGAAAAGTGGAGAGGTTGTGGCAGAGTTAGGAACGGGGAGGGGGGGGCGAACGCCGTTTCAGCCGGTGACCGGATCTTGACAATTGGACCATCTGGGAGTAATTTCGGGGCCAGAGGGGAAAACAAACAAAAAATTATCCCAAAAATCTGGTATGTGCACATGGATACGCGCACGCGCTCACGCATGCACACATGTGGGACTGCGTACCACTGCCGGTTGTAGGTTGATGGACGGAGAATTATTTCTGGTCTGGTCTGCGCTGCACTCTGCTCTTACGACCAAGTGAAGTATTTCCATTGGCATCGGCAAATTTGTACTTTTCCCATTTTAAAACATCGTTTTAACGAATTCATAGAACCATCTGATGAGAGGAGAACTGAATAGTAGTGTTAGCGGAGTGACGCTTGAGAGGCATTTAACTCCAGAACATAATTCCGCACCCAAAAATATAACTTAAGAGTTGTATGGCAGAAACCGAGAGACAGTGTGATCAGCCAATCATATATCAAAGAAAGCTTCAGTAAGTCTCAAGACTCCTTTTCAAGAGGGTCCTGCATTGGGGTGGTTTTGACCAGTGTCACTAACGAGCGCTTGGCTACATGTGGAAGGAAAAAAATGCACGCACACACATGAAGGATAACATTCAACATCCGCACAGATGGATGTGATAATCTACTTGCTGTACTGGTAGTAGTGTGGCATGGTTGTTGACGTGTGCCCTGGTGCAAGGAGCGAAATGGGACCTCCTCTACGTAACTGGGCGCCTGGGCCATTTCGACCCATTGGTTGGTCGTGGTGCAGTTGCACCGCCTGTAAACTTTTGATAGCTGCAGCACTGGATACTGGCATTTTCTGGCCACCCCGATAGCATCGCGAAGTTCGGAATTTCGCTCATCGGCGTGATCCGCCAACCGTTTCTTCCAAAGCGCTGGATCACAGGCGGTGTGTGTGCGCTGGTGACGTGATTGATGAGGGCGAGGGGGTGGGGTGGATGATGGGTTTCGGGAGATGGAGGTGGGAGAGGAGGTGGAGAGAGACACGTACCCCTGATGGGTTCTGCTGCGGTGTCTGCCACGCTCCGGATCACGTCGTCGATGTCGGCCAGTTCCTGCGTGCACACAAGCGAGCGAGCGTCCGCACGCACACAAAGCTCAATCAGGGGGCGAGCAAAAGTGCACGCACAAAGCCGGGCTACGGTAACGCCTCTCGAAGCCGGACCCATTGGGGGGGGGGGGGGGAGATCCTTTTGTGTTCTGGATGATGTCTGGCATCCTGTGGGTCTCATGAGCAGAGGCAGGCCCGTTCAACATAGGAAGCAATGCCACGTGCGTGTATGATGAGAACTGTTTTCCCACAAGAAAGGCACGGCCAGATGGCTGAGGGGTCGAGCGAGGGGCTCGAAATTCGGGAGGTCGCGAGTTCATATCCTGGCTGTGGGTTGACTCAGCCCATCATTTCGATTTAAAGCTTTCGTGACTGCAAGGATTCATCTTCTTTGGTTCTTTCGGTAAAGTCACGTAGTCTCGTCCCTTCACCTGATGAAGGCCGCTTGTGTTGTGGCCGAAGCGTCGTGAGAATATTATTGTGTTATTTTATTTTATTATTTTATTATTTTATTCTCATTCTACGTGACTTTACCGAAAGAACCAAAGAAGATCAGCCCATCATCTCTGCAGGGTAAGTCAACGTGAGTTGTCCTATGGATGCTCTCCTCACCTCCGAGAAACAAAGAGAGGAGCTCTCTGCTTCTCAACTTTTGTTTATATAAGAATTGTGAACAGCTGGACACTGGCAGAATGTCCCCCGTGCCTTCACCCCGCTCATACTCCAAGCCCCTGGTGAATGCAGCAATCTTGTCATCCCTGGAGCGTTTGTCTTGTTGAGGCTATCGGTCCCTTCGCATGCCATTGTAGGCGATTGATTGCCACTAACCAAGATGTACAAAGACAAAGAGCCTGTAACAAGTGCTGTTAGCGAGCACCGATAAAGGCCGGAACGGTACACGAGGGGGTGGGTGGCCAGCACCACGCGAGGCCGCCTTTGTCTCCCCAGTGGCGATGTTTACACACCACACCAGGTACTCATCTGAGGCTGAGTCGACCTAGGAGATGCCCATGACCGGTTCAGATAATCGTCACCGGTGTTGGCCGTGAGCGGGAATCGAACTCGGGTCACCGAGTCCATAACGCAGCGCGCTAACCGCGACACCACCGCTCCACTACCGCTCCCCGACCGAGACGTACAAACAAGGACAAAGACAAAGATCCACCATATAGCCTTAACAGACTATAGGGGCAAGTGCTGTTAGCGAGCACCGATAAAGGCCGGAACGGTACACGAGGGGGTGGGTGGTCAGCACCTCGCCCGACCGCCTTTGTCTCCCCAGTGGTGATGTTTACACACCGCACCAAGCACTAATCTGAGGCTGAGTCGACCTAGGAGATGCACATGACCAGTTCAGATAATCGTCACCGGTGTTGGCCGTGAGCGGGAATCGAATTCGAGTCGCCAGGTTCATAGCGCAGCGTAGCGCTAACCGCTACACCACCGCTCCCCGTACAAAGGCACACGCGCACACACCCAGGGGAGAGGTTTGAGCACCAAATACACCGATACACTCATTGGCTATTGCGTTGAATAGCGTCCCGTAGTTTACATGAAGTGCTCTTGCCAATGCCTTCTAGTAAGTAGTCCAGCAGCGTGTTGAACAAGCCTCACCGCTGGCGAGACCTAGAATATCAAAACCGATGCAGAGTTTGCTTGCTTGCACATAATTATGCTGCTTAATGATATTGTTGTGGAAAGCCATGCAATAGGCTGATAGACTAAACCATCTTTGTATGTCAGGAGCGTTAACGGGTGTGGGGACAAGGGGGTGCCTTGAAGCTACGAGTTGGGGCCTCCCTTGACAACCACCGTGAGATGTTTTCAACAATATTGGGGCCCCACCTGACCGATAGCCGCACCCCCTGAGCTAACAAATGTAAATAGGCCACTGATGGCACGCTGGAACTTCTTTCACACCGTACGGTGGCCAGCCGTGCTAAGTGGAGGTGCGGGGCAAGGACAACACACCGAACACAATAAGCGGTTCTACAGAAATGAGTTAGGGGCCATCTATTTAGTACGTACGCATTGGAGGGGGGAGGGGGGTTAACCCAAATGCGTTACGCTTGCGTATGGGGGGGGGGGGGTCTACTGTCAATGTACGCATAGGAAACGGGGGGGGGTGAAGCCTCGACAATAATTTGTCTACATTGGCCTTCAAATTAGTTAGATAGTCCGCCGGTGGACTATCTGTTTGCTTAAACACGTTCATATGATTAATCAAGAGACACAGAAGGGAATTGTTTTTGCTCAGTATTGCTTTTCCACGCAGGTATTACTTTTCCACGCAAGGTATTTGTGGAGCCATTAAGAGCAGCGACCCCGGTTTACGTCGGGGACGCGTTCCCGAAATGCGCGACGACGAATATTGAAAAAACGACGTAAAATCGAAGCGATTTCCCCCCCCCCCCCCCCTTCATCCAAATCATCACCAAAATCACCCAAATGCTTGCTGCGCACCAACAAAACAACGCACTCCGCGGTAAGTTTCTTTCGATCCGCGACACAGAGCGGTTCCTGCGCGGTTTGGTCGGCGGTGGAGGCGCTGGAGGCGGCGGAGAGAGGCAACGGATAACGAGGAAAGGAGCGGGGACGATGCCGTCAGCGTTAGCGTGGGGTTGATGCGACGTAATTTGCAAAACGACGTGAAATTCTGGAGACGGTAAATCGGGGAGGGGGGGGCGGGGCGCTATTACTGTGCCACAATCTGCGCGCGATGTATTTATTCTCTCGATAAATAATTCCTCGATGACTAACGTCGCCGTACCAGGCACTCTTTAAGGCTGAGTCGACCTAGCGGATGCCCAGGACCTATTCAAGTATCGCTCGCCACTGATGTTAGCCGAAGCAGGGAATCGAACCCAGGTGGCGCAGGTTCGTGGCGCAGTGCGCTTAGCACTACGATACATAACAAAGACCAAGTTCTCCCCAATAGCCTTAGCAGACTGTCGGGGCAAGTGCTGTTCGCGAGCAGCACCTCCGAAAGCCGGCAACGGCGCACGGAGGGGATGGGTGGCCAGCAACACGCCCGGCCGCCTTTGTCTCCCCTAGTGGCGACGTTTTTTACGCACCGCACCAGGTACTCATTTGAGGCTGAGTCGACCTAGGGGAGGCCCTGGACCGTTCGGATATAATCGTCACTGGTGTTGGCCGTGAGCGGGAATCGAACTTGGGTGGTCGGGTTTGTAGCGCAGCGTAGCGCTAACCGCTGCTCCACCGCTCCCCACACGATATACACACGCACACGCACGTGTCCTCTGTCAAGTGCTTGCATATTGTTAATGCAGAGTCACGTTATGCCGTGTACCTATTGTGATGCGAAATTAGTGCTGTTGCTGCTGTATCATCTATTGTGCTATTGTGTTGTTATATCATCTATTGTGCTGTTTCTACTTTATCATCTATTGTGCTGTATCATCTATTGTGCTGTATCATCTATTGTATTGTTGTATCATCTATTGTGTTGTTGTATCATCTATTGTGTTGTATCATCTATTGTGTTGTTGTATCATCTATTGTGCTGTTGTATCATCTATTGTGTTGTATCATCTATTGTGTTGTTGTATCATCTATTGTGTTGTATCATCTATTGTGCTGTATCATCTATTGTGTTGTATCATCTATTGTGTTGTATCATCTATTGTGCTGTATCATCTATTGTGTTGTTGTATCATCTATTGTGATGTTGTATCATCTATTGTGTTGTATCATCTATTGTGCTGTATCATCTATTGTGTTGTATCATCTATTGTGTTGTATCATCTATTGTGCTGTATCATCTATTGTGTTGTTGTATCATCTATTGTGATGTTGTATCATCTATTGTGTTGTATCATCTATTGTGTTGTTGTATCATCTATTGTGCTGTATCATCTATTGTGTTGTATCATCTATTGTGTTGTATCATCTATTGTGCTGTATCATCTATTGTGTTGTTGTGTCATCTATTGTGCTGTATCATCTATTGTGTGGTGATGTTGTGTGACCTGGACGCTCTTTTCCCTGTTTGCGCTGCGCCATCGTCTCTTGTGTGTGCCTGCTGTGTGTGAACTGTTGGTTGTCGTGATTAGTTTGTTGTCCTTCCCCCGCACCTCCGATCAGCACGGTTGGCTGCGTACGGTGCGAATGAAGTTTAACATACAGTACACATGTCCTTATGTTCTGCCGTATCATCTCCAATGTTTTGAGTGTTGTCATTAATCTTCTATTGCGTCCTGTTTCTTATGGTTTCCAGTATCCACTAATCTGCACCATATATCCTTTATGGCCCATACCATCTGCTGCTGTCCTGCTTTCTGTACTGTGTATCCTCCACGTCCTGTACCCTATGTGTTCCCGCACCTCCGATCATACGACCCATATTCTCAGCGCCCTGTGGTCCTCTGCTCTGTATCCCGTAATCCGGTCCTGTTACCTGTGCTCCGTGTCACGTATCCTCTGTAAGTCGGATACTTCGTAGTGTCCTGCACTCTGTCCCGTATCCTCTGCATACTTTGCTCTGTCCCCTTTCATTCGCGTCCCGTTCCCTCTGCACGATGTCCATCGTTCCCCGTGTCCCTTTATCCCGTCTGATGATGCGTCCTGTTCTCCCCTCTGCTCAATGGCCTGTCATCCTTATCTCTGGGGTACCCCGTAGCCTGTATCCCCTTGCGCTGTGCACTACCGGGATCCTGCCTTGCCTCCATCCATCCACCTACCTTGGCCGACCTTCCCTGCGCCACGGGTCGTGGCGCTGCGGGCAGCGGCTGCTGTGCCTCGACAGTGGATGCGCACAGCACCACGCAGAGAAGCAGCATCTTCTTCTTCGTCGTCTTCATCATCATCATCCTCCCCCACCGCGCGCAAGGCGGACACAGACGCAACCAGGCGGAGACAGCTGAAGCTCCAAACACAGCAGCCAGGAACAGCAGCAGCCAAACTCGAGCCGGCGTAACTGCGCGAACGCACAGGAGTCAATCCTCTTTCTTCCCGGCGTTAAAGAGTTGATCAGAGTGACGGGCGAGTCGATCAGAAAGAACGACTTGAAGCTTTCGTATCGTCTTCTCGCCGCGTCTTCTTTGATTGCGTTACTTGAAACAGGAGACGATCCTTGAGGATTCCACGCGATGCTGCGTTGGTGTTGTTTGATGATCGCGAGGGCGAAGCCGTTGTTGGTTTTTGTGCAGGCAGCTCTAGGATTCGAGGCTGTGGTTGTTGTTGTTGGGTGGTTGGTGTTGTTGTTGGGAAGGGGGGGGGGGGCTGAGGAATGGAGTGGATGGTAATTGGGGGAGGGGTGAGGCTGTGCATGCACCACCACCAACCCTATCCAACTTCATTCTTCCAAAGTTTTACACAACCACCACCACCAACCCCCCATCGGCCACATGCCCTTCCAAGCATTCCTGCCTTGACTCCCCTCTGAGACTCTCCAGCTCATAGGAAGTGCATGGGAGGCTGTTTGTCGTCAGGCTGACGATGTCCATGACAACAAACACCCGCTCTGCGCTCGACATCGTCGGCTCTCGGCAGCTAAGCTAATCAAGCGTCGTGGACCTGGATAGCGGGATGGTGCTTTTGATGGGTGCCTGCCTTCGCTAGCCCGACATGACCATTTTGGGTGAAGTATGGTGGAAAATCTCCCCCCCCCCCCCGCATGGCATTGGCATCCCCACATTCATGAGTGGATTTATATTGTATCGGGTCACTTCGACTGTTTTCACGATACGATAATTAATTTACACGATATGACGATTATCGCGATATCGGTTTCCACATACGTTATGTAATTGTGTTTGTATTGCGATCACTGCATTGGTGTACTTACCAGTCAGAATAATACAGAATAATGGCAAGTTCTTCAACCGCAGTTCACCGAGAAACAGAATTTGTATTTCGACTGGAGGAATCCGATGAGCTATGAAGCTCTTTTTCACACGCCGATGTCCAAGATAATATTAGGCTGCCTTAATGAAGTATTTTCATCAGTGCCATTTCCCAATGACTGTAACGTTTATAATGGACACGAGGCAGTTAATTAAACTAAACATTAACCACGAAAATATATAAAACATTTATTTAAAGCGTTGCAAACCACTCATTTATTTGTGTATTTACGGAATTTAGAACTGTAATTATGTATGTGTTTGTTTTTCCCTGTATAGTACGTTTGATCAAGATATAAATTGCGAGTACTGAAATTTTTGATTTAACGGATGGTAATCGCGATGTGACGACATTTAACGAAACGGACGATTTTTGATTTAAAGCTTTCGTGACTGCAGGGATTCATATTCTTGGTTCTTTCGGTAAAGTCACGTAGAAGGGAAACAATAACATAATAAAAATATAAAACAATAAAATTATCACGACGTTTCGACTGCAACACAAGCAATCATCATCAGGTGTGAAAACCACAACAAGAAAATGTTTGTTGTGGAACCACAACAAGAAAAAATTTATGTTGTGGTTTTCACACCTGATGATGATTGCTTGTGTTGCAGTCGAAACGTCGTGATAATTGTATTGTTTGATATTTGTATTATTTTATTGTTTCCTTTCTACGTGACTTTACCGAAAGGACCAAGAATATGAAACGGACGATACTTATTATCGTGGAACTTGTATCGTACGATGATATATCGTGGTATCGCGATATCTCAGCAACGCTAATATGTATAGTTTACACATGGAGTACATATGGAGTGAGTTCAACTGAGTCGCAGACGTACACTTGGAGGAAACACATTTATTTAACTCCAACACATGGGGTAACTTCCCGTTAACAGGATAACAACCTATGGTGGTGACCACCAGGCTAACTACACTAATTACAACGTAACTGGTGAAGTTAGCCAGGTGGTGACCACCAGGCTAGCTACACTAGTTACTACGTGACTGGTGTAGTTAGCCAGGTGGTGACCACCAGGCTAACTACACTAGTTACCACGTGACTGGTGTAGTTAGCCAGGTGGTGACCACCAGGCTAACTACACTAGTTACAACGTAACTGGTCTAGTTAGCCAGGTGGTGACCACCAGGCTAACTACACTAATTACAACGTAACTGGTGAAGTTAGCCAGGTGGTGACCACCAGCCTAACTACACTAGTTACAACGTGACTGGTGTAGCTAGCCAGGTGGTAACCACCTGGCTAACTACACTAGTTACTACGTGACTGGTGTAGTTAGCCAGGTGGTGACCACCAGGCTAACTACACTAGTTACAACGTGACTGCTACTACGGACTGGGACCACAGCTCGGGTCCAGGTCCACGTGTTGGAGACTCTGTAGGACGTAGAACGTTGACGAAGGCTTCTTCTAGGATGAACAACAACGCCGGTTCCTTTGGGAACCCGGCTTATATTCTCTGTGGCGTGGCTGGCTCCGCCCTTGGCCACGACCACCTTCCAGAATCCTCGGGAAGGATCTGGATGCTAACCACGTGACCACCCCTAGCCCTCACTTGGGGCCCCTTTGTAGACTTAACAAATTTGACCTCAGATCTTCGCTCATTTACCAGCTTCACATTCCCTATTGCCGTACAAAAACCGGAGGAAGGGCCTTTGCTATTGATGCCCCCAGGGTCTGGAACGCTATTGCCAATAAACTGCAACTTGAATCACTACCTATGAGATCTTCACTCAAAACTGCTCTAGAGGAGTTGTACACCCCTAGCTGCCACTGCTATTCAGTGGCCTAAAATAAAATAAAATGCTTCGCTCCGGATGACCGCTGCAAAGTATTATCTGTATTTTGATTAAGTGTGCTGATCTTAAAGGTGTATTAAAAATGTAATACTCCGACTAATGCTCCTGTTGTTGTGGAGTGACTCATGCAGCCAGCTATGGCTCTAGGGTTTGGTGTTGCATGTTATTTATGTAATTTATTGTAAAAAATTCGGTCACAGTCCCTATGATCACTGTTACATTGCATTTATGGCTTTATTTTGGTGATTTCGAAAAGTTTTTTAGTTTGGCCATGTTTTTGTTTATTGTAGTACGGAGTTAGACTGATGGCCTTAATCTTAGTTGTCTTGTGGTTGTTGTTGTTTGACTTGCATCCCACTGGGATTTTTGCACACAGCGTTGGTGTACGGTGCTATTTCAGGAATATGTTGATGTTTTTTTCCTGGATTTTCTGTTTGCACAGTCACATAGTCACTTTAAGATGTTTTCTTGTTCATGTTTTAGTTTTTTGTTTGTTGCGGTTGCACCCGATTCAAGAGCCGAATGGCTCACAGGGCTATACCAAATAAATGGAACTATGAACGTGTCCTCTCGGGTCAACCAGAGTGCCATGGCCTTTAGGAACCTCATTCCTACGGCCGGCACTCCCACACCCTGTCCTGTAGGGTTGGCACTGCACGCCAAGCGCGGTGCCATCTAGCGCTGTCAATCAGCGCTCACCGGGCGCCTCTAGGGCTGGTACTACACCCACACCACTGTGCTATCCGTGATGGTGTTACACCGCACGCCGTGACTCTCTAGGGCCGGTACTACACCCACACCACTGTGCTATCCGTGATGGTGTTACACCGCACGCTGTGACTCTCTAAGGCCGGCACTGCACAGTGTCACCCCGCGTTGTCACTACACATACAAAAGTGCTCGAAATGCAAGCTAAATGGAAACCATAAAATCAATCATCACTGACTCCATGTGCTCACCACGAGGTCCACACACAACACGTGTGACCAACTATTATCGTAATGAATTGCCAATTACAATTCGATAACAACGGCGCATCATAGCCAGAACACTGAAACCGACACCCATCCCCTTTGGCTCCCTGTTCTGGCGAATATTCTTGCAACCAAATATCCGCAGAGATTTGCAAACTGAAAGGGAGTTCGCACGTTGTGTTGCCAACTACAATCACCACCACCATCTACCCATCAACCAAGACCTCACCAACGTCCCTCGCCGTCACCAACTCAAGTTTCTGGGATGGATGGCGCTGCTGTCACCATCCCTAGAATATCACCCAGATGCGGATGAACGCCGGGCAACGAACAAAGAGTGGAAACAATGCGCACGTCCGGAATAACAAACACCTCCACTCGAGACGCAAACATCATCGCAACTCCAGGCTTTGACATTCCTCCTCCACCTCCTCCTCGAAGACACCGGAGTTACCATCAACTGCATCAGAACATCAACAGGCCAATGCGCACATCTCCAACGTCAATGTAAAATTAAAGACTCAAAACAGGAGTGCGATTGTGGCCATGCAACCCAAACTATGGATCATATAAATTTCGATTTAAAGCTTTCGTGACTGCAGGGATTCATCTTCTTGGTTCTTTCGGTAAAGTCACGTAGAATGGAAATAAAATCATTTTATTTCATTATGTTTTATTTTTATTATTTTATTTCCATTATACGTGACTTTATTGATCATATAGTTAAACCCACAGTAAGTCTGCGCTCTTTCAAGGGAGGAATCACAAAACTACACGAACTTTCCGCTCCTGAAGCACCCTCTCATAGTGACTAGCAGATCTCGACATTGGCAATTAACTCCTGAACCACATTGTTGCCATGCGCAACAATAGAAACATATTCTTGGTTCTTTCGGTAAAGTCACGTAGAAGAGAAACAATAAAATAATAAACACATGTTTTATATATTTTTTTGTATTATTTAAAAAATATGTTTTGTATTTTTATTATTTTATTGTTTCTCTTCTACGTGACTTTACCGAAAGAATCAAGAATATGAATCCCTGCAGTCACGAAAGCTTTAAATCAAAATAGACACAGTTAATTGGCCGATTAAGCTAAATAATTGGCTAACGGGCCAGCGAATGATTGTTGATTGCTCAAGCACTGATTGTTGATTGACCAGCAAGTGATTGGTGATTGAACCATCAGGTGGAGTGGAGGTGTAAGTGGAGGGAATAACAGGTTTGGTTCAGCTGCCGAACAAAGACAAACTTGTGTGTGTGCTGTTTGCTGGAATCGTCCTGCCCAACTCTGGAACCAAACCGGGTGAGTTGTTTGTTTTGTACGGGGTACAGACGTGTGTAACTGCAGTTTTCACGTACGCCACATTACAATTGCATAACTGTCAACCCATACGGGTTATTCTCATATTCTTGTACAGGGAAATTGAGTTTTCAGGTCCATACGGCGTTACAGCCGTTTCAGTACGGGCAAACTTTGTTTTGTCTTTGTGTTTCTCGCCTTGTGATGGGACTTTATAGGATGAACGTTGAGATTTGGAAGGGCACGGGGTGACCAATGAGGTCTGAATTGGTCTGTAATAAGGTAGGGCACTGTTAAGGGGTTGACAGGTATGCAATTGTAACTTTCTATGTCCTCAATCGGGGATTCATTTAGGACTGTATAAAGTATTCCGAAATGTTGCTTAGGCTGGTCTAAGCAGCAGGCGTTAAGGCACCACCACTCGAGGTGCAAGGTACATCTATCCATAACCACACACCCCTTATCACTGCCTACCTTGTCACAGACCCTAAAGGACACCCCGTGCCCTTGATAAATCTCAACGTTTAACCTACAAAGTCCCACCACACAAGGGAGAAACACAAATTGACAACAAACGAATGTTTTGCTCTTAGCGAAACGGCTGCACGCCGTGTGGACGTGAAGAATCACTTGAAGATGTTTTCTTGTTCACGTTTTTGTTTTTTTGTTTGTTGCGGTTACACCCGATTCAAGAGCCGAATGGCTCGCAGGGCTATGCCAAATAAATGGAACTATGGAACTATGGACTCGACGTCCCTGTACAAGAATTACGGGGTAAACCGTACGGGTGGACACGGTATGCGTTATCCTTCACGTGCCCTGCTCGTCTAAAGGGCGTCCGGGCCAGGGCACAAACATCGGGCGAGGTTAAATGGGGGCGACGGCCTGCGTGGAGCAGTGGATCGATCACGGCTGATGATGATGACGGGCTGTGGTTGCGTATAAAGACACTTGGGCACTTCACGTGAGCGGAACGTTACGATGTGCACCACTTGTCACGTCGACATTTAAGCCACAATTCTGCTGCCGCTGCTTGCTAGCGGCCACCTTGTAGTCGGGAATGTTGGCTCAAGTACAGTGCAGGGTGGTCCAGATGTCTTGTGACACCCCCCCCCCCCTCCTAACATTTTTCCCTCTTTCCATGTTTACTTTCTCTTTTCAAATAAAGTTTACTTTTAACGTTTTTTTAGAGAATTAAACGGTAGTCACAATACGTCTAGGAGCACCCCATGTACAGTACTATATACTGTAGAACTATCCATAATAATGTATAAATGTTGTACCCCCACCATATTGAATAGTTCTAATTAGGATCAAATAAGAGGAGATTGATGTGGTTGGTGTGCCAGCGTAATAAGTGCGAATCGACGTTCCCCGGCACCGTCTAAGCCGAAATGGAAGCAATTTCTTGTCCGTGGTTCGCAGTGTTCACCACCTTGTAATCGTTAACAACAACCACCACCACCACCACCAACCACGATGCAACACCACTACTAAGCAATGTTCTTCACCAAATTCGCAGATTTTGAGGGTGCGGTGGAGGGGGGGGGGCACTTTAGCCGAGAAGGCATCACCAGTGTTGCCCGGGTAGTCACACATTTGAAACCATTGCGATGATGATGGTGGTGGTCGTGGAGCGGTGTTTTCACATTTGTCTATTGTTATGGCCCAGCGGGGCCTTTGCTATTTGAAGAACTCACAAACTGCTCGCAGAGAGGCGAGCTGATGCGCACCCAACGCTTTTACCTGTCGCAAACCCCCTTCTATCAGCAGTGCCCTACCTTATCACAGACCAATTCGGACCTTATTGGTCACCCCGTGCCCCTTTATAAATCCCAACGTTCATCCCACAAAGTCCCATCGCAAGGTGAGAAACACAAACAAATAGACACGCATTTTTTAAAACTAAGTTTCCCTGTACAAGAATACGGTTAAACCGTGTGGGTTGACACGGCATGGGCACGTGTAACTTCTACATCCATGCGTGCGTGTTTGTGTGTGTGTCCAGCCAAGGCGCACGCTTTAATTCAACCAAACCAACCAAATCTTCAACCCTCCCCCATGGCTTCCCGATGGAGAACGAAGACCTCGGGTGGGGCCCGTAAGTCTGGCGGCGGCGGCGTGAGAGCAGCCGGCCAGGCGCGCCCCTCCCTGGGGCCCGCGGGCGAGGGCCTGGACCCCGCAGACCGGCGGGACAAGCTGGAGGTCTTCCTGCAGGACTTCGACAGGGAAGGTGCGGGGGGGGGATTGGCAGCCGTGGTTCTGTGGCTTGGTGATGGGGGGGGGGGCAGCCCGTGGTTCTGTGGCCTGGTGATGGGGGGGGGGGGGCAGCCGTGGTTCTGTGACCTGGTGATGGGGGGGGGGGCAGCCGTGGTTCTGTGGCCTGGTGATGGGGGGGGGGCAGCCGTGGTTCTGTGGCCTGGTGATGGGGGGGGGCAGCCCGTGGTTCTGTGGCCTGGTGATGGGGGGGGCAGCCCGTGGTTCTGTGGCCTGGTGATGGGGGGGGGGCAGCCGTGGTTCTGTGGCCTGGTGATGGGGGGGCAGCCGTGGTTCTGTGGCCTGGTGATGGGGGGGGGCAGCCCGTGGTTCTGTGGCCTGGTGATGGGGGGGGCAGCCGTGGTTCTGTGGCCTGGTGATGGGGGGGGGCAGCCGTGGTTCTGTGGCCTGGTGATGGGGGGGGGGCAGCCCGTGGTTCTGTGGCCTGGTGATGGGGGGGGGGCAGCCCGTGGTTCTGTGGCCTGGTGATGGGGGGGGGGCAGCCGGGGTTCTGTGGCCTGGTGATGGGGGGGGCAGCCGTGGTTCTGTGGCCTGGTGATGGGGGGGGGGGCAGCCGTGGTTCTGTGGCCGGGTGATGGGGGGGGCAGCCGTGGTTCTGTGGCCTGGTGATGGGGGGGGGGGGGCAGCCCGTGGTTCTTTGGCCTGGTGATGGGGGGGGGGCAGCCGTGGTTCTGTGGCCTGGTGATGGGGGGGGGGCAGCCGTGGTTCTGTGGCCTGGTGATGGGGGGGGGGGGGCAGCCCGTGGTTCTGTGGCCTGGTGATGGGGGGGGCAGCCGTGGTTCTGTGGCCTGGTGATGGGGGGGGGGGGCAGCCCGTGGTTCTGTGGCCTGGTGATGGGGGGGGGGCAGCCCGTGGTTCTGTGGCCTGGTGATGGGGGGGGGGGGCAGCCGTGGTTCTGTGGCCTGGTGATGGGGGGGGCAGCCGTGGTTCTGTGGCCTGGTGATGGGGGGGGGGCAGCCGTGGTTCTGTGGCCTGGTGATGGGGGGGGCAGCCGTGGTTCTGTGGCCTGGTGATGGGGGGGGGGGGCAGCCCGTGGTTCTGTGGCCTGGTGATGGGGGGGGGGCAGCCGTGGTTCTGTGGCCTGGTGATGGGGGGGGGCAGCCGTGGTTCTGTGGCCTGGTGATGGGGGGGGGGGGCAGCCCGTGGTTCTGTGGCCTGGTGATGGGGGGGGCAGCCGTGGTTCTGTGGCCTGGTGATGGGGGGGGGGGGCAGCCCGTGGTTCTGTGGCCTGGTGATGGAGTTTGGCAGCCCGTGGTTCTGTGGCTTGGTGGGGAGCGGGTGGCGTGTTATCGACCCAGGAGGAAAAAAAAAAACCTCCCACACCCCGGTACACCACATCCAGTATTATAACACGTTGGATAGTTTTTTGTTAGATCGTGTGTATATACATATAAATGTGTCGTTAAACCCGCCACCACCCGACACAGCCAATTAGTAATGGTCGTCATGTAAACAGAACGAGGCACATCCTGTATACAACTTGCCGTGGCTGCGGCTACGCGGCACAGATTACATTATCCCGATTATAAGACGCAATCTTTTTTTCTCTCCTCGCTTGGATCTTTTAAAACGAACGTTGCGCGTATTGTATGCAATGTCATGTGTGGTGAACGTCTTCCGCAACGTGCGTGGCCGACCGTGCTCGTCGGAGGTGCGGGGGGTGGGAAGGACAACTAACGAAAACACGACAAGCCGTTCCTAAATAAATGAGTTCCCAATTTATACTTATAATGCGGTAGGAGTGGCTGTTAGTGGACATTGAATCCACAGGGTGACCGATGTGGACTGCCTCCTCACCACCGCTGGTGAACAATAGGCCAAGTTACATCCCCCCCCACGTGGGGAATTTTAATTTGTCGAAAAGTTACCCAGAAGCACATTGTCCCCCCGTCACGTGTCGGAGATGAATTGGGTGCTGACCATGCTATGTAACAATTGGAGTGAAGTGTGGTGCAGTGGTTCTAGCTCATTGCGTCGAGTTCAAATCGCATCAGTGGCAAGTGATATCTCAACTGGTCTTAGCCCCCCCCCCCCCCCCCCCCCAGCAACCCCGCACTGACCAGCTTGGTGAAGTATGGTTAAATAACCCCCACAACCAACACAGAATCAGAGGCGTTGGTGCACCAGTGGATTTGTCAAAGTGCTTTATTATTATATAACAGTTAATTTCTCGACGAGGCAGTATTGTTTAACGTGTGACATTTTGGTTCACAGGCGATTCGATGAATTGTTAAGATTTCTTTTTGTGTCTTGTGCTACTGTCTCATTCGTACAGCTGTATTCGTTCAATGAGCACAAATGTAACATTACCATATTGGTCAATTTCGAATATCATTCGCAAGTAATATTATTTACCCCCCCTCCCCCCCCCCCCCACTATTTTACGGGGGTCGTGCACCGCCCTTTTTAACAAATTCACTGCTGGACGAAGGGCCCTCCCCATCCCTTCAGTGGAGGAGGTTGTGTTACCATCCCACTGGTCACTGCGGGTTGGTGAAAGCGGGACGCATAGACGTGGGAGCGTAATACAGCACAACAATGGGGTATACTCTTTGGTTCTATTGGGTAAAGTCACGTAGGTAAAAATAAAATAACAAAAAAAATCACGACGTTTCGGCCACAACACAAGCGGCCTTCATTAGGTGAAGGGACGAGACTGTCTGGAGGACAGCGCTGGAGTGAGAGAAGCCACGCTTAGATCACGACCTTCCGCTAAACCGCCGACTGGTTGCCCACCACGTGGCCCACGTCCGCGACGAAACCTTTCGCATGACGAAATATTGTGGTGGTGGTAGGGGTGTTTTCGGTTTTTTGTGTGGCTCATTTGTGAGCACACGTACCGGTAGCGTATCTCTGGCGACCTCTACTGCTGGTGGCTCCTTGGCTCTGGATTCTTGCAGGGCCGTTCAAGCGGCCGGTAAACTTACTACAGGTCACAATTATGCGGACGTGCGATAGGTGTACCATGGCCGGGTTAAACCGCAGCCCCGCCGTGCACTGATAAGGGGGCTGTCCATAAATGACGTCACGCACCTGGGGGGGGGGGTCAGACATTTGTGACGAGGGGGGGGGGGGTTGAGAAGTGACGTCACATCAAAATGCGCAACTTGAAATATAGAATTGTTATAACAACACTCCTACAACATCAGAGTTCAACGCCACATTAAATACACACTACAATGACAATAGTTTAAAGCGATTTGAAGCATGTTTTATTTTCAAAATGGAAATATTAATTTTTTTTGGGGGGGACAGAGCTTTGTGACGTCATATTTGAGGGGGGGGTCTGACTTTTTGTGACGCCGTGTGACGACTGGGGGGTGTCAAAAATCGTCAAATTGCGTGACGTCATTTATGGACTGCCCCTGATGCAGACGTTGGTGTCGGCTGGGCGGTTTTCGCGTCTCGTCCCCTCCCTCACCCTGTGTGCCCCCCTCCCCTGCCACCTTGTGCCCCCCCCCCCCCCCCCCCCCCCCCCCCCCCCCCCCCCCCACTGCATGTCCGTGCTGCAACACAAAGTGTTGGCTCGGAAGCAGCAGATCCAGACCCTGACCAACTCCGTGCTGGAAGGGCTGAACATGTGCTACTCGCTGCGCATCACTTTGCTGCCACCACGCGTGCGGGCCATGACCCTGCAGGAATTCAAAGGTGCGAACTTCTCAAAGTGTAGCGAGTTCATGGTCTCTCGGCCTGGTCGCGAATGACTGCACGAAAAAAAGAACCCACCAGCACGTGGCACCTGTTCTGCACTCAAATTTGGATGCGGTTCAGCTCTGGGGCTGACAAATGTGTCGGGCTTTTGCTATCGCGCGATTGAACATTATTGTCTGTAGCAGCAGGGGCGAGGTGAGATAAGTGCTGCAATCTACTACGTGCAATCAATCAAACTATTGCTATAGTACCATTCGTGCAAAAGATGCAATACAGAGTGCTTTATAGGCAAAAACACTAAGTGAAATTGTAGGCCAATTAAAATCGCATTAACAAATTTCTAGCAAAGGTATAATAAAAATAACACTCAGAGAATCCTAATTAAAAGCACGTTTAATCAAAGTTAGTTTTTAGATTTATTTTAAAAGTGCTTAATGATTCTAAAGCCCTCAGATCCCCTGGCAGGCTGTTCCACAGGCGAGGAACTGTAATACACCAAAAGCCACTTCTCCCTAGTTTTTGGTCTAGGCCTTTGGGATGACTAAAAGACCGATACCAGAGTATCTGAGGGATCTTGTTGGTTAATTTCTTAAAAGCATGGAAGACGTATACAGGTACCAGATAATTCAACGACTTTATAAACAATAAGAATATTTTAAAATCAATTACATGACTGACTGGCAGCCAGTGCAAAGATTGTAAAACGGGTGTTACACGTGGATGCTCTTTCTGGTTTTCGTCAGTACACGTGCTGTTGCATTCTGAATTAGTTGCAGTATACTTGTTAATTTCTTCGGGAAGAGCATTACAGTAGTCGAGTCTGCTGGTGTCTTGAAGGCATCTCAGAAGAAGTAGCGGTGATATCCACTTCCGCAGGCCATTCTCTACACTGGAAGAATCTCGCTTTGCTACGAGAGATCCGAAATGGATTCTTTGTCTTGTGGCGTGAAACTGATTGGCCAAATCATTGGGATAAAACTGGGGGGGGGGGGAAGATTAAAGATAAATGATTATCCATAACACAGGTTTTTTTGGGTTAGATCGCGTAAATATAAATGTGTTAAACCCACCACCGCCCGACACAGCCAATTAGTAAGGTTTGTCACATAAACAGAACATGGCAATTTGTTATTAGTACAGCACACCGGTTGTGTTAGAGAGGAAAACCCACGACGTTTACAATTAGAGTACGACGTTTCGACAGTAGTTACAACCAGCATCCTCAGGCGACAGCCAGATTTATATGAAATATATACATTTCGTTGAAATTATTAGCTGAATTACCTTAAATTACTCTGGTTCTTTCGGTAAGCTTCGAATCTAGTTTGCCTTAAATAGTATTCTCCTGTCTGCCTACAGCTACGAGTCTTGGGAATGAGCAATTGGAGCCTCCACTTGAGGTGAGGCCCCTCCCATCTACAGACTAAACTATAAACTATTTTTTTATTTGACCAGGTAAGGCTCACCGAGCTATATAGCTTTTTTTTTTAAGCAACCTACCGCAAATGATAGCTCAACAAAATGTATATCATCCAAGTACTCTAAATGCATGTTTCTAAATGTGGAGGGGGAAAACCGGAGGACCCGGAGAAAAATCTACGCGACCACGGGGAGAACATGCACACTCCAAACATGCAGGTGTCAGCTTCGGGATGGAACTCGACAACCTCTTGTAAACCAGGCGAGGTAGTTAACATTTCTTCACCGTGGCGCCCCACCATGTGTATGTGGTTTAGCTGTTGCGCTGTCGTATTTGCCCCGCGTGTGTGGTTGGTTGTCTTGTGTAATTGAGCAGGAACTGCTGGAGGCTGATCTGGTGCTGGACAAGGCGATGCGGCTAAGGGGAAAACGCGTAGGTGGGTAGGGGCGAGCCCCATGGAGCAATGTTAGCATGGGTCCCTAGGTCTTGGTATATGGTCCCTATATCTTCGCCTGGGTTCCTAAGTTTTAGCATATAGGTCCCTCGCACCTACTACACCGGCTTTCTCCGTCCTTCTCGCACATTCTACTCGCATCTGTCTTCCTCCCTACTCCCTCTCCAACCATTCCTACTCCCATTCCTCGCTGCCTCCAATTCCACAAACCTCCGTAAAAGTCTTCTGTTCCTTCCTACCTTTCCAATCGACCCATTTTTTTAGCTTTTTCTGTCTGACCCTGAAGCCACTGGTGACTTCACCTGTGTAGATTGTTGTGTGATATCCCCTCGTGTGTTTGCTTTCCCATGCGAAAGCAGTGAAAAGTTCCACCGGTATCTAACCTGCTTCAATCAAGGACATTGATTATTTTATTTGAGGAAGCCATTTACTTTTTAAGGGACGGGGGGGGGGGGCAGTGGTGCCGTTGTGGTTCGTACACACTGCGCGATTGAACCTGGTGGACCTGAGTTTGATTCCGAGCCCCCGATCCCCTTAACGTATGTTTTTAAAACGAACCAAAAAAACCCATTGTCCAGGCGGTGTTAAGCTGGCGAAAAAAGTGGCGGTGCAGGGATCGAGCGGAGGAGCGACCGCAGAAGAAGAAACGGAGAAGCTTGCGGCCCAGGAGGGATGCAGTCTGCGCAAGAGAGGTTCTTCACGCAAGGTGCCACTGCCCAAAAGCGATAGAAAACTAAACTTTGTTTTATGTTATGGCCCACTGAGCTATATAGCTCTTCTTCAGAATCGACATGGCCACAAATGATAGCTCGACTAAGTGGCTTATCGTTGTGTGGAAATTTATAGCAGCCAAATATTCTAAAACGCTGTTTTCTAAAAATATGGAGGGGAAAAACCGGAGTACTTAAAATCTACACGACCGGTTCTGGTCCTTCCCTAGGTCTGCTTGGCCTGAAATTAGTTCCTCGTGTGGTGTGTAAACATCGCCACTAGAGCAGTAAAGGTAGCCCGACGTAGTGCTGGCTACCCCACTCCCTCGTGTGCCCTGCCGGCCTTCATAGGTGCTTGCTAAAAACACTGCCGCCATAGTCTGTTCAAGCTATATGGGGGATCTTTGTCTTTTGTACTTGTTGATGAACTGAATTAAATAAAAGGTAGTGGTGAAATTACTGCTAATTAATTTCACGCTTAATCATCATTGAGCATCGTTGTGGGATTGGATTTTTTTAAAATAAATACTTCATGATGCTACTTGCATTCTCCGCAACGCTCAGTGATAATTAATTATCGAGCATTGTATAATTTTCCACTTCTAACAGAAATGGTCCTTGCCATTTTAATCACCGAGTGGTTCACCAGCATTGGTTTAAGCAAACCTGACTGAGACACTGAATGTCCAAACCGGGTTCAAAGTTCTTGTGTTGAGCCAACGCTGTTGAAAAGAGAAGGCCCAGTGTGGTTGGAGAGACAAATATGGGAAGGAGTTGCTAATATGTTGTTAATTCATTGTTTAAACTGTTGGTCTTCAACACTGACCAATAGAATGACTAAGGCCCGCTATTATTGTTACCCTCTGCCTCGCCAGCAATGAATGTAATTCCTCTTTTTTGTTTTCTTTCCCGAATCGCTCGGAACATTCCTGTTGCGTCATCGTGCGGTAAACGCTGCTTCGCATGATGCATTGTGCGAACGGAGACGGAGATCTCTGGTGTAGCCCTGTTGGGGCAAGTTCTATGAGCGAGCACCTAATGAATGTAGTGGTGGTGGTTATGGTGTGGCCAACACCAAGCCTAGGCCGCCTTTGTCTCCCCGGTGCCGGTATTTGCACACTGCACCAGTTTCTTCTTTTAAAGGGCTAGTTGACCAGAGGCGAGATGCGGTACCGCTTCAAGTTTTATGCCAACGATGTTAGTTGTGGCCGGGAATGGATCTCTCGTCGATCGGTGCATTTGTATTGCAGCGCACCAACCACTCCGCTATCGGGTCCTCCCCCATCGCGGCGTGCGAGACTTGGTATACACGACTCGCGCTACGTGGGATGAGCACCCGCTGCACGTGATGCGTCGTGTGAACACGTGCGCAAGTGCAGACGCACGCCTCTTGTGCACTGGAAGGAAAATGTTCCACGCGCGTCTGACCCACTGCCTGAATTTAAAAATGTGCGTGACCCAAGTGTTTGATTTCAACCATCTACCCACTACTCATTGTGCTACCATTTAATGTATAGCTCAAGGAAATGTGGTGGCAGGTGTACATGTGCCTATGTGGTGGGCGAGTGTATGTGCGATGTAAGTTGTGTGTGTTGGGGTCTTTGAAGGGAAAAGTATGTGATGGGGTAGATGTGCGTGTTTTTTGGGGGCGTATGTGTGGTTTAAGTATATAATGGAATGTGTGCTTGTGATAGTGTGTGTGTGTGTGCATATTAAATGTGTGGTATGTACATATATAATGCGGTGTGCTGTATGTTTGTAGAAAGTGTGCAATGGTTTGTATGTGATTGATGAAGAACACATCCTGGGTGAATGATTGGGGGGGGGTGGGGGGAGGATTTGTGTGTGGTGCGTGGCGAGCGGTAGAGTGATGCGTTACGAACCTGGTGGACCCGTCTTTGATTCCCGCTCCATGGCCAACGCCGGTCTTGATTATCTGATCCGGTCCTGGGCCTCCCTTAGGTCGAGTTATGCCTCGTGAGTACCTGGTCCAGTGTGTACATGTTGCCACTGAGGAAACGCAGGCAACCGGCGCTGTGGTGCTGCCCACCCACCCCGTTGCGTGCCGTGCCGGCCTTCATAAGTACTCACGAGCAGCCTTTCCCCGAACAGTCTGTTAAGGCTAAACGGGAGACCTTTTTTGTGTGTGTGTAATGTGTCTGTGTATGTAGCTGTATAATCGAGTGTGGTGTATGTTCTGTGCACGTATGTATGTTGAACCTTTCGCACCATACATAGCCAGCAGTGCTATTCGGAGGTGTGTGTGTGTGCGTGCGTGCGCAGCTCCCTGCTGACAAAGTTAAGGCCTCTCTTGTCACCAACCCAAAGAAAGAAAGGTAAAACGCCACACGCGAACGCCACCACCTCCCAAAGCCCCCATCACGCAGCGTAGGGGCTCGACGTCCAGCGAGCGCGCTCCCCGAAATGTAGCGGCTGGCGCACTGGCTGGGGGACATCTCTGCCGGGGTGTGAGCGCACGTGGGCACATGCCTGCCTGACATTCTGTACAGATGCCAAGTGCTGAGAGCCAACATTCACAAGGCGGGAGATGGAGAGAGAGGGGCTGTGTGTTTCTGCTGTACGTTGCGTGGTGGAATCTTGGTTGCTCGTGTTTCGTGTGCATTTTATTGCTTGCTGACGGTTTCGTGGCGACAGGCGGTCCAAGACGCACGCGGCAGAGCCAAAACTGTCCTGGCTCTAGGCTTAGCCCTGTGGCCTGGGCGCCGAAGAGATTATGTTGAGTGTTCACAGGGACGCCCGCACTTATGTTCATGCTATATTGATCAACTACTGCTTGATGGTTGAAAACTTGAAATGCAATTCTTGAGCCAGGGTTTCATTTTCAGCCGTTGTAACATAGCCGAATTGCGTTTCTTTAATCACATTTATACAATGGGTTTTTCTACACTTGTAGTGTGTTCAACTGAGTCGCAGACGTAGACTTGGAGGCAACACATTTATTTAACTCCAACACGCGGTAACGTCCCCTTAACAGAATAACAACCTATGGTGGTGACCACCAGGCTAACTACACTAATTACAACGTAACTGCTACTACGGACCGGGACCAACAGCTCGGGTCCAGGTCCTCGTGTTGGAGACTCGTTGAACGGAGAACATAGACGAAGGTTTCTTCCAGGATGAACAACAGCGACCCAGGTCCCTCTCGGGACCCGGCTGATATTCTCTGCGGCGTGGCTGGCTCCGCCCTTGGCCACGACCACCTTCCAGAACCCTCGGGAAGGATCTGGATCCCAACCACGTGACCCCCCAGCCCCCACTTAGGGCCCCTTTGTAGACTTAAGTGGTCACGTGCCCTCTCGGGTCAACCAGAGTCCCATGGCCTTGAGTAACCTCACCCTACGGCCGGAACTCGCACACCATGTCCTGTAGGGTTGGCACTGCGCGCCAAGCGCGGTGCCATCCAGCGCTATCCATCAGCACTCACCGGGCCCCTCTAGGGCCGGTACTACACCCACACCACTGTGGTATCCGTGATGTTGTTACACCGCACGCCGTGACTCTCTAGGGCTGGCACTGCAAAGTGACATCCCGTGATGTCACTACACACTGATTGGTGATTTGGGCTGAGACTGTAAAACCGTGACGGGCAGCTGCTTCGATTTTCTAACCCAGGACTTCAGCGGTGCCAGCTCGGCGCTTTGACCTCCCGAGCTACCCGGCCACCTCCCCATGTGTTACTTTAAGTAAGAAACCGAGCATCAAAACGTCGAGGATGATGTAGCCATTTTTAATAAACCCAGACGCGAAAATGTCATTGCCTGACTTCACAAGAAGAGTCTTGGCAGGAAGTTCGGGTGGTGGAGGCAGGGGGGGGCAACTCTACTCTATACGGGGGCATTCGCGTGCCCAATAAACACAACGCATTCCCACATAAAGCTAAGAAGTGGAGCAATCGTGAATGTTCTGCTGTTGCAACAGAGATTTTAAGTTAGACGCGTATAGCTTGCCGCAGCCCTGCAATTTCTTGCTCGTGCCTCCTGCGGGCAGAACAGCTTGCACCACGAGCGAGAGCTCGAGAGGCCCTCCTGTAGAGGCATTTGGCCAAATTGTCTACGGCTGGACGAGGTGAGAGTAACCCCCACACTTTAGCCCACTGTGCGTGAGCTGCTGATTGACTCATTTATGGTGCACCCATTCTATTGAGCTGGGTGGACATAAGTTGGTGGGAGAAGGGGAGAGGAAATTTAAGTAACCCGCACCATTGTTTAAACTGCCATGCCACGAAGAGACTGAACAGGCAATCTGGATTGCAAGTCGGTCCAGTGGACTAACCATTTCACCGCGCTACAAGGCTTGCATCCCTTTTGTAGCTTGGAAATGGCCTTATTCCATTTTTATAAAATTATGGCTTTTAAATCTGTCAGTGCTTGGAAACACCGTTTACTTGCCCTTGATAAAACATTTGCCTGTCATGCAATCAGTGTAACACTGCCCCTCTCTTGCCGTAAAGGAATACTGCACTTTAACAAATATGCAAGATGATTCCTCGTATCTGTGACCTTACCTGCAACTTGTATTAACTGAGAGCTGTAGGGTCGCGAAACTTTTGTTATCCATGGCCCTATTCGTGTATATCATCCCCACTGCTTTGTGAAATCCCCTCCTATTATCTGCATTTTTTTTCACGGATGATAAGTGGAGCTGATCGACGCATTCATCCTCTTGTCTGTGATTTTTTTTTTTACACTGTGGGTAAGTGGAGTTAATTCATAAAAGTTCGTAAATAATCAAAGTAGCAATACATATTATTTTTAGTACATAGCACTGCAGATAATAGGAGGTCTGCACATGTAAAAACAAAAAGCAGATGTATTTTCAATGTTTCCATGCCTTTATTTTCAGAAGCTCCCAGAAAATGTACAGTGGTTACTCGACTGGGAAATTTAAGAGTGGACTGCACAGCAAATCGGCGTCATCATTAGGGGTGCACACACCACCTGTATTTGATCCCAGGTAAAGGGTGTGTGTGTGTGTGCGCGCGCTCCCGTGTTATGGAGCGTGGTATAACTGTTCGTTCAAAGCCCCTTGATTCCGGTTTGTTGGGTTTGATTCGCAATAAAAAGGGCAGTGGAATGCAGTACAATCGCTGCTTGGCCTGGGTCAGCTTCTGTCCAAAATGTGCACCTGGTGTGGTGCTAACATTGGCACCGGGTAGACGATAATGGCTGGGAATAATGGATGATAGTCGGCACCCAAATAGCCGAATTAACACACAGGCTTTTGGGAGTCCCAGCCTGGGTCATTGGCTTTTGAGGCTCCCCCCCCCGCCTCTCATAAAATGTAGCATTGTGATAAATCCTATAGGTAATTTTGTAATTAAAACCATAGCATCACTGTGTGTTACTACCACTTATGTGCCAAAAATTGTGTTCATTTAAACCACACCGCCAATTAACACAATTGGCTACATACTGTCTGAAAGAAGTTCTACATACATAACTCGAACTAAAATAACAAATAGTTTTTTACATTGGCCATGGGTGGTAGTAAAATAGTCAAGGCGTGGGGGGGGGGGGGGGGAGGAATTTTAATTTACAGAGGGGGGCTCCACAAAATGATAACAGCCCCGGGTCCACATAAAGTATAATCCAGCCCTGGTCCTACCCGTGCGATCTTTACTAGGTACTCTTAATAAGACTTGCCCCAGCAGTCTACACAACTCTCAATGGTTGGCGAAAGTGATCTTCGGTCCAGTTTAGATGTAGTGGCAACTTTTTACCTGTGGCACACGACGGCTAAGGGCGTAAAGGATATAGTAATGCACTGGTTAAAAGGATTTGGCGGAGACAAGACGGGGGATTAAGAGGGAAGATGATGGAAAAGAAATATAAAAATGGAAACTTAGAGTTGGAAAAGATGAGGATAGGATGGAAGAGTCTGCACAAGGGCCTCAATGTTTGTGTGCATGGGGTGTGGTGGGAGGGGGGGGGGGGGGAGATTCAGTGGGGGTGGCCACACAAGTCGTGATTTACGGGTGGCATGAGCTGTTTTAGATAAACAAGTTTTGTGTGTGTGTGTATTATATATATGCGGCTAACCTATTTCTACTCATTTCACTATATGCGGTTTTCATTCACTCGTGTGTGGCTTTGCGGTCTGACGTTAGGACAACAATGTGTGTGTGTGTGTGTACCGTGTGCGCTACTCGCCAGACGGCTGCTCTCGCGCAGTTTCACTCTTGTGCGCCCTTTTCTTGGAACGCATAGAGCAAGGGAAACCTCCCTTGATGTGTTTATTTTCAACAATGACGAATTGATGAACGATCACTGCGTGCCCTTTGTGCATGCCGTCTGGAAGGTTGGCCCGTACGCCCCACATGTACAGAACGCGCGCGGGATCAAAGCTCCTGCGCGACTCCATCCGATTGAGTGGCACCACCGTGGACAATGGAGAAGGAAAGACGGGCATGTCACAGGTGAGATCGCTCAATTCCTCCACCTGTCACGAAGCGATTTTGTGGTGTGGTGCCCGGCCACAGCATCCATTTGTGCTTTGCTGACATTCATAGGTTCTCACTTGTAGCATTTTCCACAATTTTATAAACTACATGGGGAATCTTTTGCCTTAGTGCAAAAATACCAGTGTGTGATTGTATGCCTAAATAGTCACGTTTTTTACGGGTGCATATATTGCAATTTGGTTATGTTTGATAGTGTGTGTGTGTATATGGTGGGGAGCGGTAGTGTAGCGGTTAGCACGTTGCATTACGAACCCCGGACACCAGAGTTTAATTCCCGCCGCTCATGGCCAACACCACCTAACGGTTACCTAAACTGGTTCTGGGCCTCCCCAGGTCGATTCGGCCTCATGAGTACCTGGTGCAGTGTGTAAATTTCCACTAGCGAGACAAACGTGGGCTCTCATGGTGCTGACCACCCACCCCCTCGGCCATAATGGGTGATCACGAGCAGCACTTGCCCAAAAAAGTATGTTAAGGCTATATGGGAGAGCTTTGTCTTTGTGTGTGTATATGAACCAGAGTTCTATACTTGGCAATGGGTAATGTCAATGTTGAGTGATACCCTAAGCCACTGCTGGTTCTCCTCTCCACTCCTTCACCAACCTGCACTGGCCTGCGTGGTGGTGAAGTAAGATCAACCAACCACCATGAACAACACTGGGACGGATGTAATCACTGGTGGAGCCAGTGGGGGTGGGGGGGGGGGGGGCGGTGGTACGTGCCCTCCCCCAATGATCTGATCGAAATCCCTAATTTCGATCGGATCATTGCGGTTTTAGTAATAAATCGGCATTTTGCGACCCCTACTGCCAATGTGTAGCATATGATTACGTGCCAGGGACCCTATGAGATGATAGGACAATAGTCTGAGTCCATAATTGGCAATAAGTAACGGCAAAGCGGTTATAAGTGACTCACAGAATTGTGCGCAGTTGCGTATACAGTACACGACATCCCTGAAGGCATTCACCTTCAGCAAGCGCGATGCCAATCACACACGGTTCGAATTCGACCCTCGATCGATGGCTGTGCCAACGCCTCACACGCGTCGAATAAAAGGCAAGGGACAAGTCCTTGCTTGCAACTCCTATCATTTTTCATTGCTGGAGGGGGTTGCCCCCCTACCTGAAAAATCCTGGCTCCACCATTGGATATAATTCAGCACTCCATGAATAAAGGGTTGCAAATTCTCTTCTCGTGAGCCTCTCCAGGACGTAATAATAATTTCCAGCACTTCTCATTCCACTGTGGGGTTGAAGGCCTCTCACTATCCTGTTGGGCAATGGAGTTATTGGACCATACTTTGCCATGCTGGTCAATTGGGATTGGTGAAGTGGTGTTGGAGGCCATGACTGGTTCAGATATCACTTGCCACTGATGGCAACTGCAGCCATAAATTGAACTCTGGTCGCCAGGCTCGGTGTAGTGCACTAACCACTGCAACCACCTTTCCACCAGCACATCATATCACGGTCAAATATTAATCGCACAGCATTCAAACATCTTCTTTGGTTCTTTCGGTAAAGTCACGTAGAATGAGAATAAAATAATAAATTGATAAAATAAAATAACACAATAATATTCTCACGACGTTTTGGCCACAACACAAGCGGCCTTCATCAGGTGAAGGGACGAGACTGTCTGGTAGGACAGCACTGGAGTGAAAGAGCCACGTTCAGATCACGGCCTTTAAGCTGTGTGAGAGGAACAAAGCGCCTTGACAAAGGAATTAGCATATAATTTAGCATTGAAATGGCTGAATGATTAGCTTGTGACTGGTCACAGAAATAGTTATGTTAAAAGTTAAAGCATACACATCCGCAGAGGCACCCCTTGACAATGGAATTAGCATAGAATTTAGCATTGAAATAGCTGAGTGATTAGCTTGTAACTGCTCACAGAAATAGCTACGTTAAAGTCAGACCATACACATTCACCGAGGCACTTAGTACAAATCAAACAGGAGAATTTAGCATTGAAATAACTAGGCGAATTTAGCATTGAAATAACTGAGTGATTAGCTAGTGACTGGTCACAGAAATGACTATGTTGAAGTCAAGGCCTACACATCTGAGCTATTCACAGTACTATATAGTGAACCAATAAAAAACTAAAATATAAATTACCTTAATGTTATCAATAAACTCTATATTCTCCCATCAGCTAAGCTACCAACAATAAGTCGTTATATATCACAATACTATATGGCGAAAAATGGGTGGATTCTTACCCTCAACTTTAGCACCACGGATAGCTACGGGCCCCGTTCAGACGGACGAGTTCGTCCATGGTCGGAACAGAAGAGGGGGAGAGAGACAGCTGCGAGGCGCTATTATACTCCATGTTGTAAAACCATACCATTAACAGTTTACCACACATTCCCTTCTCTTCCGCCTTGCTCATTTAAAATAATTATTTTGTAAAGAGCCATGTTTTGAGGCCCAACAAACTAATACAAGGTCATGAGAATGAAAGATTACTCTCATTATTCCACTGCTGGATGAAGGCACCCCCCCCCCAAAACTGCCATGGTCCAGCGATGTATAATCCACCAGCTATTACCTGCACACGAGTTCTACACTCCATCTCGGACACATTCAAACCCTTGGCTGCCACTCCACCGTTAGTCTCAACCATCGGCCGGTATCCTTTATAACGACGTTTCCTGCCCAAGACTACCTTTCCTTAACGGTTTAAATTACGTCATTTAACCTTCTAAGCTTATCAAATCCATGTTCGTCTTTCAATGCGATTCTGCGCACAGTGTCGGAGATAATTTGACCAAAAGTTGTCGCCAGACCCGTTGCTCCATGATGTGTCCTTGTCTCCAGTTTCTTTGACCTATTTCTTGTTTACTTCTGATCTTCGTACATTGTTGCATCTAGTTCAGATGTCGGCAACCAATTTAACCAAAAGAGCCGTTTTTTTTCGAAATCGGAAAAAACCCTCAATATTTTAAGAGCCGCAATGCATGCGAAATAACGCCACAAAGCAGCTCCTTAAAAAGCTACATGCAGCTCCGGAGCTGCAGCTTACCTTACCCCCTAGTTGTAGTGCATGTGTTCGTGTGCAAATTTAATTGTATGGGTTTATCAAACCGCTGGCTAATTACGCGTGGGTTATCTTTCGGGTTAAACTGCTTCCCTGGCAGCATGACAGGGGAGGAGCAAAGCCTCTGCCAGAATTTCAACCTTTTTTCTTAAGCGAAACAAATTGCACGGGGCTATAATTGCATATAGAATTGCACGGTCTGTAAATTACACGTAAATTATACACAAAGCAGACAGTAGGCAGGGATGGTACTTACAACATTAGCCCACATGGATTCTTTGCATAAACATACCTGTCAACCTTATCAGTGCCTACCTTATGACAAACCAATTCAGACCATATTGGGTCACCCTGTGCCATTATAAATCTCAACGTTCATCCTACAAAGTTCCATCACAAGGGAGAAAAACAAATAAACAAACATTGCCCGTATTGAAACAACTGTACACCGTATGGACCTACATTTTCCTGTACAAGAATATGGGTAAACCGTATGGGTTAACGGATATGCGTAAGCTATGAAAGTATACTGAAAGTGTCCGTAGAGAATTGGAGAAAATCGGCGTTGATTGGTAAACCTAATAGTGTTTGCAATAGTTTTTAATGCCATATTGTCTTGCTGTCTTTGAATTCAAATTTAAGTGCCAACCCAGATGGTTTCATTTGGCTTATTACACGGGTACATGATTTCCTTAATTGCCTAAGCAACCATGATGCTGTGAGCAGTTAAAACATTTGCCATCACTGGCCACTGGAGCCCATATTTATTTAAGATAAATAATGATCAGAAGACCATTTTTTAAAGGCTGTTTTTTGTTGCATAAATTTGTCGCAGTTAGATTGTTGTGTGGGTGGGGGGATTTTTCAAATTCTGCCTCGGGTGCATGACTTGGTGCCGAGATCTCCTCGGCAAGATGTGAATCGTATGACCATTTTGTAGCGCACAGCTGGTAGGTTGGCAGGGGGCCCAGGCTTGGCGTATTGAACGCCATGTGGCTCGCAAGAGGGACTCGTGTTGCGTCCACGCCAGCGGCCAGCGTCCCCTGAACCCCTATCCGAGTTTGTGCAGCAAGCCAAAATTATTTATTTACAACTGCACATTCTCGGTTGACTTTTTTTGTCGTTGCATATGGATTGAAACTCCTAAAACAAATATATGGACCGTTGAACTTTCACAACCTAATCTGATTGGCGTCCATTTAAATGCAGCTGCCTTGGATATTTTTAACATGTTGTTTTCTGAACACGGTGAATTGTTCGTTTTGTACGCAATGTGAAACCGCGTTGTGCCACCGGTTCTAACCCTCGGGTGCAAAGGAGACAACTACCTTTCGGTAAATCCAAACAATTAAATTTGCATACATTATTTATAAATATAATAAAATATAAGTAAAGGAAGTGGTCGAGAAAAAAATCATGGAAATATGTTAATTGTAGGAATAGCTGTTTGGCGTTTTACAAAATTTCCATACTTGATTTGAGAACCAGACAATTTAATCCACGGGCCAGAGCAGATACAAGTACTACCTTAGTTGGCAAAACCTAAATGAATATAGATGTATTTATGTGGCTAATGAGAGAAGTATTGGATAACCCACTTTTTAGATCCATTTTTGATATGCAAGATAACTCATTTAAAATAGTCGTCACATCATTCACTATTGTTGGCCACATAAATTATAACTATTTAAAGTTTTATATGCTGCTACCTCGGGTTGTGCAGACAAATGCAATCTATGGTGCATGTTCGTGGACTAATTTGGCTTTTATAGTTTTTGACTTGTCCAGTGTGGACCTGGTGAGCATTATCCCCTCTGTTATGCACGATTGGAGTTTTTCAGGGTGCTCCGTTAACTCTCACACGCAAAATATTCCTAAAAGGCATCTACCAAATATCCCAATACAGGACCTATATACAAAAAGTCAACTCCAAAGATTCTGTGAGGGTTTCTTTTCATAGATGCATTACATTTTCACATGGATGTAAGAGATCTTTTTTGGAACTATTGGAGCAAGTATTGCTGAGAAAAATGCTAAACTTGATGTATGTTTAATCTTTTATTTAAATGTGACTTACATTTCTGTTTTTTGGAATGTCTCCTGGGTGCTGTTGTGTGGTCTACGGGGTAAAAATTGCATGAGACAGGCTCTCATTGGACACTTACAAAGGAACTGCATTTGTTGGATGTTACCAAGATGGATGGTCAGATGTTTGAGAAAGTGGTACAACTCATGATGATGGGACGCACATCCAATATAATTACTAACAGCGTGGAAAAGTGTATTTCTCTTCAAGTGAACAGCAGCCCTTGTGCAGTGTTGCAAGTCCATAATTATGTTGAGTCATCAGTGTGCCATGTGCTGGCACTTGCTGTTCGTTTGAATTGAGAGATACATTACATTATAGGACGATGTGGAAAATGAAGAGGACTATTTTTCAGAACTTTTGCAGCAAAGGGAAAAATAATGTGAACAAAATTGGTAACTGCTCGTATAATCATCAGCCATGATCATTCCACTGTTCGATGAAGGCCTTCCCAAAACCATCGCTAGCTCTAACAATTCTGCAATGTAATTATCCACCGACCACTTGCATGCAAGTTGATTCAATCGCTCCTATCTCTCTTGTGGCTTTCCTCTCTGATGCATTACACCCCTTGGTAGCCACTGCCATCATGAGCCATACATTTATATATTTGCACGATCTATGTGTGAAACAGCAGGACACGAATGAACAAAAAATACATGAATATAATTATTCAAACGCAGCCTATTGTCACTTTGGATGTTGCCACACGTGATTTTTGTACGTTTGTGTGTGCGCGTTGGGCAGGACAAACTCTCCGTCCTCTGCCAAAAGCCTGGCTCCAGTCAGAGCTAGCCAGCACTGGGCCCATGGCCACCTGCCCTGTCCATGCCTTTCTTGGCTCGGCTGAAGATGAGCCAGGAGAAGGAACAGTTCTTACCCTCAACCACCCCCAACCCACACCACCTTACCACACCCCCCTCCAACCCACTCGCTGCTGTTGGCCTCTGTTTTTTTGGACCCTTGTGCTCAACTGGTCCGGAGAGACATGCAGGAGTGGAATGCAATACCATGAAAAAACGGCTGGTGAAGGAGCACTCGCAATTACATTTTGTTCTCCGACTTCCTGCCTTGTAATTATTTTAACTATATTACGTGATTTAAAATTAGAAGTGGTAACACGATAACTGTTGGTGTGTCCGTTATAAGTGTTGCGTTACTTGCTCACTTTTGTCTACAAAAGCAATTTTAAGCAGGTTGTGAATGCGAACAATATTTGAAAAATGCCACTACACTTGAAAAATATCACTGCGGTACTCCACGAAGCAGTGCAGTTTTGCCTGGAAGGCACTTGATCACATCGGTCGAACGAAAGTGGGAAAAATGCTTGAATCATTAACCATTTCCCTACTTTGTAACACTGCTCCCTTTCTGTTTTAATTTCAAGTGTATGAGATTTTGGTGTTTTGTTGTAAGCGATCGAGCGTGCGTGTTTTTTGCATATATACAAATAAAGGTTTTTTTTTTTAAAAAGTGTGAAACATTGATGAATCCAACCCAACTCTAATCGCTGCTGCTATCTGTATTTTCTCGAAGATGCCAATGGGTGGTAAAAATCCATCTAAACAATAGACTTGTCTTTGGTAAGTCACTGGTATATAGCAAAAGTAATTGTACGAAGTCCTTACTGCAAGGGAGCTGTTGTGCAATAGTTGGCACACTGGATTTACAATTGATGCCATCTTCTAGCACTGGAGTTGAAACAATGGGCAAGGTTCTGAAACCTCCCTGGGCCTCAGTCCACCCAGTAGTATAAATGGAAGGACAACCGTATTTTGGCAGGTCACGTATGATGGGGAGAAAAATTGGAGTACCCACACTACCCCAACACGACTGGTTCAGTATTTAAGTCGACCATCTACCCTCTAGAATTCTATGTGTGGAGACTTTAACCAGCAATAAATGTCACCATTCACCTTGCCACTTCGAGGTATGTGTGCGGTGCTTACTCTTAACTGATGTAAAGGCGGCAGCTGCTGTGTGGCTGCAGAGCCAGATATTAATAAAGCATTTCGCTATATTTGACAAACGCCCTTAGCTGCTGTATTACTGAGTTTGTTGGGCTAAGGAGATGTTTCTGACGAGTAGATTGTTTCGGCTAGCATTTACTCCAGTTTTTCGAAGGGATTTCCAGATTGTCAGTAGATCACGCACTGCATTAAGTCTGGCTCAATACGTGGAAATAAATGACGTGGTAAATAAACCTTCGTTTCTACTTAATTTCCTGCACTTTTGAATTCGCAATTACAGTGGGCTACACGAGTTGTGAAGAAACTTATCTCTCCTGTACCATGCCTTTTTTAATTCCCATATTCAGTACAATGTATATCCGCCCTAACCAATTAACCACTCTCGGTGTATTATTTGTGCATTGTGAAACTTGTCTGAATAAATGCTCAATCCCAAACTTTTCACGTACATTGCCTCCCGTATTTCTATTCTCGTCTACATCCGCTTGCAGCTGACGTACGGTATTGAGTTTTTCCATGTTTAAATAAGTTTAGACTCGTCGTCCAGTAACATTTGTGCATGGTGTAACTTTAAGCCCAATAGTATTTGCACATGTGCAGTATTCGTCACTGGCTTTTCGGTAAAAAAAAGATGATTAACCTTGATTTGAAGCTTTCGTGACTGTAGGAATTACTCTTTGGTGCTTTCGGTAAAGTCACGTAGAAAGAAAAATAAATAAAATAATAGAATACGACGTTTCGATTGCAACACAAGCAGTCGTCATCAGGTAGAACTCAATTTGAGAGACAAAACACAAACACGGAGACATCAGCCGGACACAAATTTAGTTCTACCTGATGACGACTGCTTGTGTTGCAATCGAAACGACGTATTCTATTTAATTTATTTTCTTTCGACGTGACTTCACCGAAAGAACCAAATGATCATTAACCTTGTGTAAATTGCTCGGTTATTAGTTATGTTCTTTTTTTAAAAGTGCTCAACAACCAGGCTAACATGTATTCGTCCATGATATTTGTTTTTTCTAGAAGACGGCGAATCTGCCAGGAAAACTTGGCTACAATTGGTGATTTGTGTTCAAACGCACAATTGTAATTTTGCGTGGAAACATTTTATTGTGGAAACACAATAAAATGCCATTTTTACTACATCAAAAACTAATACATGGCATATTTTTTTTCTACCAATGTATATATAGTCTCAGCTTAAAAAAAAGTAGGTGGCACCGATATGTATAAATTAAGTGAATATACGTGGTTCGTTACACAGGACCTGGGTCCCTCTCGATACTGGATTGATCATCTTCGGACATTAACTAATGAACATTAAACATTATTTAGGTGTTGATTTGAAGCTTTCGTGACTGCAGTAATCCATACTCTTTGGTTCTTTCGGTAAATCAGGAGAACTGCTGACGTACGTACGTCAGCAGTTCTCCCGCTGCCCCCCTTACTTGGGGGCCCAGCCGCCTCCCCCGCCCCCCGTAGTTGGGGGCCCAGCCACCTCCCCCGCCCCCCTTAGTTGGGGGCCCAGCCGCCTCCCCCGCCCCCCTTAGTTGGGGGCCCAGCCACCTCCCCTGCCCCCCTTACTTGGGAGCCCAGCCGCCTCCCCCGCCCCCCGTAGTTGGGGGCCCAGCCACCTCCCCCGCCCCCCTTAGTTGGGGGCCCAGCCGCCTCCCCCGCCCCCCTTAGTTGGGGGCCCAGCCGCCTCCCCCCCCCTTACTTGGGGGCCCAGCCCCCCCCCGCCCCCCTTAGTTGGGGCCCAGCCACCTCCCCTGCCCCCCTAAGTTGGGGGCCCAGCCACCTCCCCTGCCCCCTAAGTTGGGGGCCCAGCCACCTCCCCTGCCCCCCTTACTTGGGGGCCCAGCCCCCCCCCGCCCCCCTTAGTTGGGGCCCAGCCACCTCCCCTGCCCCCCTAAGTTGGGGGCCCAGCCACCTCCCCTGCCCCCTAAGTTGGGGGCCCAGCCACCTCCCCTGCCCCCCTTAGTTGGGGCCCAGCCCCCCCCCGCCCCCCTTAGTTGGGGATCCCTTCCCCCCCCCTTTTAGAACAGTAACATCGATTGCCATGGCAACGGCACATGCCGTTGCCATGACGTCAGTAGGATCGACCCGAGCTCATGCGCGCGTCCTGCTTGAAGCTGCTCGCGATCATTTTAATCTTTTACGATTATCTTTCGCGAAACAACTTTTATTTTCAAAAAAAATTACCCATCTCAAGTTGTTCTCGACGAGTTGGCGATCTTCGCGGGATGAAAGAAGCGAAAAGGTTATTTTTTTATATTACGAAAGTTTTGAGGATACGTAACAATCCCCGTTATGTGAACGCTACTCGCTAAATTATTTATAGCTTAGCTGCGGCGGACGAACGATTCCCGTTAACCATTTTCGTCGTATCATCGCCCCTACTTAAAGATGTCACAATGATACCTCCTGAAGATGATCGATTATGTCGGTCAAGTAAAACTGGCCATGTAACAAAAATATATCTGCAGTGGGGGGGGGGGGGCCGTGTTGGTTCCGTCCAGCTCAGAACCCTCTAGCCACGACGAGAAAGCTTGAGGAACTTGAGTTAGTAGTGTCTTTGTGCCAAGGCTCAGAGGGCTTTATTACTCTGATGGTCCATAGTTTGGGTTGCTAACGACGAGACAGTTTTCAGTTTCATTTATTTGGTATAGCCAGCCCTGTGAGCCATTCGGCTCTCGAATCGGGTGCAACCGCAACAAACAAAAACGTGAACCAAAAAAAAACATCTTAAAGTGACTATGCGCACGAGGGCAGAGAGGCAGTGATTGATCCCCTCCCCTCTCATCCTCCACCCCTTTCTTCTAAACCCGCAGACGCCGGATCGAGTCTTCGAACTCGTCGATGAACTCGGCCGAAAGGGGCCGCGACCCACTCGGGAATTCTTGGTCGCGGTCCCAGTCACCGACGAGAATTCCATGGAGCCCTTCGCTCTCGGGCCCGGCCCGGGCATGCGCCGTGTCGCCGGCGCGGTCTCTGTGGAGCCCAGAGTCCCCTGCCCCAGCACCGGCACGGGCATGTGCAGTGACACCGTGGTCTCGAGAGAGACCAGCCCCCCCGACTCCAGCCCCCCCGACTCCAGCCCCCCCGACTCCAGCCCCCCCGACTCCAGCCCCCCCGACTCCAGCCCCCCCGACTCCAGCCCCCCCGGCTCCATCACTCCCGGCTCCAGCCCCCCAGACTCCATCCCCCCCGACTCCATCACTCCTGGCTCCAGCCCCCCAGACTCGATCACCCCCGGATCCAGCCCCCCTGGCTCCATCCCCCCAGACTCCAGCCCCCCCCGACTCCAGCCCCCCCGGCTCCATTCTCCCCGACTCGATCACCCCCGGATCCAGCCCCCCCCGGATCCAGCCCCCCCGGCTCCAGCCCCCCAGACTTAATTCCCCCCGGCTCCAATACCCCCGACTCCAGCCCCCCCGACTGCAGCCCCCCCCGGCCCCATCCCCCCCGACTCAGGCATGTGCAGCGGCGGCGGCGCCGCCACCGTCGCCGGCGCGGTCTCTTGAAAGACCAGCGAACCCTGCCCCAGCTCCAGCCCCAGCCCCAGCTCCAGCCCCAGCTCCAGCCCCAGCCCCAGCCCTAGCCCCAGCTCCAGCCCCTGCCCCAGCTCCAGCCCTAGTCCCAGCTCCAGCCCCTGCCCCAGCTACAGCCCCAGCCCCAGCTCCAGCCCCAGCCCCTGCCCCAGCTACAGCCCCAGCTCCAGCTCCAGCCCCAGCCCCAGCCCCTGCCCTAGCCCCAGCTCCAGCCCCAGCTCCAGCCCCAGCTACAGCCCCAGCCCCAGCTCCAGCTCCAGCCCCAGCTCCAGCCCCTGCCCCAGCCCCAGCTCCAGCCCCAGCCCCAGCCTCAGCCCCAGCTCCAGCCCCAGCCCCAGCCCCTGCCCTAGCCCCAGCCCCTGCCCCAGCCCCAGCCCCTGCCCCAGCTCCAGCCCCAGCTCCAGCGCCAGCTCCAGCCCCAGCTCCAGCCCCAGCGCCAGCTCCAGCCCTAGCCCCAGCCCCAGCTACAGCCCCAGCCCCAGCTACAGCCCCAGCAATCGCAGTGGCGGCGCCGCCGCGGTCGCGGTCTCTGTGGAGCCCAGCGCCCCCGGCTCCAGCTCCAGCCCCAGCTCCACCTTCAGCTCCCGCCTCACCTCCAGCGCCAGCCCCGGCTCGGGCATGCGCAGTGGCGCCGCCGTCGCGGTCCCTGTGTAGCCCCGCGCCCCCTCCTCCAGCCCCGGCTCGGGCATGCGCAGTGCCGTCGCCTCGCCCCCAAGTCATTGTCGGTGACAGGCTGAGCTGGGATATGAGTGCTCTCTTCTTCCCCGACATTCCGGTAAATCGACCCTCGGTTATTTTCCCCGCAATCAACGTTTACTCGTCTCGCTTCGCAGCGCGAAACACAGTTCACGTTTATTTTACGTTTCGTTTAACTTTGATGGTAAGCTCGCACCGCATCGCCGTGCGATGCGGTGCGGCCTAGCTCGCTCGGGGCATCCTCGTTGTGGCCTGAGTAGCCTCTACGGGCGAGGCTGCGCCTACCCCCGGCCGGTTTGGGTCCCGGCGTACCGCTGTTTAAATGGTGATGGCGGTGTGAGGTGGTGGTTGGGGGGGGGAGTCGGTAATGGTTGTAGCGGGCGACGCGTTCCCTCGCCACACACAGGAATCGGCGTCGCGTCTCTCGCCGCCCCGGTCTAACGGATGGCTTGTCTTTGTCTCTTTGTTTCAGGCCAAGTCCTTGTCCAAGTCGGCCGCCGGTAAGTGGCGTCTAGACGCGGCACCGTGAGCTCCCCCTCCCGAGGAAGGAGGCCATTTTCTCGCCGCTGTCTAATGGCGCAGAGACTAAGTCCCAACACACAAACAGCCTCGCGCCGGCCCCGATTTAGCGGCGATTTAGCGTCCGCGGGGTCGGATGAACGCGGGGTTCAGATCCCCGGTACTCCGGGCGTGGGATGCCGCCGCGAGAGGGGCTGTGCGGTGCTCGTATGGCGAGGTAGGCGGCCCCGAAGAGAGGGCATTTGCGCCGCCGCCTGAGAGATTCTGACTTAGCCTCCAGCGCCATTTTCTGCGCCGAGTTCACCTTGGAAGAGGCGTCTCGGGGCCCTCTCTGGCCACGTTTGTGACCCCCCACGGCCCCGTTTTGGCCTTGTTTTTCAAGCGGCGTGTCTCGCGACGCGATCTTCGGCTTGGATTCGTGTCCATTGGCCACGTTTCAGTCGTGGCAGATGAGCGGCGATGCGGTTTGGGGGAATGGTGCTTGCTCTGTGCTCCGTGTGTGTGGGGTTTTTGTTAACCCGAATGGAAATGTGCTCGTTTATGTTAAAAGTTTCCATTTGGTCGGGTTGTATCATTTTTTTGTTGTTGGCAAATGTGTAATGTAGGAAATTGGATATTAGATTTATATTGTAAGTTTTTAGTAGTTTTTTTTTAATATTTGAGTTATCGTGAACCCACAACAAACTTCATGATTGTGTTTAGCCGGCTTGACACTATTTTACACAATTACACAAGTTTTGAGCATCTCGTGCAATCTTTTATCACATTTTGACCTAGTTTGTGGTGAAGTACGTGGGTTTTTCTGCCACGTGTTTGTCTCGTGTGTTAACGCGGCCCTTTCGCAGGAGAGTCGTGCAATATCGCTGCCCTTCTCGCTTGTTATATAAGCAACGAGACAATGCAGGAATGGTCTGCATTGACAGATCAGGTTGATATGCGTCTGCACATTAATCTTTACATTCAACCATCTGTTTTATACACCGCACCTGATATAATTAGAGTGCATATTGGGGAGCAAACAATTTAACTTTAAATGTCCACATCGATACCATTTAAAGGTACAGTTTTCGTTTACTGCAGACTTAAAAGTTTGTGCCTCTACATCTGTTGGTAGGTAATGTTTTCACTTTTAATAAAGTTAGGTTATTTTAATGTTCATGGCATTTTCTTTGTAATCTGTTGCATTTTTCAGGCTTAACGTGAATGGCCCTTTATTGGGTACTTACAGTAGATCGGCTATCGATAAGTGACGTGTCTAATGTGAGAAAAGCATAGAAGTAGAAGTTGCGAGCTCCTTCCTCTAGCACGAACCACTCAGTCCTTTTATGTGGACAAAAGTGTTTATTTCCACGTGACTGCAATGATGAGAACACTTATTACTCATGTCGCTTTACCACCTGTCCATAGACTAAGTTTTTGTCGTAATTTCCAATAATGCTTCAATTCTCTTTTCTATTTATCATTGTTTTACCATTTTTTTAATGTGGTAGATTGGTCAGTGTTAAATTTTACCATCATTTCTACATTATAGGAAGTGATTGTGGATAAACAATTTCATGAGCCGCTTGGCACGCTGAGTTTTGAGGCTGATTATATTGCCATTGTAGTCGGGCAGATAATCTATAGGGAGGGGCTATTAATTAATTGGGATTCCATGTTTCAGACGTTTTAAATCATAAGCATAATTTACTGGTTTGTGAGAATCTCCTTTGGATAGTGTGTATTTAATTTGTCATTGTTAAAACATCTCGTGTGAAAGAGGTATTGGTGTGCACGGTTTATACTTAAAATTTAGGAACATGTTAGAGCTCATGGAAAATAATGTTGCTTGGAATGTATGCGAGAAAGCACATTCATTGACTTATTTGGTCCAAAGCCTGAAATTTACGTGTGTGTGTCCAATATTTCAAGTGGTTATTTACTTGGTCATAGTCAATAAAATAAACCAAAGTTCCAAGAATCTTGGAGGTCACAGCGCTGTGTTAGCACCACTTAGATCCTGGGTTCAAATCCAAGAAGCTGCTTGTGATTAAAGCAGCGTCTCAAGTGTAGTCGGCTGACGGTCACAGCCGAGTCACCAATGCCTGCATTTAAATTGCTTGTTTGAAAGTACTACCCCCTAGTGTGGATAATAAGTCACTTAAAGGGATCTCAGAAGTAGTTTTACAATAACCACTTTCATCGGATGTTCTTGGCAGTTTGCACAGTTCTGAATGGATTGGTATTTTCGTGACATAACTAATTGCACAATTTAGATTAAATTGGGGAAAGACAATAAATTAAAAAAATCTAAAGTTATAATTGACGAACTAAACATTTAATGTTGATCATCAAAAAAGTGGAAAACCTATTCTCACATTTAATGTTGATGGTTAAACATTCTCTTGACTTTTCCTAAAAGTTTCGATTTTATTTCATACAGAGGGCATCACTGTAACCAAGTTATGTTTTTTTAAGGCCCAGTAGTATCATAAGTGGCTGGCCACGTGTGTTGACCTGTTTGACGTAGTGCACCCTTGTTATTTTGAATTGAATCTCTGCATTATAATTGTGACATGTCGGTAGATAAGAGCACCACAGTGCCACATTATAGACTCTGCTCTGCGTTGTCACGAAATGACATCGTGTACACAGTAAAAAACGGCGAGTAATGAGTTACATATGAACACTTAGTGACAAGGATGTTTTTAGGGTTTTGACAGCTTGCTGTTCCATTATCAGATAAGCACCTTGTGTATTAATGACTTGGTGATATTTTTATTATATTGTATAGGCCAGTGGTTCTTAACCTTTGCTTCAGCCTTGCACCCCTTTGGTTCTCAATAGTTTGGTGAAATAAAGTAGTTGTACTTACGTGCCCATGCTTAATTTGTGTTTTCGATTAATTACCTTCTGAAAAAGATCTGGCATCTCTCATACCCCCAATGGAAGGGCATCTCGCACCCCAAGGGGGTGTGTGCACCCCAGGTTAAGAACCACTGGTATAGGCAGTGGTGCAAAGAAAAAAGTATGTCAAAAACCCTACACCATAGTGATTGGCTAAAGTGCTCGTATATATAACGAACACTTTCTCACGGGTACACTTTGCACAGTGATAATATAACAATAATAATTGTTATATGATACGACATGTTCACATATATTTAAGCTAGGAGGAGGCCAGTTCTCATAAGGGGTTGTGCATCTAGCAACTATTAAAGCATTTAAAATATTGTCAGAATTCCGTGTTTTCTTTTTGTATATTGGTGGCGTAATTACTGATATTTATATTTTTTTGCCTTTTTTTACACAAGCTGGCCACAGGGACTCCCACAAGAGTCACAACCACGCATCGAATAAGCACAGGGATGTGGACAAATACAAGCACAAGGCCGAGCATAAGTCTGAACAAAAGACTGACAGTAAGCCTGACAGTAAAGTTGACCGTAAGACTGACCACAGGTCTGACCACAAATCTGACCACAAATCTGACCACAAGTCTGATCACAAGGCTGATCACAAGTCTGACCACAAGTCTGAACACCGGTCTGAGCACCGGTCCGAGCACAAATCTAAACACAAAGACAAGGACAGAGAGAAAGAGCGCGATAAGGAGCACAAGTCCAAGCATGGTGGTGGTTCGATGGGTTCCAAGGAGCACAAGGAAACCTCCCATACGTAAGTTCTCACCTACACATTACGGCAGAGGAGTCTTGTTAGACTGCATTGTAATTAAGCATTCATATTCTTGTTGGTAATGCAGAATGTAAGGAAGCAATAAAATAAAAGCACTTAAGTAAATAACTCTCAGCACCGAGCAAGCCTTTTTTTCTGTCTACCATGTCCCTCATTTCACTGCACTGTCCCAGCATTGCTTTATCATGCGCTTTGTAGATAGCTTGTGAAAGAGTTGCCTGTGTGGGTTTATTGAGGGATTCCGTACCTGCCCCTGTTAATTGTGGGTGTCCTGTTGCAGCAAGCATAAGGAACATTTGGACAAAGAAAGACAGAAGGACAAGGAATTGGACAAAATCAAAAAGGAAAAGGTAAGTTTGAATCGCGTTTATTTTGTCTTTAGCGACGTTTAACTATGTTAAAGGATTTATTTACTTAATCTTTTTGATAACTCGTTTTAGTCGATTGTCCTATTGGTTGTCAAGACCAATATTATTTAACAGTATTTGTTAAAGAAGGTTAACACTGTCTAATCAGGTGATTTGTGTATCTGTTCCGCAGCCTTTTGTAAATGATGTGAAGATAAAGAAGGAAAATGGCTTCAGGTAAGTACAATTTTAGCGAATAGTACATTTGCTATCTTTAGACTGTAAATCTCAAGTGTTTAAAAGTACTTCGTGTCATTGGTTTATTTCTAACCAATCACTGAATTTAGGTTTCCCTCCCTTTGTGGATTTTGTTTGTGCAACCTTTTTCAACCCAAAATTCGCTGTATGCGGTTCGAATTCACCCCTCCTACAGCTTTGTGGTGTGATGTAGGAAAACATGGTGTGTGTGCCTTATGTGGTACTCGGCAGGCGGCTGTCTCTTGTGGTTTTGCTTTCTGCGCCCTTTCATGGAACGCAGTTACCACATACAGCGAGGGAAACCTGTATATGCTGCACACGATTTAAATAATTTTCTCTGTCAAATACCCAAATTATTGGATAGTGTGTATAGGATGAGTGCGGTTAATGCAATTGTAGATTGTGGGCATGATATGCTCGTGAGACAAGCTGAGATTATTAAACCTTATTTATTTAGTCATATGTGTGGCAATCAGTTTCAGACTTTATTGCTTTTTGGGGAGTTTGACTCTTTTATTTTCCTGTTCCCTCCCACGTAGTTCCCCAGTCATTAAGCTGGAGGAGGATGATGGCTATGGGTTTGGAGCCGCTGTGACCGCGCCAGCACGTGCCAAGCAGGAAGCCCGTGCTCGTGAAGATCGCATCAAGAAGGAGTCAAAACCGGAGAAGCGCTTTCGGGCCGACTCCGATGATGATGAGCCGCTGTACAAAAAGTGAATTGCTGTGTTTTTGTTATAGCTGTAACGTTGTACCCTGAGCCACCGTAGACATCTTCACCGTATGGGTTCTGTTCCACTGGCATTTTCCTTGCAAAGCATTAACCCAAACCGTGCCCCGCTGGTATTGCAAGACATCCAATTTACCCCTTCACCTCTGGCACACCGTAACCAAGTCGGTATTGAGCCATGACCAAATTGATACGCTGGGCCACATTTAAATCTACATGGTAGCCTAGCAGGGTTGGGCTAGTTACACTGTCCATTGTGTTTAACATCAGTCATTAACAACTTAACCACAGTATCACTACGTTGTCTACGTGTGTCTCTGCATCACACGTTGTGTGCGACATTTCGCGGCACAGCTCTGATTTTTTTAAATGGAGAAACTACCCGCAACTGCCTTGCTCTGCACAACCCTGGCATAGCTCCGATGCACCAGTGGAAACCGGGTATAGGTCTCAATGAAACTAATGAGCCCTTGTCAGTTTATTTGCCATGTGTCGGCAATAAAATTGATGAAAAAATATATCTGCGGCGATTTTGTTTGTCCCCGTATTATACAAATCCACTCATCTTTTTGTTTCCAGTATATTAACTTGAGAAAAGCTCTTGACCCATTCAGTATATGTGTAGAGGTTTTCTTCGGAAAAAAATACATGCTTTTCATTCATCACTTTTCTCCCTTTCATTCTGCCCACAGGCTCCATATGGTTAAGCAGATCAAAACTGAGAAAACGGTTGACAGAAAATCCACAAAGAGGCCACATGACAGCCAGGTGAGTTCTCTGCTTTTTTGTGGACGTCATATTGGCTGCCACTCGTTCGGGCACACACTGGAGAACTAAACCGTACTGACAGTTGCTGACCGCTGGTGCTTTTTGTGTTACGTTGCAGAGAAAGTCAACAAAGAGAGAAAAGGATGACATTCCAAGCAAGAGAAAGAAGAAGGATGAACCGGAAGAGAAATGGAAGTGGTAAGGAAACTGTTCGCTGAGACGGATTCGTGGGTAGATTACATTGCGTTGCTCAACTATGGGAGCAAAACATTAAGCCTGTTGCTTTTGGAGCATCCTGATGTGAATTGTCCTTATACCTAGATCATGTGCGTTCAGATTCTCCAGCGTGATGTCTGTGTTGTGAATGCTGCTGGATCAACACTCAATAGTCATAATTTAGAACCACTGGACCCAACCTCCCTTTCTCCTGGAAATGTATCTTTCAGACATGGGCCAGGAGGTGGGGTATGAGGTACACAGCGTAACATGCAGTACCGTTAATCTTGACAGTCTGCAGGCGCACGTCGTCAAAATGTGCTCGTTTAGTGCCTAGAGCATTGATCTCGGTTTAAAACCTTGGGCCGTCCACAGCAGCGTTCAACTCTGTTTAAAATTCTCCCAGGCAGCGTTGTAAAAGACCCATCCCAGATGCTGACCCGCACCCTAAACACATCAGTCCACCGCCCCCACCTCCAAATCGGTGCCAGATCGCCGTGCACGTCATGCCCCATGCCTGTTGTGGGAGTCGCTTCGCCGCTCCGAAGCTCCGCGTTTCTCTGCCCCTGGGGATTTTGGTGGAAAAGTGGCGTTTGTCACTCAGTAATGCGTAACGAGCCGTTTCCTGCGCAGCAGGTTTGTTTCACCTACACGGACCGCGTTCCCCTGGGCTTGTATTAGGTAGCAGCGCGCGCGGTGGTTGTTGGTGATCACGGTGCCGGATTTAATTTTTTATTACTTTTCTGCCCTGCTGAACGGTGCGTTTCATTTATGACGCAAACAGCTATCCCTCCGGCATATGAAGGCACGTGATGTTATGGAACATTTTTGGCAACCTGCGGAACGATGCGTTTGGCTGAGAGAGTTGTGCACCCGTCGTGAGAAGTAAAAAAAAATATTTGCCTCAGGAAATTACGTTTTGCGGTCATTGGAACCATGTACGATGCTGAATTTAAAAATTATGCCAGGCTTGTGAAAATTGCCATTTCTAGCTGAATTGCACAGGTATTATGCAGAGGCCCAAAGCTGATTGTTTTCCACCCTCTGTTTTTATTTGGAATGTTTTATTTTGTAATTTATACAGTTATATTGGGCCTTACATTTGTTTTAGAAGATATGTTTTGTAGGAATTTTGTGTTCAGCACTTCTATGTGTTTTGTGGTATTCTTTGCTGTCTGTGAACAAGTTGTCAGTGCACATTTTGAGCAAATGATTCTTAAATTAATGTAAAACGCTGCCTTTGGTTAAGTGTCCATACATGTGTATAGCGTAACATCTCTAAAAGGTTAGAGAGATTGGCCTTGGAAGGAATGTGACCGTGTCTTAATAGTGATGCCACTTCGGTGGGGATTACATCTACATCGGCCCCCAAACGGGTCAGGCAGAGGACCCCCAAGTGTGCCTCGGTTCACGCACATTCAGGAAAACAAAGCGATGCAATCTCTGGATGGGACGCCTGTTGCCAGCATGCGGTTGGGCTCGGCGCGGTTTTTGGACGCATGTGGGTGTGTGTATTGCTTGTGCCTGGCGCTCCAGGTGGGAGGAGGAGCGCTACACGGATGGCGTCCGATGGAAGTTCCTGGAGCACCAGGGCCCCGTGTTTGCGCCGCCTTACGAACCGCTCCCAGACGATGTGCACTTCTACTACAATGGTTGGTCACACCGATTCTCATAACACGTCTTTTGGTAGATACAGCGACATCGATGTGTTATTTACTCACAATACATGCATTAAGTTATGTGTGTGAGATTAGGTTATAATTACATCGGCCCATGGGGTCAGGCAGAGGACCAAGTGTGCCTCTTCTTTTGAGAATGTCTTTTGAGTTATCTATTTTTTACGGAGCAGTGGTTATTTAATAGCTTGACTACATGCTACAAGAAAAGTTGACTTAATTGTGAATGGAGAAGGTGGTGCTTAATGCCTTTTTTTTGGAAAGCGCAGCGCATGAACAAATTGACAAAAATAGTTTTCACTGTTAAGACATTATTTTGAGTTTACTGTTGACACTGCCTTTGGGCATTATCTGCTGTCAATGGGTAGCAATGAAAGCAACAAACATTTCCCCCAAGGGGAGCACTAAAAGGCTGTGGTGTGTGGTTACAGGCAAGCCAATGAGACTGAGCGAGAAGGCGGAAGAGGTGGCTACCTTCTACGCCAAGATGCTGGACCACGAGTACACGAGCAAGGATATCTTTCGGAAGAACTTTTTCAAGGACTGGCGGAAGGTTTGACCTCTAATTTGAACGACATTATCTCTCCGCTTGCCTGTTTTTTTACACGCTTTTATTTAACTCACTCTGTTGTTGTCGTATCCTCAAATTTTGTAACTCAATTTTAACCCACTTCCCAATGTGGTATCGACTGCAAACTTGGTATACTTATGTCTTACTGATGACAATACTATATTCTATCATTAAAAAAAAACATCTTTTATGTGTTATGTTTCGGCTTGGGTCTAATTGTCCACGCTCAACTGACGTTGGTTGTAAATCACCACGGTCCCTTACGTTATGGCAAGCTTCGGGGCCACTTCCTGGAGTCGTGGAGTCTTGCCATTATGAGTACGGTACATTTCATTAAAGCGTATTTTCAGAAAAGGATTTTTAAATACTTTTCAATATATTGAGCCTTTTTATCCCAATTATCCCTGCTGTATACAGAGGGCAGTGCAACAAAATACATGGTTGTACTGTACTATGCTCTCGTCTATGCTGCCTGCCTTCAACCCGTACCCACAAGTGTGTCGACGTATGATAACGATTTGGGTAACGCGGTTTTGAAAATTAATTGTTTTCTTATGATGTGAGATAAGGGTAAATTATTACACAAGGGCCCGTTTGCTGTTTTTATTTTTAAGCAACGCACTATAATCCGTCGAGCAGAATGGGAGCGCCTGCGGTGGTTATTGGTTTGACACTGCGTGCGTGTCTCTCTCCCTGCGTGCGTGTCTCCCCGCGTGTGTCGACATGACAGGAAATGACGTCGGAGGAGAGGAGCGTTATCACCGACCTGTCAAAGTGCAACTTCAACGAGATTGATGAATACTTCAAGGTCAAAACGGAGGAGCGCAAGAACATGACCAAGGATGAGAAACAGGTGCAGTCATTGGTCCTCATTCCTTCAGCGCAAATGCTTGGCCCCACCAGTCGCTCCAAAATAAAAAAAAAGATTACACAATTTTCAGGGTAGAAGGAAAACAAGTTGTTTTCATTGCTTGTGTGTTTTTTTTTACCACATACGTAACAATTGTGTCGGCAGTATTAATCGCTTAAGAGTATCTAGGAATAGTGCGTTGGTCGTCGGTTTTTACACTTGTTTGACACTAAGCAGATGGCATTATCGCTGTACGATAAGAGGGAGTGTTGAGTGTCTTTTCAGTCTCGTATGTTTAGCAGGACGCTCCTACATGAGTGTTTAACCAATTATTTTTTTAATGAGCATTTTATTTGTGGAAGAAAACTATAGGGTACCTGCAGAAAACACATTTATTTTAGGAAATAACACTCAAAATGGGTACACAGCTCGGTCATGATCCCTTTGGCTGTGCTGACATTTTGCGATCACCTTGCAGCTTACCGATTAGGACGGTTGGCTACGTACTATGTGAAAGAAGTTCAACATATATGCAGCGCTTTTGAACCTTTAGCTCAAAAGCGCTGTATTACAGGTAAAATATCCAACCACTGAACCATTGTCCACATGGGTTCCTGGTTACTTAGCCACTTGTGTGCGTGAACTATCGACAGATGCTCAAGGAAAAGAACGAGAAAATGACGCAGGATTTCGGCTTCTGCCTCATGGACTCGCACAAGGAGCGAATCGGCAACTTCAGGATCGAACCTCCGGGCCTTTTCCGTGGTCGAGGGGACCACCCGAAGCAGGGCATGCTGAAGAGGCGTGTGTTGCCTCAAGACGTGATCATCAACTGCAGCAAGTGAGTCGTACAAGCGCGCATGTTGAGCAGCCACACCTAATGATGTATGCCCGTCTCACGAGACATCTCGTGTCCCACACTGGTGGATTGTTACCAACGGGATGCGCACGTGTGCAATTGGCGCACGCTTCCTTTTTTTAAGGGACTCCAAAATCCCAGTGCCGCCACCGGGCCACAAGTGGAAGGAGGTACGACACGACAACAAGGTGACGTGGCTCGCCTCCTGGACCGAGAACGTGCAGGGCCAGGTCAAGTACGTCATGCTCAACGCCACCTCTCGCATCAAGGTGAGAGACCCGTAGTCCTGTATTGACCACCCCCCCACCTTTTACGACGAACCATCGTGTGAATGTGACTTACAAAATTAAACTCGGCGCTTGGTTCCATCAGCCAAAAAGCCTCGAGTACCAATCGTTTTCAGCAGCAGGCTTTAAGCAAGGAAACCCTGGACTGGTTTTCAACTTTCTCATTCTCATCAGCATGGTTGTAGCCAGTAAAGCAATGTTTATTAGCTATCCTCTGTTAAAGGCAAATGTCACGTGAACACCGAGCTCCTGTGCAAAGTACAACAACATTGTACAGATGAGAATAAATGTAATTCACAGTTCATCATTGTGACACCACCGGTGGCAGTGGTGTCCATATACCCAGTGTATGAGAGCTTGACATTTTAGATTTGATTTAAAAATTGTGTCAATATATCAAACGACTTTGAATGTTTGCGATTTTTTTAAAAAAACGTTGCACGTGGCAAACGTGAAATCATGTGCATGTTTTGCGGCGAGCAGGGGGAGAAGGACTGGCAGAAGTACGAGGTGGCTCGTAAGTTGAAGACTTGCGTGGAGAAGATCCGGGCCCAGTACCGCGATGACTGGAAGTCAAAGGAGATGCGAATTCGCCAGCGGGCCGTCGCACTTTACTTCATTGACAAGGTGTGTGCCGCTGACGGGTCATTGGCATTAATTGACCATGCTTTTCCACATCAGTCGCTGCAGGTTGAAGCTGGAATGAATAAAACTATGGAGCATAGAAGTACATTACAATAATACATTTTACTGCAATTTCCTTGCACTGTCTGCAAAGTAAACGTGCGGTCCCAAACGCATATAGCAACACCTTTACATGGTGGTTGCCTGTCCAAACACTGTACAGGCTAAAACCTGCTGGGCTTTGGAGGTCTGATGAGATCGAGCACATGCCACCTGACTTGGGCATAAGCTACAGAGGTGATATATATCAATATTTAGTATATGATGCAGAAAGTATAGACAGTTCTTGTAAAAATTAAACGAAACTAGGTTGACAAAACATAAATGTGCATGCATGTTAGAACGCTTTTCAGTATGCATCTATACTTTAAAAAGAGTGGGCAATACCGGCATACATTTTTCCCCGAATGCATTATTAACAAACGTATTTTTCAAGTTATTAAGGGAGGGAGGAGACACGCTGCTGATGATGGTGAACCTGTGTTGCAGTTGGCGCTGAGAGCAGGTAACGAGAAGGAGGAGGGCGAGACGGCGGACACGGTGGGCTGCTGCTCGCTGCGCGTGGAGCACATCAAGCTGCACGAGAAGATGGACGGCCAGGAGTACGTGGTGGAGTTCGACTTCCCCGGCAAGGACTCGATCCGCTACTACAATAAGGTCCCCGTCGAGAAGAGGGTACGTTGCGCGCGCGCTCGTGCAGTTGCGTCGCAGAAATGGGAGAGAAATGTTTCTTTGTAACGTTTTGGCGAATGTGGGATTCAGAGTGAGGTGCACAGAAAACTTGTGTAAAGTTCGATTTGGTTCTCGTTTCTGAAAACCCAAATAGAATTTGTACTTAAGCGAAATTGTTAACGCTCGCTAGAGATTTTCAATGTCGTGTAATCAAAGATTGTTCAACGGCTTCTATATGCGTGTGTGCGAGTAGGTTTTCAAGAACCTGCAGCTCTTCATGGAGAATAAGCAGGGTGGAGATGATCTCTTCGACCGTCTTAATGTCAGTAATGTCCAGTTTAATTATTTGAAAATATAGGGTTCCACTTGTGCATTAGCATTGCAGATATTATGCGATCTCGTAGTGTTTGCTGCCACATTTAAAGCATGTTTTATTTTGTGAATCAAGCTGCTATCTTTTGATTTTTGTGAAGAGGTGCTGAATCTGTAATTTTTTTCCCCACCACGACATTCACGACAGACGTCAATCCTGAATAAGCACCTTCAGGAGCTGATGGATGGACTGACTGCCAAGGTTTTCCGAACCTACAACGCCTCCATCACCCTGCAATGGCAGCTGAAGGAGCTCACGAGCAGTACGTTCGATCCCCGCCCACTCCTCCCACTGCCCGTTTCCTTTACTGCCCCCATCAATAAGGGATTGTGGGAAAATACTAAGTTAGCAAAAAGATCTAAATTTTTAAACACGATCGCCGGCTTGACATCTCAAGTAAAGGCAGCAACCCTCCGTGTCAGCTACTCATGAATACATTTTTCGCAGCCGAGTAATGATTTTACAACCGCTCGACTTCAGAGCATGTCCAGTCGGCTCATAATTTCTCATTGCTAGCAGGAATCCATATGGCCCTACTAAGTTGCACTTGTGCATATGTGACAGCTAGCCAGATTTTATTTCATCAGGCTTAATCGATTGGAGTATGGCTATGTTTGGTTTGTGAGATTGCTCTGGAGAGTGAGATTTTCTCGATTATAATCGAGTGTGTGGTTCTTGTGTTGACGTGGTGTGAAGCGGATGAGAGTGTCCCTGCCAAGATCCTGTCCTACAACCGGGCGAACCGCGCGGTGGCCATCCTGTGCAACCATCAGCGTGCCGCGCCCAAAACATTTGAGAAGTCCATGGCCAACCTGCAGGGCAAGGTGAGCTACCATGGAGAGCAGGCATTGTACTTTGGTACATTTGTGCTCTGAAGAGCATTTGAAGCATGGAATGGAGTCGCCCTCATCTAGCAGTTGATCGACAGATGGGCTCTGCGTGTGCAATCATAATATTTTGATTTAAAGCTTTCGTGACTGCAGGGATTCATATTCTTGGTTCTTTCGGTAAAGTCACGTAGAAGGGAAACAATACAATTATAAAAATATAAAACAATAAAATTATCACGACGTTTCGACTGCAACACAAGCAATCATCATCAGGTGTGAAAACCACAGCAAGAAAATTTGAAATAAGTGGCGTTTTTTTTTTAACGTTAGCACCACGGAGAGCGATTTGGTAGTTATTCAGATGGACGAGTTCATCTATGTTCGGAAAAGAGGAGGTGGGAGACGAAAATAATGGATGCGGTCTGAAAGCCATCGTAAGCGTGAACGCTAAATCGTACCCTGCCACACGCAAACTGCTTACTAATAGTTCATTCATGATAATGATCAAATATTGTCATGCTTTTTTATGTATGCGATCCTGTACTTTTGAAGACCAAAGTACGTGAATGGATTGTAGAACTCATTTTCCACTTTCATTTATCCTATTTTGACCTATTTTAAACAAACAAAAAACATTTGTAGTGGAATAAATACTGTACCCATTAAGGGGAAAATCTAATATTGATTGGACTGATTTCCCCATTACCGGACTTAGTGCATTGTCTGATCTCTTTGGACAAAACTCTTGATTCAGCAGATTTTGTCCGTTAATTCCGAGATCCGTTGAATGGCGGTCCGTTAAACCAAGGGTTTACTGCAGTGACAAATATGATTTTAGAGCCTAACCGATAATGTTTAATGTCGTTTGGTGACTGCGAGTTTCAAGGAAACTGGGACCCTTTTTTGATAAAAGTTGCTTGTCTTGTACAGATCGACGGCAAGCGGGAGCAGCTGGCTCTCGCCAAACGTGAGCTCAAGTCGGCCAAGACTGACTTGAAGGTCCGCAAAGACATCAAAAGCAAGAAGTAAGTCAAGTGGCTCCACGCTGCACACTGCTTCACAGGCTACCACAAGTTGTGGCGCATCTGGCTTCCTGAGGATCGAAACTCCCAATCCTCCCTTGTGTTTGTGTTGTGTCGACTTGCTTTTAGTGGGTATCGGCACTTACACGTGTAGAGTCCCCCTGGGTATCCAGTGGTCTGTTTACCTATGGCTCCTGCTGTTCTGACCCGGTGTGCAAGTCTCACTCTTAAGTCATTCATCATGGGGCAGCTGACGATCCGAATTAGGTTCTTCCACTTCTTTCTCTGATGGGTGTAATCCTTTTTATCTCAAGTCCTCCTTTTTACACTTTGAATTCACATCTTGCGTAGAAAGCCACATGGCAGTGCTAGGTACACTGATAGTAATCTGTTGGCCTCCATTCTTTGAGATTTTCTTTGTACATTCCATTCACACTTGGGTGGCGTCGGTGTTCCACTTGGCGGTGTTTCACGTACGTGTGTGCTTTAATTTTCTGCATTCGTATTTGTGCGTGTAGCTCGCATTCACCGTTTTCTGGTATGGTGGTGGGTGTGTGCTGTTGAGGTGGATCTGCTGTGGTCGCCGGTGACATTGTCATGTGCTTGTGACAGGGTTGTCGAGACCCGCAAAAAGGCAGTTGAGCGCATGGAGGAGCAGCTCATGAAGCTGGAGGTGACTGCTACTGACAAGGAGGAGAACAAGCAGATCGCACTTGGCACCTCCAAACTCAACTACCTGGATCCTCGCATCTCCGTCGCATGGTAATACAACATGATAGTGATAATAATAGTGTCACAAATTATTTTTATTCGTAGAATATATGAAGTAGAAATGTTTAATCAAGCGTTTTTGCCCAATAAATACACTTGCACGGGAATACTGTCACCTCTTTTGGGGTATTTGACTATATGTACAAGTTTCCACTTCCCCAGCTGCTTTAACCCCCAATTAGGAACAGGGATTCCTTACAAAATGACCAGATGTATTTGAGTCGCCCTTGTGTGTGTACCTGTGGTGCGTGTTGCAAATGGATTTGCATACCTGTTGCGTGCGAATGCAGGTGCAAGAAGTTTGGTGTGCCCCTGGAGAAGATTTACAACAAGACTCAGCGAGAGAAATTTGCCTGGGCCGTTGACATGGCCGAAAAAGATTTTGAGTTTTAGACAAGACATGGATTTTATGAAATGACAGCGGTTTTATTGATCGCACCGATCCGTTTTAAACCTTGAGCTTTTTATATATATACACCCTGCTTCGTCTGGAGATGAATACTGCTCAACCCATAATTGTACTTTTGCCACAACCAATTTTATGGGCTTGAGTGGTGTTTTTATAGATGTCACCTAGCCAAATTTAAAGACTCAAAATAGTCTGAAGTTAATGACTTTAAGAACAGCCACACACGTTAATTGCATTAACCTGTGTGACTTTTTAAAAGTCGCATAAATGAATTACATTGTTTTTAATTTAGCACTGTTAGGATAAGCTTTTGTTGCTTTTGAAAACAAAGTTGGATAAACATTGGCATTAAAAACCTAATAGTCATTTAATTTTAAAAAACATTAAATAATTGAAATTCATTTTTAACATTCACTATAAATGAAAATCCACGGTAAGTAATTTTTAAAGCATGATTTCATTAAATAACCCTCTTAGCGATGTGTTAGTGCTATTTAAGTTTTTTTTTTCCAGACTGTGAGCCCTACGCGAGTTTATGGAATATTAAATGTTTTATAGTTTGCCGAATATTGTACAGTTAAACCTCGATTGTCCATAAACTGGGTCTGGGGGTTTGTTTGGATTGTGAACTTTCTTTGCAAATACAGCTTGTTAAACACTTTCAAGGATTTTGAAAACATTTTTTTCCTGTTTCTTTTCAAATCAATTGTGTGGTGAGACAGTACTCTACAGTGTAGGATCATTTTGTTCAATCCACTTGATACCGAACATGAACCGCCATTTTGGAGAGCACCAGTTTCTGCATGGATGTTCTCCTAAGACGTATTAAGTACACCTGGCAGACGGACAATACTTGGAGCACCAGAGGAGCATCTTGTCTTGTGTTCACGAGATGTACAACAAGCTTAAAGCCCCCCCCCCCCCCCACTGTGTATAGGCGCGACAGAAATCTGCCTTACTTCACTTGGAAATTATGCCTGCCGATTGCCGACTTGAAGCACAGGTGGCTGGTCTGGCTTTGCCTGGTGCTTGTTGAATATAAAAAAGGCAGGTGTGGCCACAATGGTTTGGCGAGGAGCTTGCTACGTGTTGCTATGGTGCTGGTTTTGCGAGCCGAAGTGTGCGTTTTGTGTGTTTGCCCATTTTGGCCAACCCAGCCGCAGCTAAATTGAGCAAACTTGGGTTTGGGGAGATCATACACACAATTAATTAATGTTGAACATAAAACCTCCCTAGCTCTGTAAATATTGCTGCAGGATCGAAACAACGGTACACAGAGACTGTCCTTTAGAGCTCAAGGAAGACATTAATGGTAATAGTGTGTTTTTAAAATTGTGTTCCACAAGATGAAAGTGCTATCGTGCTATACACATGAATGTTGGTCTCGTGGGGGGTCTATACATTGGGCCTTTATCAATGAGTGTTGTCACTCCGGCTGAAGCTACATTAGCATCGCTTAAGAATTTGCTGTACCGTTTTCTCATTTTACAATTTTATAAAGTTTACGGTGGTCGCCATGTGCGTAAAAATATGAAATGTGGTGAATTTGACTGATGCCCGGTGTTCACAACAGGCGGGGTTGGGTCACCGTATACATATATAAACATCACTGCTAAGATTATTTTACTGTCATTTTGCTTTGAATAAAAAAGCCAGTGTGAGCGAGTCATGCGTATGGCGTTGGTCGCATGAAACCACAATCTCAAGTATGGTTTTGGCGTGCGATAAAAAAATCATTCTTGAGGTCCAAAAACAACCTACTTTACTCTCACGAACCATTTTAAAATACACGCCACTTAAGAGTGGTGTTATGTTATTTTCGGTGGGGGGGGGTTTCTCATTGCTATTTTTTGTGATGCTCCCCCACCCCCCGATTGACAAGGTGCAGTTTTGTGGCAATCTGTCGCTGGTCGCAGAAAGCGTTTTTTTCTACATTTGCCTTTTGGGGGTTGAGAGAGTTCTTGCGGGTTTCATCTGCTGGGCCTCTTGGTCACTCGCAACGGTCGCAAATTTTGATCTCAAGTTGGACAAATTCGGGGTGGATACAAGACTGGCTGTCGCTGCAAAATTGCACGGGGGGGGGGCGGGGGCAATTTTTTCGATTTGTTTTAGTCTGGATTAATAACCTTCAGGTATTCATGCGTGTGGACCCCCGCTTGCTCGTGTCTCTGGGATGTGCGTGTGCTTGCCTATGAAGAAACGATGCCTTGTGTTCGCAAAAGATGCACGTTTTGGATGTGGGAAATAATATCCCCTTTTATTTATGAGATCGAATGAAGGTGGGCGAAATCGTCGGTGGCTGTGTTTTTCATTGCTCATCTGTTTAATGAGTGCGTGGTTGCTCGTCCTCTCATGTACCCCACCTAACAGAGGTCTTGCTGTCCTGGGACGTGGCTGGATTTTTTTGTAGTCCCTATTTGCTGTCTTACGTTTTTGAACCATAGAGGAGTTTCGTGCCAGTCCCTTTTATTTTCCTGTACTTCTAAGAACAGCCCCCCCCCCTTAGCTTGTGTGCCTGAATGATTGCAATGGCTCTGCACGATTGAACGGTGATGCGGTGTGGTTGTGATTTTATACAGCTAGAGGTTTAATACGATATGACGATAATGCCGCGAGAGTTTGGTCAACTTATTTTTGTTTGACGGGGGGGGGGGGGGGGGGGGGGTCGAGTAGACGGGTCGACACATGGACGGGACTGAGCCAATTTGGCCAACTTTTATTTTTTTACAACCGGCTACACAGCTCATGAATTGGCCATATTGGCGCGCCATTGGAAGTAGTGCGAGCTGCTTTGGTTTCATTTACACGCCCCGAGCCCCTTTGCGACACGAAACCGACTTTGTCCGATCGCTGTGGGCCATTGTTAATCCACAGCCGTCAGTCATGCTTGCCGTCGTTATGTATGTAGCTATGCAGCTCATACGTCAAGCGTTGTGTGCGAGTGCCACGTGCTGCCGGCGATTATTCTGAAAACGTCTTAACGTCAATAATCACTGCGTGTTTCACCACTTGCATTTTTTAAGCCCCCCATACACCCCCCCGCATGGACTTGTATGCAAACACGTTGCGCGCCAGGGTGCCCACACAGCTTTGACTTGACACTGGACCAATGTTAGTGAGAACATTGTTAATTCCAAAAGTTGGCCCCTCTGTGCAGCGCGTTTTGACCGAGCTGTAACGATGGGCACGTTGCGGCTGGATGAGTGTGGGATGGGTGGGGAGAGCGCCTCTGTTCACAGAGTGTGGTTTAAAGTGTGTTCCAATAGATGCTACCGAGAGGGGCACAGGCTAATTAAATACTGTATACTCTATAGGTGATGCGCGCATTTTTAATAAATAAGTACTGTGATCAAATCCTCCTGTTGTCCTTAACTGCTGGTGACATACCACTACACATTTTGGTAACAGCAAAGACATCCATTGTTTCACCAGGTTTGTGTCGGCCTGTCGCTTTTCCCGTTCCAATATCGAGCAGCAAGTCTGGACCGGTTTCGACTTTCCGGGTCTCATTTGGGTTGAAAATGTCACCGTTCTTTATCAATCCACTGCTGGATTGCAGGCCTCACCACGCTGCGTCGGTCCATTGGTGTTGCTTGGCCATACCTCGCCACGTTGGTCCGTGTGGGTTTGTGAAGCCGGAACTGTTCCAGATATCACTGGCCATAAATATTCGCCGTGGCTGGGATTGTATTATTAGGTTTTATTTGCCCAGGAAAGCCTCATTCGAATCCCAATGCTTGTTTTAAGTAGACTCCCTTGAGGTTTTTTTTGTAGTTGCGGACGACAATCTCGTTTCCCAAAAAAGTTGTTGGCGAGTCATTTTTTAAAACAAATTGGACCATAATGCCGACGACAATGGCTTGCTCCTCTTCGAATGGCGTCACGGGACCTTTAATGTCCACCGTGAAGCAAGTGGTACGCTGGTAGTGGTGAATACATCCACTATTTTTACCAATCTATTTTAAGCTGAAGGTGAATTCAATGAACATTGCAAGGTACCAGCGGCCAACTGGTTGTATGTAGTAAGAAACAGGTCAAGCTTGGCTGACGTCCTGTTGGATGGTGCACTCACCGTAGAACCATTTTTGGACAGATTGTAACGTTTGTGGTTTCTGTCGGGCAAAAACAAATTGTGAGAGGATCAGGCCCTGGCGATCGTGGCACCATACTCGATCAGAATGTCGTTTGGTCATCACGTGCATAATATAGTAAAGTCATGCAATTTTCATATCAGGGCTCTACTACACATTCCACCACTATTGAGTCGTGACATAGGCAACACGGTGGCGTGTAGCTAAGTATCGACAAGGCTGTATTATTGCAACTCATTACGGGACGTCTGGCAAAAAAAAAACATTACGTACCAAGCTGCATGGTGTACACAGTTCCCTGGCACGTGTCGTGACAGGTCCTGCAAGATCTAATCTGACCATGTCCGTCCAGTGCTCGCCGAGCTGCATTGGTTTCCGTTTGCCAAGCAAATATATTATCAGGTCGCACTCGTTAACACAAAGTGTTTGGCACAAATGAACCACAATACCGTGGTGATCTTGTCTAGGAGCATCACCCATCATGCGAACTCCGGTCATGATCGCAGCGGCTTCTGGCTGGCCATCGAACAAAGACGGCCACCGCATCGCGCGCTTTTCAAATGCGCTTCTGCAGCCGTCTGGAACGCTCTCCTGATATTAGGAACCACTGAAGCTATGCGCTTTTAAATATAGATTTGAAACCCGTTTCTTTAGAACTGCGTTTTGTATGTTAGTTTGGTGTCCTTACCCACACCTCCGATTAGCACTGGTGGCTACGTATGGTGCGACAGAAATTCAACATACATGCGTTTTTGAGCATTGTACGCAATCAACTGTGGTGTCGAGGGTGGTAAGGACCCTATGACAGGCAATGGGCAGAGTCCTCGAGTGCTGGTGTCTTAATTGAAATTGTAAATTGTGATAACATCTGAGATCAGGAGTATATTTTCTACACTTTTTAACTCCCGCTTTTGTAATTCCATACTATGACTGCAAACCCGAGCCTGGCTCCAGCTTTTCTCGGATTGGGGGTCAGTGGAGCTGTTGTGTGTTTGTGTTTGGGGGGGGCTCACCGTAACAGTGGCCAGGTCGCTTCTTAAAAATAAGTTAACATCTCAGTGGGCTTTACCTGGTAAGATAAATATAATTTCGTTTTACATATATATCTTTGGGTGATTTATATTCTTGGTTCTTTCGGTAAATTCACGTAGAAGGGAAACAATACAATTTTTATTCTTTTATTGTTTCCCTTCTGCGTGACTTTACCGAAAGAACCAAGAATATGAATCCCTGCAGTCACGAAAGCTTTAAATCAAAATTTGGGTGACTTGTTTATCTTTCCTGCACTTCGTACTCCTATCGTGTTTTTTGTATTGTTTGTTGTCGCAATGTTCTTACCCTCCCCTTTATGGACATCTGTCTCGTTGGATTCCTCCTGCACTATAAATACATATTATGAACGGTGATGTATCGCCAAGGAGACTGAATTTTGATGGTGCCAAATCGACGTTTGGTGGTGCAGGCCCCACCCCAGAATCCCCTCTCGTATTGGACCTGCTGCACCCTCGAATACAATACCTAGGTGTTGAAATAAGCACAGAAAATAAACAATTGTCTGTATCCTATGTATAATTTTGCTCGAATTGTTATATATATATTTTTTGGCGATTCGATGGCGGGATGTATTAATTGATTAACAACTGCACGTTGGAACGGCACAGCTGCTGCTGTTCCAACGTGCAGTTTATCAATTGATCGAATTATGAAGCTGAAATGTGGTGACAACTGAATTGTGGCGATAGTTATAAATGGACATAATTACTTTGGATTGCATAAAATTAAGGAGGCACATGTCTGGTTGTACCGATCACTGAAACTCGTTTGTTAAATTTTGACTTAAAATATTCGTGACTGGAGGAATTCATATTCTTTGGTTCTTTTTTTACTTTGATTATTCTTTTTTTCTATATCTTACGTGACTTTACCGCAAGAACCAAAGAATATGTTTATTAAATAATCTGCGAAAAGTGGAACTTTCGAAGCGTGCCACAAATAAAAAATAAACAAGTAGGATTCTTGTCTGCTCCACCTTTTCATCCAGATTCCTAAGCGAAGGCAATAATACAATTTTTTTTTATCGCATCATCACAGCCAACGGAACTTGGATCCATAATTCTAACCGCTCGATTACAATGAAAATCAACTTGGAAGCTTCTTCTGGAAGGGTCACGATGACACTCTTTTTGTGGGACATGCAGGGTCCGATAACTTAAATCAAAATTAACACCCGCAAGTGCTTTGTTTGGTGACTGGAATGGAGTCACGTTGCATTGAATATGCCCTTGAATGGCTAGAAACCTGAAATTAACCAGGTGATTGTCAAGTGGCAGGCGAACGTCAAGGGAGCGGGCGAGCGGTGAGCGAGTGTCTGACGAGTGGGGAGTTAGTGTTTGATATGCGGTGTTAGGTGAGTGGTAAATATGTCGAGCGGTGAGTGTGAGGAGGAGTTTCGGTTATATCTGGTGAGTGTGAGTGGTGTCAGGTGAGCGTATGGGGAGCGGTAGTGCAGTGGTTAGCGCCCTGCGCTGCGAACTTGGCGATCCGGGTTCGATTCCCGCTCACGGTCAACTCGCAGCGACGGTCCTAGCTCTCCCATAGGTCGACTCAGCCTGGCGTGGGGTGTAAACATCGCCGGTAGGGAGATAAAGGCGGCCGGGCGTGGTACTGACCACCCGTCATGCCGTGCCGTACCTGCAGAGTAGAGGTGCTCGTTAACAGCACCTTGTTCCGACAGTCTGTTCAAGGCTACACGGGGGGTCTTTGTGGTGAGTGCAGGGGCATGTGGTGACACGTTATCATTGTTATAATTGTGATGAGCGTTACCGCCGTGTAAGGCGCGCTCTGTTCACCGTGGCTGACAAATCACCCGTGTGTGTTGGAAGTTACAATACAAACGTGGAGTACGCTTTATTTACAACTTTAGACTGGGCATACACGAAACGAAACTAGTTATTGTACCAAGTAAGGCCCCACTGAGCTATATAGCTCTTTTTTTCAGAAGCGATCTGGCTATCGAAAATGATAGCTCAACGAAGTGGCTTATCACGTAACAATTTATAGCAGCTAATTACTATAAACGCACGATTAGAAATGTGGAGGGAAAAATCGGAGGACCCGGGAAAATCATCGCGACCATGGGGAGAGAGAGACATGTAAACTCCAAATATACAGCGGGCGTCAGGGTCGGGATCGGACTCACGCCCTCCTGTATACCAGGCGAGGTAGTTAACATCTCGCCACCGTAACGCACAAGCAACACTGATACTGTAACAGCGTGGTCCAGATGTATTGTAACCCCCCCCCCCCCCCCCATTTAGTTATCTAAAATGTAACAGAAATGAATATGCAAATGGTCAAAAATGTTAGGGGTAAATTAATTTGGGTCACAGGACATCTGGGTCACCCTGTACCGTATGTACACCGTGGATCATAAGACGCTCCGGGAAGTAAGACGCACCGCAAACCTGTGCCCGGTGTCAGAGTAAATGCAACACAGATCTCGCCACGCGAACACACCTACCGGATTACTCCCACACCTGTCTCCAACTTTTGCTATTAAAATACAAAAGGTGCATCTTGTAATACGGGAAAACAACTTGTCCTGCACTCCTTACGCACGTCGAACCGTATGTTAAACTTCTTTCGCACCGCACGTAAGCCAACGCGCGCTGCCACGTCCACAGCTCCAAACCGCACTGACCAAACGTGGTGAAATACTGCATCGTCAAATCTCTTGAGGCTGTGCGGGGGATCTTTGTCTTTGAGCGAGGTGGTGCTGGTGGTGGAGGGAGGCTCGTGAAGGACGCTGCTGCTACTGGGCAGTTGGAGGCAGTCGCCCTCCAGCAATAACGGAGGACTGGAACGATGCTCACAACAACGAGCGGGAAGCGCCGGGCGGATAAAACGCAGAAAGTTTACACAGGGGGTACAGCTGGTGGTGCATCTACCGGTCATCTCAGTCAGCCAACCCATGGCACCTGCTGGGCCTGTCCCAAGACGTCCTGCACCTAGCCTGGCACAGTTGGGGTACAGCTGGTGGTGCATCTACCGGTCATCTCAGCCAACCCATGGCACCTGCTGGGTCTGTCCCGAGACCTCCTACCAGCGGCGAGCCTTCGACACTTCACGTGGCCTCAAAGTGAACCCAGCCTGGCACAGGCACCGTGGTGACATCACCGCCACTTCGTGGAGAATGGTCGGGGTATTGGTGGAGGGAGGGGGTGGGGTGGGTCGAGACGAGGTGGTGAAGAGAGGTCAGTGCCGGATTATCCTCGGAGAAAAAGTAGCTACATATGTAGTAGCTACTACTACATGTTTAGTAGCTACTACATGTGTAGTAGTAGCTACTACTACATGTGTAGTATATGTAGTAGTAGCTACTACTACATGTGTAGTATATGTAGTAGTAGCTACTACATATGTAGTAGTAGCTACGGGCCTCGCACTTTCAAGGGCCCCGCGCTAAATGCTTTCAAGCTATCAATTCCAGTTCAGTGATTCTGCACTTGCTCTATTACTATAGTACTATACCACCTTAAACTTTTATAAACGACTGGGTGTTTAAGGTTAGCGATTTGTCGTATTATCTGGCTGTATAGTAAATAAAAAATACAATTTCTTTACCATGCAAGTTAATAAAAGTGTTTTAATATTCATGTTTTTTAGGGCCTCTTTATAACATATGCTACAGGCCTCGCACGAGCTTCATCCGACACGGTGGGCGGGGGGGGTGTTAGGGGCCGTCCATAAATGACGTCACGCACCTAGGGGGGTGGGGGGGGTCAGACATGTGACGATGTGTGACGAGAGGGGGGGGGGTTGAGAAATGTGACGTCACATAAAAATGCGCAACTTTAAATAAATATAGATAACACGTTCTACTTCATTAAATAGACTTTTTAATAAATGTTTTCTCCTGCAACATCAGAGTGCAGCGCCACATTAAATACGCACTACAATGACAATAGTACTCTTTGGTTCTTATTTTTTTATTTTTTGTTGTTTTATACTTTTACGTGACTTTATTCTATTTCTACATACGTGACTTTACCGAAAATACCAATGAGTAATTTTATGCAGTCACGAAAGCTTTAATACTTTATTATCAAACTTCTACGGGGAAGTTACCGTTGTAATTATGTGTAAGATGTGCCCTTTTTTGAGCTGCCGTTTTGTATTTACAAGAGGTGGTCATTTTTTGAGCTGCCCCCTCTCTCTCTCTGCCTCCCTGTCCGTCTTTCCTCCCTCCTTACCTCTTGGTGGACTTGTATATGTATTTCTACCGACCGTGTACCTCGTATTTTTCATTCTATCTATGCTGGTATGTGCAATCCAAAGGTTGAACACGAAATTTAACACTCTTCTGAAATTCGTGGTCCGCCAGGAAGTGTCTGTGTTGTTGGCCTGACTGGATGTGCTTCACAAAATGTTTTTTCAGGTTTGTTGAATTCTTGTCTCTCATCTTTTTTGTTGTATTTACCTCCGTGATTTGTTCTTGACACCTGATGAAGATCGCTTGCGTTGTGATCGAAACGTCGTGATTGTTTTTTGTTTTAATATAATTTTATTGTATTTCTACATACGTGACTTTACCGAAAAAAAACAATGAGTAATTTTATGCAGTCACGAAAGCTTTAATACTTTATTTTTTTACCGAATTGAACCAAAGAGTATGGATCCTTGCAGTCACGAAAGCTTCAAATCTAGAAATGACAATAGTTTAAAGCGATTTGAAGCATGTTTTATTTGGGGGGGGGGCAGAGCTTTGTGACGTCATATATGAGGGCGGGTCTGACTTTTTGTGACGCCGTGTGACGAGAAGGGGGGGGGGGTAAAAAATCGCCCAAAATCGCGTGACGTTTTTATGGACGGCCCCTGAGTGAGTGTTCCCCTTCATCCAGTTAAGGGGGCTGCTGCTGATGATGACGACGACGTCACTTTCTGGATATTGGGGATTTCCCAGCATCGACGTCACGGCGGGGTGACGTCACGCGGCTCACTTCCTCAACCGCTGTCGAGAGTTGAAGTAATCGACCGCCGCCTCCTCCTCCGCCGTCGTCGTTGTTGTCAAGCAGCAGCAGCAGCAAGAAGAAGAAGCGAGAGGAAAGCCATGATCTATCCACTGCTGGGGTAGCGACACGGCCGTCTTCGCCTCGGGCACGTAACGCGGACGTTGGTGAGTGCGCTGAGAGTTGGCGCCAAATTCCTCGGGATGAGCGAGGGATCGTCGAGCAGTGGATTGACCATGACGAATGTTGATGATGACTGTGAAGATTATTATGATGGTGGTGGTGGCGGTGGCGGGTTTGGGTTGAGATGGATAGGGTTAGTCGAGGAGAATGTTCGGTGAGAGAGGAACGTGAGAGTTTGCGGAGGCCTTGGGTGAGGGGAGGCCTTCCTTGACCATCGCCGTTAAAGTTTTAGTTTGGTTTGTTTTTACACACTCCCCCCCCCCCCCTGGCACAAGTGTTCACGAATAAAACTTCGTGAACACTTGTGCCACCACGACCACTAACTGTAATAAAAAGAAATATAACATTGCCATGCAACAAGAATAGAACGTTGGTGGGGTCCCCCCCCCAAGGTAAACATGAAGCCAATCTTTTAATTTAAAGCTTTCGTGACTGCAGGGATTCATATTCTTGGTTGTTTCGGTAAAGTCACCACGTAGAAGGGAAACAATTAAATAATAACAATATTAAATTCTCACGACGTTTCGACTGCAACACAAGAAGCAATCATCATGAGGTGTGAAAACCATAATATTTTTTCTTATTTTATTGCGTTCCCTTCTACGTGACTTTACCGAAAGAACCAAGAATGTGAAGCCAATCGCTAAATTATTTTTGTTACAAAGTAGGAGTATCGTCTTGGGGCGGGGGATAAAAAGATAATCTTTAAGACTTCTCGGATAACACGAGGGGCATTGTCAGCCACGCTCACTCCACAGCTGGATGAGCGCCTCTTGAAACCCGCAGCCGCCACCTCGGCGAATTGTCGTTTACTGTGTACACTTCACGACGCAATCTTACGTCTTAAAGTTGTTAGTACAATACGTTTTAGTAGTACACACGACATGGAAGGACAATAGCAAAGGGCTCGCATAAATGCGCACACACATTATTGACATATTTGGGCGCCTCTTGTGTGAGGAACGAAACCGGTTGACTTGTCCACAAATCTGGCTGTCGCCTGATGAAGCTGGTTGTAATTACTGGCGAAACGTCGTACTTAAGATTGTAAATGTCGTGGCTTGGCTCTCCAACACACCGGTGTTGCTGTACTAATAATATACTACGCTATACACTACTATATACTTCTCTATACACTACACTACTATACACTACACTACTGTACACTACACTATACACTGCTATACACTACTATACACTACACTATACACTACACTACTATACACTACACTTCTATACACTACTATACACTACACTACTATACACTACACTACTATACACCACACTACTATACACCACACTACTATACACTACACTACTATACACTAGTGCTGTAATAGTAACGAATTGGCCACGTTCTGTTTACGTGACAACCCCTTACTAGTTGGCTGTGGCGGGTTTAACGACACATTTATATTTTCACGCGATCTAACCCAAACAAAAAAAACCCTCTATTATGGATGATATTTGTCGCGAAAGCCTGCTACGTGTTAAGCGAATCTAATGCAGTTGACTTATGGTCGTTGGTACAATAGAAGATGTTTGGCGAAGAGGGAGCTGCTGTGTTTTTACGATCTTGACCCCGCTGGGAATTTCCCCCCTCGACTCGAGTGACACTTTGTTGTATCTGTTTGAGCCGATACATGCACACATTAAGATATACAGTTGTCAAACATCCAAGCGTTTACGCGTCTCTCGACAATCTCAGTACCGCGCACATATTCATCCTTTAAAACGTTTAATGTTCCTCTGCAAGATAAGGAGCCGTCGATTTTACAAAATAAATAAATCTTATCAACTGGCGGTCGGGCGTGGTGCTGGCCACCCAACCCCCTCGTGTACCGTTCCGGCCTTAATATGTGCTGGCTATAAGAGCACTTGCCCCAACATTCTGTTAAGGCTATACGGAGGGATCTTTTGTTGTGAGCGTGTGTGACATTGTTATATGCTTAGCTGCTGAATCGATCCACGACTTCCTGGTTGGGCCTTGTATTCAGAGATGCCTCCACCTTTTGCTTTGAGGCCAGGAGTGCGCAACCGAAATAACAAGAAGATGATGCATTTTGTTGTTGCTGTTGTTCGAATTCGGTCAAAGAAAACGTAGTATGTACAAAAGCCGCAATGCAACGTGAATACGAGATGGGTGGCCCTGAATAGATAACGTCACGAAGAGGTCCTTAGAGCCCGATTTCGGCAAGTCGCCGACCCCCTGGACTATTTGAACAATGTGTAATTGCAGGCATGGTTGTTTGGAGGGGGGGGTTATTTGTTTTTGGTTTATCGGGGAATATATGCGATTTAAATCGGTATAACAAATTACGATAATGTGTATAGTACTTTATGTAATTTTTTCAATATTTAGCATGCTACTTGAAGTTTGGCGATAGGCAACTTGGAGTAGTTCTTTGCATAAACAACACTGCAGTACAAGGTAAAATCACTTCAGTGTTTTACGCCAGTGGCAACTGGCTATTCTTACTCCAATATAAGTTTGAACTGCTTTGTGTATACTACATCATAGCCCTATCAATAGCATGAACCCTCGTCTCACTGATCACCCCCACTGAGACAAAAAATCATGAATTGTACACAATATGATTCGCATGTGGTACGGTTTCATCTATTGGGGCGCCGCGATGGCGAGATGTGAATACCTCTCCTGGTATACAGGAGGTCGTGTGTTCGATCCCGACCGCGACACCTGTATATTTGGAGTTTGCGTGTCTCTCTCCCCGTGGTCGAGTGAATTTTTATCCGGGTTTTACGGTATTTTCCCCCCTCCACATTTAGAAACACGCGTTTCGAGTATTTGGCTGCTATACATTTCCACACGATAAGCCACTTCGTTGAGCTATCATTTGTGGGCAGGTCGCTTCTGATAAAGAGGGGGGGGGGCTTACCTGGTAAAATAAAAAAATAGTTGAGTTTAGTCTTGATTTGAAGCTTTCGTGACTGCAGGAAACTATACTCTTTGTTTTTTTCGGTGAAGTCACGTAGGTATATAACAATAATAATAGATCACGACATTTCGATCGCAACACAAGTTCCACTGCTTGATTATTTTTTTCCGCCTGAGGACGACCGCTTGTGTTGCGATCGAAACGTCGTGATCTATTATTATTATTTTTCTACTTACGTGACTTTACCGAAAGAACCAAAGAGTGGATTCCTGCATTCACGAAAGCTTCAAATCTATTCTAGAAAGCTTCAAATCTATTCTAGATTTGAAGCTTTCGTGACTGCAGGAATCTAGTAGAATACTGCCATCTGTTGACAATGTAGCGCCACTGCAGCTTACAACACCCGTTGTAGGTCGACTCAGCCTGGTCGTTGCCCATACAAGCTCAATGCGGGCTCAACTTGCCTTCGTTGCCGTGATCTTGGGCACATTCTGGGTAATTTGACCATAGGCGAATACGTATTTTTTTGTTAGTAGATACTCCCGAGAGAGGTGGAGCAGTGTCGTAGTGCTTAGTGCATGGCACTATGAACCCAGACACCTGAGTTCAAATCGAGGCCATGGCTAACAGTGACATGTGAAATGATCCTCGATACCCTATTCACCAATGCAGATTGACTAGAATAGTGAAGTATGGTCAAATAACCCCCATGGCACAGTGTTTGGAAGGCCTTTACTTAGCAGATATCATAAATTGTGTAATCCTGTAATCTGTTCTTTGTGAAGAAGCCTGAGACCAATACAACTCTCCAGATTAGTCATTCGCCTGCATGACAGCAAGTCAACAAGGCCAAGGCAACCTATCTTCCAACGTCAAACTACAAGTGCAACCTCTATGGAAAATAAAGTACTGAAACTCACGTACTGATCTTCACAACCGCAGATGCACAGACAAGTCATTATATCATCAGTGGCGTCACCTTTAGTCACGAAGGGCAACGGCACGATCGACATAAATATAAAGTGAAGTGTAGTCGGCTGTTGCTTCCAGGAACAAGTCAAAATCTTTATTTGGGAGAAATATCGGCAGTCCTTAGGTGTTTCTTTTTAAATAAGAATGTTTTAATGGGAGGTAATACAGATGCGTTTACTGGAATGGTTTTGACAAAAACAAAGTATCAACTAATCTGCTTGAGGTGGGTTATATTTTGCTTTTTTAGAAATCGTTCTTTATATGAACGGGTTGATCGAATCATTGATACAAACCATTTCATGGTGTAAAATTGAGGTCGGTTATAATTAGCAATGGAATTAGAAGTACACTTTTTGACGTTTTATATGAGGAGATTGGTTAAATAATCTGGAGTCAATTGATTTTAATTACAAAGGGCCCTTGAGTTGGGTTATAATTTCCAGTGTTGTAAACCTTTGTTTAACTCGATTTTACATGAATGGTTTAGTTAAATCTATGACACTAGACAGTTTTTTTTATTTCCTTCATATCATATGTCAAATATTATTGACAAAGGTATTGTGTTATGAGACCTCCTTTGCCAGTAACAAGATATAGGAATAGGTTTTTCCCTTTTAACTGGCACAAAAACTGACACCTTTATTCAAGGCATCATGTTTGCAATAACCACAACACAAGCAGTCAAAATGCAAACAAAAAAGACAAACATGATGCTTTAAATAAAGGTGTCAGTTTTTGTGCCAGTTAAAAGGGTAAAACCTATTCCTATATCTTGTTACTGGCAAAGGAGGTATCATAATGTAAATGCTCACCCCGAGCCCTCAATACTCTGATAGTGTGCTGTTTTTGAGTTGTACGCCTTTTGGCGTCTTCTGGTCCAACACCAATGGAGACTAGGCTCTAAGAAAAGCCGTCTCGGGTGTGGACCAATCAAATTCAAGGACAGTGCATATTATTATCAGAGTTGTCTTTTTTGTTTGCATTTTGACTGCTTGTGTTGTGGTTATTGCAAACATGATGCCTTGAATAAAGGTGTCAGTTTTTGTGCCAGTTAAAAGGGTAAAACCTATTCCTAAAGGTGTTGTGTTTTGCCAGTTTGTTATTGGTGAATGTCAGCCAAGTAAATAGATCGCCCATGTTTAAGCCCCTTTTACAACATACTGGATTTCAGAGCTAATCAGTACAGCGTAACATTTTTGAATATTCCGACGCGATTTTTGCTTTGAAAATCAGTGTGCGGCAAAAAAAAAGTGTGCAGGGTTGGTGGCAGTATTAAGCGGGCCCAGAGGTGGACCACAACTGCGTGACACCTAACAATTTAACTTGCATGGCCACTGTGCTGTGTTTTTTCAGGTGGTCTTTTGATGACTCGCCATGGAGGAGGGTGGCGAGTTTCTGCTGGACCCTAAGGACTTTGTAAAGAAACAATCGTTGGGCTCAGGGCGGTATGGCGAAGTGCATAAGTGTACACACCCGTATTTCGGGATTGTGGCCATCAAGCAGGTGTTCAGCGGAATGGGGTCATCCAGCCAGCATATGTAAGTGGTGCTTCATCTGTTCATTGTGTTTTGCCCGCAAATTGGTGCCTGATTCAGCTCACGTGCATTATGGTGATAGGGCTGTGGAGTGAGACTGGTAATAGACACTTGAATTGATAGATACATGTAGATATACAGCTCTTTTGGCAATCACGAGCGCCTCTCCACACCGTGTGAGTCGTGGGGGTTATTTGACCATGCTTCAACACACTGGTGAGTGAAGGTTAAGTACCTCGCTCAAGTTGCTTGACATTGCTTACAAAACGGTGATGGAATGGAATTATGTAGATGGCAGGGGTGTACAAAGGTTGATAATTTATAATAATTTGTATAATGATGATGACAATAATAATTATGTGCTCGACAGGCAATTGGCGAGCCTCAAGGATGAGGCTAAGATCTTGCGGAAGCTGAAAAACCCGTGCATTGTTGAGCTGTTTGGCGTCATTCTACAAGAGGATAACTACTCCCTCGTTTTGGAGTACATGTGCCATGGAAATTTGGTGGACTTTCTGCATAAAGGGGTATGCCTGATAAGTTTATTTCCGTGCAGTATGCTGTACAAATGTGTTTTATTAACTAAAGAGACAAACGTTGGTTTACAGATGAAGTCCGTGAGCGGCAGCACTATACAGACTCTCCTCACTCAGTCTCGTTCTAAGTACATTTGTTTCAGGATCCCACAGTATTGTTAATGGCAGTATAATATATGTCTTGGTTTGTCCATAAGCCATGACTTGACACACTGCTTATACAGCCTTGCCACTTGAAAAACTGCCTTCACTGAAATTTACCTTGTCACGGATTATTGAATGAGCTGGTTCCACACTCATCCCCATGACTGCTTATGGGTGCTTCATTTCTAATTGTCATCCAAAATGAACCTTGCAACACTAATCACATTGGCTGGAGCTGAATCGTCACCTAGACCTGCCACTGCTGTCATCCTTGCCTGAAACCAGGCAAGGACGCATGGGATGCTCAAAACTACCACCATATTTCCCTACTCAGCGCCTGCTACAAACTAATGGAGTGGCTTCTGCTCAAAAGGCTGATGCCCACGCTTGAGGGAATAGTTCCTCAGGAACAAGCAGGATTTAGAACTGGTCGAAATTGTTGCGACCAGGTGCTTTCCTTAACAAGCTTCGAAAACGTTGAACACTTCTGCGGGGCGAAGCTAAGGCATGACGAACACCCTCGGTGTCTTGGAATTACCCTGGATTGGACGCATAACTACCATCGCCACCTGAAACAAGCTGAAGGTAAAACGAAAGCATAAGTGAATATTATTCAGAAACTTGTAGGAACAACCTGGGGAAGCAATGCCAGCAGGTTGAAGATATTGACGTAGGCCCTTGTTCAACTCCACAGCGGAGTACTGTTCCCCGGTGTGGGGTGCGAGCCCTCACAAACCTTGTCGACGCCGAAATTAACAACGCGCTTGGTATCAGCAGTTCCCTAAAGTCTACTCCACTCCCGTGGCTTCCTGTGCTGGCGAATATCGCTCCGGCCAACATCCGACGCGATGATGAGACGACACAGGAATACAACACGATAATGAAGAACTTTACTCTGCCGCTCCATTAAGATCTAAAGGAACCCCAACGCCCAAGGCTAAAATCCAGGAAACCGTTCTGGATACGCTCCTTCGCTCTAGCAGCCAAAAATAAAGACACCGCCACTCGGTGGTCTGAATCATGGGCGGCTATGGATGTGGCAAACAAACATCATTCACGATCCGACGGTGAAGTACCGGGATTCTCTCTTCCACGGCGACTATGGACCACGCTGAACCGCGCTCGAACACAACACGGCAGATGCGCGTACACGTTGCATAAACGGAAGATCAAAGAATCGGCCAACTGCGGCTGTGGAGTTGTCCAAGCCATCAAGCACATCACTGATGAATGCTCCATGCATGCACTTCCTTGCGGTATCGCTGAAATCCACACTGTCAACCACCTCATTGGGCTGGATGAGGAAGTTTTGCATTCATTTATGATGATCATTATGAAAAAAACTGTTGCTTTTCACAATGCCATACGAAAGAAGAAGAAGCAAACAGGTTCATTTACTGTTGCAACCATTCCACCCATTTGTAAACATTGCCAAAATTTCGGAATGAGAATATTTATTATACTGGAGAAATCTGATGAGCTATAAAGCTGTTTTTCACAGATGTCCAGTAGTTGACATATTGCAGCTTCATTCATTGATAACATCTTTGATCATGTAATACCACTACTATCGCACATAAAATGATGAAATAACATACCTCATTCACTGCGGAGTTTTCACCAGAACCGTGCTTTTTCAATGGTGGCCACATTCATGTATTTGCTCATTTGTTGACTCATTACCGATCCTTTCATGATCTGTGTGCAATCCACCTGCGCTTATGCTGGAGGCTGTCTATAGAGTCCAAAGGATAAATATAATTTTTCTAAGAAAAACTATTTTCGGCAACAGTCCATAGTCCATCACACAGTCGCATACCTGTCAACCCCTTATCAGTGCCCCTACCTTATTACAGACCAATTCAGACCTTATTGGTTACTCCGTACCCTTATAAATCTCAACGTTTATCCTACAAAGTTCCATCACAAGGGAGAAACAAACAAATAAGCAATTGTTTTTTTTGCCCACATTGAAATGGCTGTGCACCGTTGGGACCTGAAAACTACATTTCCCTGTACAAGAATATGGGTAAACCGTATGGGTTGACAGGTATGCAGTAGGACCAGCAATCGGAACCTTACAGACATTGCTTTTTCATGACACTAAATTTTCATTATCAAAGTAAATAGTAAAGCTATGATAAATTTTAAAGCTATGACCTGGATTTAGCATTTTCGGTGTTTTCTATATAAACTTTATTTCTGGCACTGTTTTTTTTGCTAGAAGGAAAACGTTCCATGGTGCCTTCGTGCTCGGATCATGCTGGAAGTGATTGAGGGCATGCTGTACGTACACAGCCAAAAGATTATTCACCAGGATCTCAAGCCTGAAAATGTGTTGGTGAATGGCGATTTCCATGCAAAAGTAAGCGTGTGCCATCCAGCCGGTTGGTGTGAGCCTCCATGAGGTCAAAATAATTTCTGAAATGATTATCCGGTGCAATGTGATTGACAAATAAGCTATGGGATAAAAACAAGGGAGCCAGGAATTCTGCTGGCTTCACCGCCTACTGTTGTATTAAAAAAGCATGCATGGAAAAATAAAATCCATTGCATTAAAATTGGTTTTACACGTTATTTGGAACATTTCCGGCTCTGGAAATGTAAAAATCTGTTTGAATTGGCATGCAATGAACATTACGCTCAGTGGTAGAGTGGGTTGGTAAGTGCTGCCCTTTCCTTTTACTGTGTGGAACAGAGGTCATGTGAAGGAATCTCAGTGGTTGTTTTATGAGACCTGCTTCCATTCTATACAACAGTCAGGATATAAATGGGGGCGGGGAGGGTGGGTCTATTTAAAATGAATAATTATGTTTGAAAATGTACTTTGTGTCTACAGATAGCGGATTTTGGAGTGTCCATTTGTAAAACCTGGTCACGACTTGGCAAAGAAGAGCAGACCAGGAGAAACACCGTCTCTGGTGAGAAAAAGAAGAAGCTGGGAATGGGCACAGCGGCGTACATGGCCCCAGAAAGGTTCAACAACGTCAACCTTCAGGCAAACGAGAAGACCGACGTCTACAGCTTCGCAATCCTCACCTGGGTCATCATCACCCAAAAGGAGCCGTACCAACGTAAATGCAGTCATCATTACCCACACGCGTTTTGTCTTTCGGGATTTCTTTGAGCAGCTAAAGTGCATCACAGTTACACGGTGCTGTTTAAAATTTTGCCCATGGTGGTCAGACCGCTTGACTCACAAACAGCCATTATGAGTTAAAATCTTCGTCCAGGATCGACTCGACCCATTAACCCTCTGGGATCGATTAAGTGAGTACCACTTTGTGGAAAGTTCATAATGGTTGTCCTCTGGACAGCCTGTTCCCCACCATAGGAATATGGAATTTGCACCCCTGACTCGAGGCCACCTACAGAGATGAACTCTATACTGCATGCTGATTTAAGCATGGAGACTTTTTTTTTACAAAGCCACCCGTTTCTCTTGCAGATTTGCAATGTGGGGATCAGACTACTTACGACGTGCTGAAGAATTGCACCGAGAAAAACCAACGACCTGACATGAATCTGGTACCGCCCCGTTCCCCTCACTGTATAATCAAACTAATGGAGTCGTGCTGGAACCAGCGCCCTGAAGAACGGCCGAGTTTCTCAGGTGACTTGACCTGTAAGCCTCATCGTTGGCTTCATCTCAATATGGTGAAGGACCTAGCTTTTTTTATTTAAACAATGTGATAAAACTTCTTTAAGGTGGACACAGTGTTAAGCTGGAATATGTGGGGTCTGCTGTAAATGTTCCCGAAAAAAAAAACTAAAATATTACTTTACAGTACAATGATCGTGCGCTAATTAAGATGTGAGTTTAGGGATATTGTGTTCTCTGGAAATGAATTCATAAAATACATACAGCGTGCCCTTAGCCCAAAGACAGGCGTAGTTTCCAATGTCAGTCACAAATACGCCTATCTGTTTTTGATAATTTAACCATGTTGGCTGGACACAAGTAAATCAGTTAGCCAAAATGTTAAAACGCTGTGGGCTTACTCAACAACAAACCTCCCAGAAATAAATTTTGATTTAAAGCTTTCGTGACTGCAGTAATTCATATTCTTAGCTCTTTCGGTAAAGTCACGTTGAAGGGAAACAATAAAATAATACAAAATATATAAATAAACAGAAATATTTCATGCATTTTGCAGCACGGTTTAAATGGCTGTGTTTTGTGATCAAATTCATTCATTTTCCAGGCATGTTAATCAAGCCCCATAGACCAATGGTTGAGAAGACCACGGATTAACTTAATCTCTTTAATAAAATATACACTTCACCTTGTAATAGCTAACTTTTCAGATTAATAAGTGATGAGTGCATGCTTTTTCGAATAATATTTCCTTTCTTTTTGCAGAGTGCAAAAAAATATTTGAGCCTCTTTATAATAGTTATGAAGAAGAGATACCTGCTGCCGTGACACAAATGAAGATGCAGCTGGTAAGAAATTAATTATTGTTTCCAAAGATGTTCGAACATTCTCTTATTACATGTGACTGGCGCTCTTCATTGTTATCACCATGACCCTCATCCTTCCCCTGGTGCAGTATATGTTTGGTCGATCGACGTACAAATCTCTTTAACTTTCTTACATGACTACATGGCTCGGTTTTCATCCCTTACAACAGTGGTGGCCAATACACTAAGCACTGTGACCCATCTTCGTCCATTTCAATGGGCTCTGCGATCTTCCAGAAAGCTATGACCAATATATTTACCCTGCTTTAACCTTGTAAGAAACAATAGACAATGTTTAACACGTAGGCTCTCGCGACCAATGTCCATAATATATAAATCTGTCGTGATACCCTCCACTACCCGACACAGGCGATTAGTAAGGTTTCTCAAGTAAATAGAACATGCCAATTCGTTACTAGTACAGCACACTGGTGTGTTGGAGAGCAAATCCACAACATTTACAATCTGAGTACGACGTTTCGCCAGTAATTTCAACTAGCTTTATCAGGCGACGGACAGATTTGGCCAGATTTGCTTAGATTTGGCCACCGGTGTGCTGTACTAGTAACGAATTTGGATGTTCTATTTACGTGACAAACCTTACTAATTGCCTGTGTTGGGTGGTGGCAGGTTTAACGACACATTTTCGCGATCTAACCCAAAAAAAACTGTTACGAATAGACAATGTGTCAGCGTCATCTATTGGTAGAAGTATTTTTTTACATATTCGTAGTTCTGAAATTTGTATTTGCAATGGGCTTTGTGCAAAATAATTGTTCGCATATGTTACTCGTTGTTTTGATCTGTGCCGAGATACAAAAACAAATCTTTTGTGATCCACCGTGAATCGCCATCCATGTAATGACCAATGCTGCTTTACAATTATGAATAACGGCATGACAATATATGCTCCCATATATATTTTTCAACTGTAACACGTGGCTTTCTAAAACCCTTGCTGTGTATTACGTATTCTTTGGGTCTTTCGGTAAAGTCACGTAGATGGGTACAAATTAATAACAATAATAAATATTAAATAAACAAAAAACTACGAAGTTTCGATCACAACACAAGCGATCGCCATCATGAGGAAAGGGGGGAAAGCTGCTGAATGCAGACTGTTTTATAGGGTCTAGTCCTTGGGTCATAAACGAAGTGGGCGGGGCGAGTGATGTTAATGTGAGAAATTAGCATGTTAATTTAAGATCGGAGAGCGGCCTCCGCGACGAGTGCGCGGGTGGCTATGTTAATGTGAGAGATTAGCATCCTAATGTAAGATTGCAGAGCCACCGCGACATAGAGGTCGGCGTCCGGAGGTGGCCACGTTGGCGTGAGAAATTCAACCTGTTAATGTGAAATCAGAGAGCCGAAGCGACGGGGAAAAAATAAAAAAAATTACATCAGAAGGTGGCAGGATGGGAACATCACAGCCAGTTATGACTTAAACTGGTTGATGATGTCTTTCCAATGATTGCTCAGTTTGTACCCATCCTCGGTTGAAATTGTGTCTGTATATTTGGATGGCTTCATGAACGAATCTTTGTTGATAGCCAGTGGGCTTACAAAGTACCTTCGTCTTAGAGAAATCTATTTCATGTGAGCTAAACGCATTAAAACAATGATCAGCCACGGCCGAGGTATTGGTCCTACCATGTTTTAAATCTGCCTTATGTTCACGAACACGGTCCAAGACATGTCGCTTAGTTTCCCCAATGTAACTCCTGCCGCAGACACAGCCTAGTTTGTAGACGCCAGGGTATTGCATATCAGGTTTCCTATCCTTCACAGATGGGATCAGATCACGAATTTTACGTACTGTGTTAAATCGAGCCTGGATCTATTGTTTGCTCAAGATTTTGGAAATATTTTTGGTGACCCCTGCTATGTATGGCAAGGTGATGGTTTTCATTGGGTTCTCAGATGGTTCTTTCCCAACGCTTGGGGTGGTAGCTTTACAGATTGTGTGGTCCGAATATCCATTCATCTTTATTTTTTAGTTTATTTTCTATTTATTATTTATACATTTTTACCGATCTATGTGACTTTACCGAAAGACCCAAAGAATATGAATTTCTGCAGTCACGAAAGCTTTAAGTCAAGGTGTGTTACATATATTCTTGTTGATCAAACACAGTCTTTGATTATGGGCATTTAGCTCTTCGTCTCCCATTGGTTGTAACTAACCACCCTTTTTATGAGCCCCCTTAGCAGCACTTAAGCCACTGTCTGTCAGGTCTGGCTGCTGGACTTGTGAGTCCTGATGAGTGGTGCTCTCCAGGACCTTGGCTTGGCCCGCCCTTGGTTAATTATGATAAGACGTTAGGATGCTTTGATATCTGTGCTAATGTGGCTCGCTTAAGAGAGTTGGCGGGTCGCCCATACACGGTCGGTATGCTTGGTGTAGCTTGTTTGATGTGAAAGATAATCTGAGTCTCGATAGGTGGCAGCAGGACACACCCGATATGCACTGTGTCCTTTTTTCAGGGTGAGGAGCCGACGATGTCAGACCAGCACCATGACATTCCACCACAATCTTTAATCAAGTCGCAGTCCGGTGAGCTGACGGCACGCTTGCGATTTGTGTGTCAAATCTTTTAAACGATTAAGTGGAAAATATAGCGATGTGTTTTTATGAATGTTCCATGGTTAGTGAACATGTCCAGAAATAAGCGGTCACTGTTTATTTTTACTTTGGGGGTTTTTGTGACCACCATCGCTTCCACCATGCCTCTGAAAGGATGTTCGTGTTTAGCTGTCACTTTGCTAGTTAATGTCAATTCAGAAATTTCAGCAGTTGCTTACCTTTCCCAGTATTTTTATTTCACATAAACTAAGGTAATTTTATTTCGTTTTCTCTTCCCATTCTCCAGTAAAATGGGATGATGCTTCATCTCGGTGGGCTTGACCGCTGTTTAAAAGACCCATGGGCTGGCTGAATTTACGTATTTCCCAAGTGGCAGTTTGTACCGGGTACAGAATCCTAAGATAGCATTTCTCCCAAGTCTCGGTGCATGCCACTGGCCACTGTGACTGATGAAACGAAACCCCCATTCGTGTACACACTTGCGCCCCCCCCCCCATGACAGCGGGGCAAAAAACTAAATGTGTGTCCTTGTGTCTCGGGGCTTTGCGCGTTTGACAGATGAGCTTTTGGGCAGTGCTTCCAGCAACAGGAGCCTCCAGGACTTGGGTCCCAAGACGCTCGTGGTCGACGACAGCCTCCTTGTCGCAGACTGCGGCACAATACCTACAGAGAGTGAAGAGCCGCGGTGAGTGGAGCCCTTGGCTCGTTCGCTTATTCTTGATATTAACCTCAAAGGGTTGCCTGTCACATTGTGGCGGTACTATGATATGTCTCAACGTAAGGTCGACAGTAAACGTATCGTCAGTATTACAAAGCATTGCTTGATCGTGATTTTGTTTCCTGACAGTATTTATAAAGTAACAATAAAGTACATAATTTAGTAAAATAACAACTAATTAGTACTTTGTATATTGTTTTCCCGAGTAATTAGCAGCATGGTGGTTGCATGACACCATTTTCTAACAGCATGCTTGGTTATATGCTTTTGTGAAATTGATATTATTGTAAGACTTATGGCAAGCTTATGTTGTATGAACTTCATTTTAATTACCTTTAAGCATCGTTAAGCAATATCTGCATTTTAAGTGCATCAACATATGAACCACATTTACAACATGATAAAATTTGAGCAAAAATCATCATCGAGAGAAAGTTAATATTTTGGTATCACGAAAAATTATCGTGGCAACCCGAATATAAAACCCATTCACGTTCATTGTTGGGTGCCAAGGCTGAGATTTAGTCACAACATAAGCACAACGCTGTGCTTATTAATGGAGATGTAGCAATTCATCACCTTGCTTTCCCCTGACTTCGGTGTAATTAATTTGTTTTGAGATCACCCGACAATGTGGTGCACGTCATATAAGCTAAAGTGGTTGTAAGGTTTTCATGAATCAATAGCATATAATCGGAGTAATTGATTGATCATGTATGCAGTTTGAGGCACGTGAAAAAAAGGATGGATTTTAATGAATGATTACATTCATATGTATTAGTCTTGGCTGATGGTACATAATTTATACATGTATAGGCATCTGGACAGCATACAAGAGTAGGCCAAATGCTCATCAGTTTGTCATTGTCAGCAAACAGAAATTTCATGAATGAAATTATTAACAATCGAAGGTTTTACTCACCCATATGTTGAAACTGACCTTGTACCTAACCCTGGTCTCTCCCAACACAATTTATCCTGAATTGAGTACCGAGCGCATTTTACAAAAGCATTTGCTTCTATTTTAGGATTTCCTGCTCATCTGAAGATGAACACACATTGACAAAACTCCAAGATGAACGAGACTACCATGAAAAAAATATTTCCACGAACCAACATCTTCCCATAAACAGGGACCAAGATCTCGCTTACGTCATGAACAGGAGGGTATCAAACATGCCTTCCGAGGATGCAGAAGAACCTCGCAGAACGAGGGCCGTGCCTGTGGAGTATCAATCGCCGGAAGCCACGTCATCGGGTCGTGGAAATTCTGAGGCGCATCGCACCTCACCGCTTGCGTTTGGGGTGCAGCCCTCGTCAAGCACGTATCAGGAGCAGCAATTTTTTCAGCGTGGGTCTTGGCACTCGGAGGATTCGCAGCGCCACCGCGATCCGCTCTCCTCGCTGTCGAGCACAAAATCCTCGGCTCCGCTGTCAGAGGTCAATATTGCGGGTGGTCCGGCAAGTCAGAAGGGGGCGGCCGTCCCGAGCGGACGGTACTCTGGGCAGCCACCCGCAGGGAGGGCTACGTATCCAGAGCCCAGGGCGCAGCACCCCATGTCATCGGGTGAGTTCTCACACGGTTAAACAAAATCAACTTGAAACTGGAAATGTATGTCTTAATTTTGGATATGAATCAGATTGCTGTATACGGTCCATAATAGCAGGAGGTCTCTCCTGCTAATTTTGTCTTATTTTGGCTCCTCACCACCACTGAGATGTAATTTTTGTAAAACACCATATACAGCAGTTTAACACCAAAGCTTTCGTGACCAATATCCCGAATAAAGATTTTTTTTAATGGGTTAGATCACGTGATTATTAATGTGTCGTTAAACCCACCAACTCCCGACACAGCCAATTAGTAAGGTTTGTTACGTAAACAAAATATGCCAATTCGTTACTAGTTCAGCACACCGGTGTGTTGGAGAGTAAATCCACAACATTCACAATTGTGGGTTTATTCTCCAATTGTGAGTTTACGCTCCAACACACCGGTAACGAATTGGCACGTTCTGTTTACGCGACAACCCTTACTAATTGGCTGTCGGATGGGTCGCGGATTTAATGACACGTTCATATTGGTCGCGAAAGCCTACGTGTTAAACTGCTGTAAATAATGTTTTAATAATAATTACATCTCAGTTGACGTGAGGAACCGAAATGAGACAATTATAAGGAGAGACCTCTCATGGCTAGCCTAACATTGTTGTCTGTAATATACGAGCAATCCTCGGGTTACGAACCAAATTCGTTCTTGAGACCGGATCGTAAGTCGGAACAACAATGCGCTGTATTTAAATGTCCGTACGGTCGGTGTTATGAAATATGTTACGGTTCGACAGAAAAAGGGATGCATTGTTAAATTTTCGAAAAAATATTGTACATTTGCATGTAATGCTGTAAAAAAGACTCTATAGTAATAAAAACCTAAAATAACGTCGATAGAAAAAATAACTGATTTATTATCACTTAGCTTGAGTCTTGATACTAGCTTGTAGTCGGAAGGAGGGGCAATGAGTCACCACAATTGCACACGTGAGCACACGTTGCACTACCGCTTCTCCTCGACACACACATATGTCGGAGACAAAGACCCACGTATAGCCTTAACAGACTGTAGTAGGAAGTGCAGTTAGCGAGTAGCACTTATGAAGGCCGGTACGACACACGAGGGCGTGGATGGCCAACACCAACGCCTGGCTTCCTTCGTTTCCACAGTGGTGATGTTTACACACCGCACCGGGTATTGGTGTTGGCCGTGAGCAAGAATCGAACTCGGGTCGCCGCTTTCGAAGCGCAGTGCGCTAACCGCTACACTATCGCTCCCCACACTTTCACACAAACACTCCCAGCGTGAGGCCGACTCATTATATCTTGCGGAGGATCGCTTCTCTGAACAGAATAGTTCCGTGGGTGAGTTTGCAATTGCGAGTTCGCGTTTTAAGTCCTGGTCATTGTTTTGATATTTGATGGAAGCTGGTTCGTAAGTACGGGTGTTCATAAGTCGGGCGTTCGAAAGGATTGCCTGTACATACGCACAATGTGAAGGCTGTTGCGTAGGGAAAGTTTACACATTTTACTTCGTGCAATATAACTTTCCTTTGTTTCTTTCTCCTCCCAATCAACTCCGTGCTTCTACACACTGTTGGATGGGGCGACTCGCAGGAGTGTTGCCACCGCAAGTCATGGACAGCTGGCCGTTTACTGCGAAATACAAATTTCCTGGCATGGAGCACTTGGGAGCTGCACTGTCAAATTCCACTTCCGGTAAGAAGCCCTAATGTATTCGTGTTGTGGAGTTGGTCAGCATTGCCCCTGCTTGTCATGTGTATTCGCTTGATGTAAATGTTTCTATCAGCTAGTTACACTGGTTTAAAGTCCGAGTTGGTGACACTTTATTCGACTGACGCGGTTTACTGCGTGAGCAGTCTGTGTCACCGTTTTATGTTCTTAACTATGATCTAGCGGCATAGGGCCATGGCTTACGAATGGGACCTTGGAGCAACCCCTTCCGCTATCTCGCAGGCGGCCCTTGGGCAAGGCGCCCAGCGCCTGCTTAACCCCCCCCCCCCCCCGCCATGGTCACGGCGAAGGCGTCGGCAGCACGGGCGCTGCTTGATGACTCCGGCAGATTAAACTTGTAGGTCAACGACGTGGTATCTGGCTGGCATGCGGAAGAACACGACCAATGGAGGCAATGGATGGCAGCACCAAGGCCAGCTGGTGGCTGCTACTGTGGGGCAACTCGTGCATTCCCCAGTCGTTATACTCGCTGTGTGCCACTGGACCTGCGTGCTTGAGACCACAGAGAGGGCAGCTGGGGGCACGACAGCAGCTTCTCTTAGCCACCGTGCAGGGCGTGGAGATCATTCTCTACAGTCAGCATTGTTCCCGATGGACAGCCGAAGAGAAAGAAAGATGATCCATGACTGAGCAACTCTTGAGCAGATTGGTTGGGACAGTCAACTATGGTACTCTTCACTCCGTTTTATGTTTTTTTGCTTGTTTCAGGTTTTAAAGTCCACATATCTCATGGGGAAAACATTCAGATTGGAAACAATAATGTGATCAATCTGAACTCTAAAAGCAAACCAAGGTATCAGCCATCGCAGCGCAGCTCCTCCAGCGAATCACAACGCAGCGCTAATCCAGACTGCAACCTCGAATCCTTCAAAGTTGCAGGTAAGGTGCATTTTGAGTCAGCTGTTGCAATGTGTCAAATTCTTATACACTTCCGTCACTTTGTACCGTATTTTCCCGCATATAGCCCACATATAACCCGCAGATGCATATACCCTGCAAAGATAGCGTTTTGTGTAAAACATTTCTGATAGCCCGCACCTCCATATACCCCGCAGGGTCTTGTTTTGTTTGTAAAAAGAGGTATATCCCGCGGGTTATATGCGGGATAATACGGTTATCATTTGCAGTTCAACTCTTTTTGGGAGGTACATTGGGTTTCTTTATGGCGTAGGTGTTGGAGATTAATGTAGGATTGCACATTAGTGATGATTCTAGTGTAATTAAGTAATAATTTGTTATAGTTATGTAATGTCTTAATACTCAGGGCAATTCTAGATGCTGTACCGGGTCAACTATATACATCAAATAATAACTTGCAAACATCAAGCAACTTGAATATTAGTGACTAACAACGAGCACATATAACAGTTAAACATAAAATGATATGGTTCAAATTGGATAAATATTAAAATCAAAATACCCTCCAAATGGACTTATAAACTCCTAGAATTAGGAACCCATTTACCATATAGCCATGAGCATTTACAACCGCTTAAAATAGATTCGGCAGGGCAGGTTTCATTTCTAGCACAGTTGACTACGTACAGTGTTACCCGCAGTATGTTTGCATGCATTTTTTTTAAAGACTGTATTAATCTTTACACGTCTCTGCCTTACATGTTCATTGCTGCCGCCCGGGCAGGGATGACTCGGAAGATCAACGACAATGACGTGGACATCTTGAGGAGGAACCTGTCCAAAGACTGGAAGCACTGTGCTCGTCAGCTGGGCCTGGATCAAGGCCAGATCGCGGCCATCTCCCACGACTTTGACCGCGACGGGCAGCAGGAGATGATCGTACAGATGCTGAACTCATGGCAGCGTCTAAAGGGCCGCCAGGCCACCGTGAATATCCTGGCACTGGCGCTGCACAATTGCGGCCGTTACGACATCTTACAGGAGTTAGATGAAAATTCTACATAGCGAGCGTGGTCTTTGTGTGTGCATGTTGCATGTTGGGGCAACAGCCTGTGCGGCCTACACAGTGGTGGGGGGGGGGATCTTTTTCCTTGTGGGATGTAGGGGGCAGTGGTACTGTCTTTGTGTATTGTCTTATGAATTGGTTACAGCAGGACATGGATAACAATCATTTATACTTGGTATCTGAACTTATCTTGGGGTCTTCTCCAGGGCCACTGAGCCTTAATGAATACTTTGGTGCTGTGTTCAAACATCAGAGACAAAGGTGGCTGTGCATGGTCCTGGCCACACCACCCCTTATTTACCGTACTGGCTTCAATATATGCTCTCGCTAACGGCACTTGCCTTCAGCATGCTATCTTGGATACACAGGGGGCCTTTTTTGTAGTTGGTGGTGCAATTTTTCACGTACTTATCTTCAATTCCAGCAACCAAGGATCGATTTCCAGCCCATGGTATGATATCAGTTATGCTTGATATCTTGAGCCATCCTATCTCTCTCCTAGTCAACGTTGCCATGAATGAGTACCTGGTGCGGTGTGTAAACACCGACATTAGCGCGACCAAATGTGGCTGGGCATGGTACTGGCCACACCACCCATTTGTTTGCGATGCAGGTCCTTAATAGTTGTTTCAACGTGAGTTCAACAGTCTATAAAGCTCAGTTGGCAAAGTTTTGCGTGCAAAATAGGGTTACAGTAAAACCTTGGATTGCGAGTAATTTGGTCTGCAAGTGTTTTGCAAGACGAGCAAAAATTTTAAACAAAAATTAATTTGATAAACGAGCCAGGTCTTGCAATACGAGTAGTACGTATACGCTTTGTCTGCCGAGCATCACGTGATCACAACTGGTATACGAGTGCTTTGGATTACAAACACGTTTCCGGAATGAATTATGCTCGCAATCCAAGGTTTTACTGTATTTTGTTTTTATATGAAAGGGTTCTCTCTTGTTTATTAATGAATGTTCGTGTACGTTTCTATTGTGTGTTTAGAGTTGGCTGCATATCATAGTGGCTTAAAGTCAGGGCTCCTAACTGACTTAGGAAGTTTGTTTTTTTCAGCAGATCTTATGTTTATCCATGTCCGGTCAGGCTTTGTTGCTCTTAAAAGGGTTAACGACGTTTACCCCTTTTACGTTTGAGGAGGGGCTGAAGTACAACCAGTGGTGGCTAGTGTCACCAGTGTGAAGAAACAACAAAGTCCACCTCAGGTGATATGTGCAGGTGGATTGTTCATTGAACATGATGTGCAGTGATGGTGATGATAATTGTTAATGCTGGTAATCGATGATGATTGATTCTGCACCGTGCCAGTCTCCCACCCCATCAAACCAGTTTTCCTGGGACGCTGCATTGTGACCTGGACTTGGTTGAGCAGAAGCTGAATAAGCCACATACAGGACTCAATCCCATGCATGCACATCGCATCGTGACTGGAGAATTTAAAGTGTAGTTTACTTTAAATCTGGAGCCGCCACTAGATACAGCTCATCGGTATATCAGTATACGCCAGATAATCAGAGTCTGACCAAAGATCCCTGTGCCTTTGTGATTCACTTATTGGTTGCCTTTATGCCAGGGCATGATATATGCAATTGAATCATCGTGGAACAAAGTAACGTTCGATACAATTATTTGGTTGTGGAAAACAAGCCTCAAATTTTTAAAGGGTCTTCCATCGTGTAGCATTGTTTGAATGTACATTGCCATTTGCTGCGGTATATAGATTAACACCTACATAAAAAAAGTAAAATTAGACATGTTATAAAGATTTTAATAATGATGTAGCACTTTTAGTCATACTTATATTTTATATTGGGAAATACTGTAGGAATTTCAGGTTAAAGCATTTTAAAGTGCTAATTGTTTAACCACATTTACATTAACTGGGGCATTTTTTTTAGAAGTCCGAGTTCCTGCTTACATGGGCATTGAGGATCTCATCTACTGCTTACCTCACTGAGCGAGTGGTGCAAATTCCATATTTCTATGAAAGTGGCGAGTCTATCAATGGGACAGCCTTTGTTCACTTTCCCCGACACAAGCGGTGCTACTTTTTATCAACCCTGAAAGAATGATGTGTCGAGTCAATGCCCAACCAAGTTTTTAACCCATTCCCAGTCACTTGCCCTGCCATTGAGCCGCCTGGCTGGTAATAGGCTGTGTTGGTCAAACGTTGCACTCACCACAGAGCCAATTTGGACTCATTTGAATGTGCAGATTGTGGTAATTTCTTCAGGTCATTGGAAATTAAATTGTAATGTACAGAGGGCGGTCAGCATCCGGCCACAGGCGATATGTGGCTAGTTAACACGTAGGCTTTCGCGCCCAATATCCATAAGAGTTTTTTTAGAGTTAGATCGCGTGAATATAAATGTCGGTAAGTATGTCCAAACGTCGTACTCGAATTGTAAATGTGGGTTTTACTCTCCAACAGCGGTGTGCTGTACTCATACCGAATTTGCACGTTTTATTTACGTGACAAAACTTACTAATTGGCTGTGACGGGTTGTGGTGACGGGTTTAATGACACATTTACACGATCTAAAAAAAAAAAACCCTTATGGATATGTGGCAAGGTCGCCGTGTCCCTGTTTATTGATCAAATGTAGATTTCTCGCAGCAAAAATTGCTGAATGTCATTGGAGGCGTGGTGGTTCGTGCGCCTACAGTGGTGGTTCGCTGTGTGTGGCTTTTATCTTACTCGTGAAAGTATTCACTTGTAGAAGCCACAGAAGACTTGCTTCTTGTGATTTAAAAAAAATTCTATCTGCTTTTCACATTTTTATACAGCCCAAACAATGTGTTGAATGAACTTAAACATTTATGCACCTTTACATTTTTACTCTGGATTTGTATTATTTTATACTGGAGCATGTAATATTAGCTAATGGTGTAAAACACGTGTATGCTTGAAGAATTATAATAATACACGCAAAAGGTGATTTCTGGTTGGCCAAAATGAATGATTCTGACTTGGAGGGGTCCTCCCATCATGCCTCGCCTGTTATCGAGCATCTATACTTATATACAATACAGCACTGAAATAATACACATTTGTGGTTTAGACCACCCACTCAAAAGAATCAACACTGGCCATGCCATTTTAGACACCCAAACAGCGATACAATCGGGACAACTCGATACTCGTTTAATTCGTGTGAGGAATCATCGCGACACTGGAGCTTTAATGCCTTATTACTGTCTTGTAACTGATTGGCTTGATGTAGACGAGTTTTACATCGTCGCTGTGGGGACAGTGATGGAGGGTGGTCTAAACAACCACTGTTGGTATATTACTACTCGTTACCAGCCAACGCGCACGCTGTTCTTGCTCATGAGTTTAGGGGCCGTCCATAAATGACGTCACGCACCTGGGGGGGGGGGGGGGGGGGGGTGAGGGTAGTCAGACATTTGTGACGATGTGTGACAAGGGGGGGCGGTGAGAAATGTGACGTCACATCAAAATGCTCAACTTTAAATAAATATAGACAACACGTTCTACTGAATTAAATAGACTTTTTCATAAATGTTTTCTCCTACAACATGAGAGTGCAGCGCCACATTAAATATGCAATACAATGACAATAGTTTAAAGCGATTTGAAGCGTGTTTTATATATTTTGGGGGGGGGGGGGGGCAGAGCTATGTGACGTCATTTGAGGGGGTCTGACTTTTTGTGACGTCTTGTGACGAGGGAGAGGTGGCCAAAAATCCTCTAAAATCGCGTGACGTCATTTATGGATGGTCCCTTATAATTTCCAGAAAGTGTTTGGTTTACTTGTGTATGTTGTCCAGCTAGAAATATGCATTTGTTATTTGACCACTTTTAATCATCACGGCATCCCTCGGTATACGGACCAGTTATGTTCCTTAAAAACTTCCCGCAAAGCAAAATTCCGCGTATCGCCGCATGAGGTACACGTGGGTAGCGGTGGTGGAGCGGTTAGCGCATCGCGCTACGAACCTAGCCACCCGAGTTGATTTCCGCTCACGGCCAACAACACCAGTGACAATTATCTGAACCGATCATGGGGCCTCCCCGAGGCCGACTCTGCCTCCAAACATCGCCACTGGGGAGACAAAGGCGGCCGAGCGTGGTGTTGGCCACCCACCCCCTCGTGTGCTGTGCTGGCCTTCATAGGTGCTCGCTAAACAGCACTTGCCCCAACAGTCTGTTAAGGCTATACTGGGGGATCTTTGTCTTGCACGCCTGGTTATGCACTGCAAGTACAGGGCCAGGCATGACAGCGGGGAAAATCAGGACAGTGTGACAATCGTGCCGTGCAAAACACGTGTACCAGCGTCAAATGCGCGCTCGTACAAATGACAGTTTCGTAAGTGCGAATTTAACGTAAAATATAGCGAATTCGTTCCCTAATCAGTAAGTTGCGTTGTGGTAAAATTGTGGTATATGGAGTTGCCGTATGACGAGGGATGACTTTAAGAGTAATTCACGATGCAACTGCGATGATGTGGAACATGCTGGTGATGGCTGATATTTCCCTGCAGGATATGTGTGTCTGTGGATCTCTGTGCGAGTCTGTGGATCCCGCGATGTGCAGGAGGATGCTGCGCACGTGCTGTGTGGCTGCTAATTTTACGCTGGACTCCCCCAGAGGCCTTGTCGAGCTGAACTGTGCTGACTTGGAGACTACTAAATGTATCTAGACAATTTGACAGTTTCAGTACGTTTAATCTCGTTTCCCTACCCCCCCCCCCCCCCCAATATGCAGTTGCTACTTATATTCGAACATTTGCGTTTCAATTAATGGAGTGCACATTGATTGGCCTCAGAATGCGCAATCTAACAGCTTAGTAGCTCACAAACATCAGCCGTCTTCACTGCCACAGTCTCAGCTTGTCATGTCTACCAATTCTCATTTGCACTATCATCTGCACACAACCATCAATGGGTAAACGGAAGAAGCTTCACTGGAGTGAGCATCGTAGCTGTTGTTTGAGACTGCCTTCTGGCATCCCGTATACTTTCTGAGGCGGGTAACAAGGAGGCAATGGTCGAGACTTAACAAGTGGCAGCCGAAGGAGGCAACACGTCCGAGCTGACACCCGCCGTGGAGATCGCGTGGAGAATTTGGCGCGCGTGCAGGAGCCACATGGATATAGTTTCTGGAGATCTGAGATGGTGAAGGCATTGAGGCGGTCTTCATCCAGCAGTGGATATATCATGCCTGGTGATGATAATGAAAGAAAAGGCAAGGAGGACGTTGAAGGGGACTTAATTAATTATCCAGGGCTAAAACTGTGAGCGGTTGCCACCATTTTCCAAGTGGAAGGCTAAACCGGTTCTGTCGGGTAGGGGCTTGGAGTCGTGTGGCAGGGTCTGGGAGGCAGGGGTTATGCAACGTCACATTTGTCAGTGTTGTTAATTAGGGAAAGTGTTTTTCTGTCTTCATCGGAGCAATGTAGCTGATGGGTCGGACGCTACGACAGCTTTGTTGAACATGTCAAGAACATGAGTTGAAACAACCAGGCTTACTCGGCTCAGATGGGGTTTTTTTGAAAGGTTAAAAGCTTTTAATCTGTCATGCTAATTAACGTGTGATGAGAATGAAGGAAGGTAATGGTTATATTTATCATGAAATAGACCTCAGCTGTTTTCTGAGCCTTTGTCCAATCCCCGTGCCAATTGTCTCGTCGCTCCAGTCTCTCTATCGGGCAGCGGTGATTTTTAACTCTGCAGTTTATTCTATAATACATTTGTCTACAGATAATATTGATCTGCCTCCCGTTTCGAATGTACATTGTTGCTCTGTCCGTGCGCCGTACAGCAGCGTAGTAGCTCCTTCCTTATTTTTCATCGTTTCATTTTGGCCTTGGTTTGTGTGAGCTCGGATGACTGAATCGGTTTTCGCTCGGCTAATTGCCTTTTCGAAGTCGGGCAGCACAATGGATGTTTTGGCGTGCATTTACTTGAGAATATTTTCCTTCCACTTATTCTGTACACTTTCTGGAGACGTTACACCAATCAACGTTGTAATTATAACAGTTTTTGATATCAATGAGGCTTTACCAGAATGTGATTTTATTAAAGTACGGATGTGTTCGATGGTGGAGAAACGTTCCCAAAGGACTGGTGTGCTAAGTTTGGGGTTCGTTGACCACGAAGTTTATTTTTTCTGTTCTCGCTAATCTTTATAAACAATTTGGATACGTGCCACGAGAGTCTCGTCCGTTTGCAATTATTTAAGTTGGTTTATCACCTTTGTGTTTCTTCTTCCAAAATGTGATAGAAATTAGGGCGCGGAGAATATATTAACCATCAGAAATATTCAGGCGACATTCATGACGGCAACGGAATCGAACTACAGCAAGTGATCGAACTGGAAAACACATAAAAGTATGTATGGGGCCGTTATTGAAGCAGGCTCCAGATAAATATGAAATGAAGAGGTGGACGACTACAGCAGCAGTGGAAAGTTTTTGGAAAACAGCTGAAAAATGAAATGCAGTATGCCTGACAGAAGACCCGTTTTTAATCTGTATATTATCTGCCGTGACTCCATGCCCTGTCAACTAGATTGTTAAACGTGCCCCCGCGTGATAGGAGGATGTGCTGTGTCCCGCTCAGATCCACTTCTTTATTTAGCCTGCGTGTGTGGGCGTCCTCTAATCGCTGTTAGAAACGGGTGAGCGTACTGTGCTACGAACCTGGTAATCCCGAGTTTGATCCCTGCTAACAGCTAAACATCGGTGTCATCTGAACCGATTCTGGGCCTCCCCTAGGTGGACTCCGTTTCAATTGAGTACCTTGTGTGATGTATAAACATCGTCACTAGGGAGATAAAGGTGGCCGGGTGTTGGTGTTGGCCACACACTCCCTCGTGTGCTGGGCTGGCATTCAACGGTGCTCACTCACAGCACTTGCCCTAACAGTGTTAAACCCATACGGGGGAGCTTTGGTATTTTTACAATCCCTGTGTTTCAGTCTGCCACTAAATGTAGTTCCAAGCATGCATCTCTCACATGAAGCAAATTACAAAAGCATACACGCCTTAAAAGCAATTCAAATAAACCCATACAGATTTTAAAATTAATTGGTTTAATAGTGAACGTTCAAAAAACAGTGCACGTTTATATTCCATTAACTCTACTCATAACAAATGCATACTCACAAAATTCAAATCAAGCTACGACTTGATCAAAGCACACGTCCTTAAAAATTCAAATTTTAAATGTGCTAATTAACACCCTCGCCGCAATTGTGAGTATAATTCAAGCTTTTTGTGTTTGCATGAAGTGTGAATGCAATGGTTGGCTCAGCCATTCATACGCTGATTCCACTAAATGCAGGGTCGCATGTGAGACAACTGGATGGCCATGAGCAAGGAAATGGCAAACGCGGGATGATCTTTTAAAATTGTGTTGCGCTTAAGTAACATGACGCCTGTGACCAAATCCCGCTGAATAACAACCCAATCTCATCGGATCTCGAAAGCCCAAGCACGGTTAGGGCCTGGAAAGTGCTCTGATGGGCAACCGCCGTAGTCGCTACGATAGGTGTCGTAGGCCGCTGTTGAGCCGTGTTGTCGGCAGAGATCGGTTGAGCGATATCGGCTGTTGTGATGTACTTCTACGCTTCCCACCTTCAACCAACACTGGCCAAGAAGCACGGTGAAGTAGAGTCAAAATAAGCCCCACGATCCACACGGTGTACTGTGTGGGGGGAGGTCACCAGTGTATCGACAAAAGGGCCCTGCATGCTATGCATAGAGGGGATGTTTTTTTGTTGTTAAATCGTCCAGTGTTGTAATTGTTAACACTTTCCTGATTGTTACTTGTGGTCTTCGATTGCAGACAGAAGCCAGATGATGTTGGGGACTATCCAGATGGCGTGCATCCTAGTAGTTAGCAACTGGTAAATGCATCAACTGTGCAGAGGTTATATTGGTTTAGAGCTGAATATATTTATTTCCATATGGGGATGGGGTAGCGGTGGTGCAGTGGGTTCGCGTATCGCGCTATGAACTCAACAGAGTTGGGATACCAGCCATGGCAAACGTCAGTGGTGAGTTACATCTGAAGCGATCCTACACCCCTCCTTCTACTTCGTCAACTCCCACTGACCAATATGATGAAGTTTGGTCAAACAACCTCACGATGTGGAGAGGCCTTTACCTAGCAGTGGATTGATAGATGGGATATACATGGTTCTTATATTGTTCGTGTGTAAACCCTTATTGCCTGGTTTTGTTGGAAAATGTGGCAAGTGTACAGATCTGTGATACACATAGCAACTCCTTATTTCTGTTATTCAAACATGCCTCTTTAATTCATGAACTTGCCCTTTAATCAGCCACACGGAAAGACACTGCAGGATGTTCATACAGGGGATAGGGTTAGGGTCTAAAAACCAGGAGCTCAATTGACACATTAATATTCCTGTAATAATTCATCCACAGTTAGGCTACACATTCACTAGCATACAAGCATCATGATCAAACTGAACGGCACACGATTTACCGCACTCTCTAAGATGTTATTATGGGATGTCGATTTAACAAACGCTCGTGCCTACATTTCATAACAAGACTGCGTAGGAGGAACGCAAAAAAAACGTGACGGGGAAACGTCGTACAATGTGACGGGAAACCTCAAACACCACAACCACCACCACTACCAACGACACCGTCATCACCACCACCGACACCGCTATCACCACCACATCTTCCTTCTTAACCCTTGGACCTACCAAAGACGCTCGTATGAGTTAGGTGAGAACACCACAGATTTTTTTTAGGAGGTTTTTGTGCAATGTTGACATTTGACTAGATATAAGCAGGGAGAGTGAATCTCATGATGTGGACTATAGGAGACATATGCCAGTATATAGTAACAGTATGCTGATATATATAAAATCCACGCAGTGAGTTGTATGTGTGGTTTAGACTTCGGAATGCCAGTCCATTGACTCCTCTAAAGCCAAATGCTGAGACTGTCACAGAAACAATCTTAGTTTGCAAGCGAGACCAGGTTATAGCTACAATGCTGCACGAGGGATGGTGACTATTAGTTGGTGAGTGCATATACTTGTTACGTATAGAGTTGCCACTTCAGTCAACGTACGCAATGGATGACGGCAATAACAGGATTTTTTTGTTGAGTTAGGATAGCTTTGCTTAAAAAGGCCAGTCAGCCAAAACCTTGCGATCTTGTTTCCTACCAATCACTGTGGGAAAAAAAAAATTACACACCCAGTCACATTTAATTAACCTGCTAAATTCTTACCCACTCTTCATATATATTTCCTATATACTGTTATTTATGTGCTTTTGTACGGTTCATATTCTGAATGAAATCATGCATCAAGCGAGCAAGCAAAGCTTGAAGCCTAAACCCAAGATTACATTCTCCTACTACAAATACACCAAATACAAGGGCTGAACGTGAATTAATTCGCAATGGTGGATATCTGCGTATCTCTCAATCGTACTGCAATTTCCACTCGGGTGGAAATGCACTCTGGAGCGTGAGTGGTGAAACGCCCTCCGCCTTCCCCTCACATGCCAGGTGCTCTTTCACCTGCCAGTCCCCCGCACACACCTGGCCAAGCCCCTGGGTTGAACCCAGTTCTCAATTGGCTTTGGTTTTTGCTTGTGCTTTATTTGAGCTGTTTTTTTTTAAACCATGCACACTCACGACCCACTGGGCTTTTTTAATGCATGGATCATCCATCACAATTTGTCAACGCGATATTTGCATGCGCTGTCGCAGGTTCTCCCAAACCGGCAGCCCTTGCAACCCGGCACTTTCCGCCTTTCCATGTTTACCAAGCTTCTCCGTGCACTCACAAATTAAGTCGCAATGCGCTGAATGCGCCCGATCTTTTAAAAGCACCGTCCAGCGTTGCGCAGAGGGCTTCCCGAATTTGAATTGGCGCTCTCTCCGCAACGCGCGATGTATTTTAACAATCGTCAGGTGCGTGCAGTGTGCAAGCACTTAATTTTGTTTTGATCGGATGAAATTGGGAAAACGTGGAAATACAATACCATGGAGGGTAACGAGGAATGGCAATTCAGTGACCAGAGCTGAATTCCACATACGTCTTTCTGGGTTGGTGACCCGGAGAATATTTCCAAACCGGGCACACAACAACGAGTGCATCTCTCACTCCGGCTGTGGCTTCTAGTCATGTGCCACCTACTCCAGGTCTACCAAGGAGTCTGGAAAATATTCGGTGAGGAATGAGGGCCTGGTCACGGCGTATCGTGACCCTGGGGCTCCGCTCATTGTTCAGAGCATTTTTGGATTTCGGTAGGAACAATCCCCGGCTCTCACGCAGCCGCTTTGTAGGCAGAGTTGATTCTGGTGCTGCTGCTGCTGCTTTTGGCGACATTTTTTGTCAGTCCAGTCGAGCTGTGGTATGCGCATTACAGCATGAACTATAAACCAGATAAGAGTAACAGTTCCTGAAACGTGGATATGTTTTAATTGAAATCTTCTGCGCCACGACTCTGTCGCAGTGGTCTTTAAAGGACCCCAGACACAAATCACTTGATGGTTGGTTCAAAATGCCAAAGCCATCCAGATTTTATCTCAAATTGCCCGACCCCCCCCCCCCCCAATATTTAATTATCCACTTAAATCAAAACTCACGCATGCACGCACGCACGCATGCACCCAAGATGAATGCTGGTGATGGGACTGTGTTCACAGGGCCTGTAGCTGCTCAATTATGAGTAAGGCTACAATTTTGGCACCGTAATATTTAGCGGAATTCACGGCCGTGGTGCAGGAAAAAACGATTCGTGGAAATGTGACGGGAGTAAAGGTCGAGGCTTTGCCCCCTGCTGCTGCTGCTACTGCAGCAGCACCCTCCTCGTCGTACGGCATCGTTGAAAGGAAATGAAGGAAGCGCCTAATCCAATGTCCCTGCAGCCCATTTCCACCGCTTTTCCGACTTTGTTCGTAGTCACAATTTATGTGACCACCCATGACCTCCGTGCCAAAATCGTAGCCTTAATTATGAGTTCCCCCCCCTCCGCCACACACCGACGTGCCCACGTGCCCACGTGCCCACGTGCCCACGGTTCCCACGTGCCCACGTGCCCACGTGAAACTCAAAATGATCTTCTAGGAGTCACCGGCCCAGGCACCATGTCTTGTGCCATGCTCCCACCCCTCCCACCCTTATCCCCACCTGTACCCCCTCCCCCCACTTTAAAAGTCTTAATTCCTCCATCACCACTCCAGGGATGAGTTGGACACGCGCGTGGGGATCAGAGGTAGGGCCACGCTCCGTCCTCGCGTCGCGAACGCAAAGCCGTGAGGCACCCTGCGCTGACGCTGTAAACCCGGCCAGAAGCTGCCGCTGTGGCCTCTTCTTGGCCATAAATGACGAACGCAAGGAATTCTACCAAGCACCAAAAAAACTCTATGGCTTAATTATCAGAGGCATTTAGTTTGCGACTAATGCTACACAAACATATAATTTGTCTATATATATTTTTTTCTACTTTGTGAAGTATAATTTTGTTTAAAATGGCACGTAATTTAAGGAATAGCTCTAGATACAACTTTCACGAGAAACACAAAGGGTGTGTGTGGCATGAAGAAATGTGCTCTCGGTACGTTCCCGCATGCGGAGGTTTAAACGACGACGCATTTCACCGAGACTCTGAAAAAGGTCCCCCTCCCCCCGGTCTCCAGTACCCTGGGACCCGACGTGACCGAGCCAGCGCTTCCGAGCAGCCGAATCGTGCTTTCGAATCTTCTTGCTTTCAACAAGCGGCCGGGCAGGCGCTACTTAACCACGGGCGACATCGACGGGTACGACGGCCGGATAAATGTACTTGCGGTGGTCCCAAGGGACTGGAGGTTCAAAGCCACGTCCGATCGAAAGCTCTGAGAATACATTTCACCTCGCTCGACCACCATCATTAATCACGCGCTGCAAGTGGCGTAGCGTGTTGGCATGGGCACTGGAGCAAGGAATAACCATGCACGGGGGCATCCTCGTGTCCCATCAGCTCCCGTCTTCATAAAACCCTGCGCGTGGGCCTCTTTGGCCGTTGGGCCCTGGTGCAGTTGCAGCGCCTGCACACTCGATAGTTACGCCACTGAACACCCTGCCTTGTGCAGAGCGTGCGGATCAGTAGTTCATGACAACACCTTGCGGTTTGACTTGGGAGACGCACGTCTCCAACATATTGTGACCAACAGGATATTTAATTATGCTCTCAAGTGCTCACGAATTCACGTACGATTTGTTTTCTCTCTCGCGGTTTGTGCATCGCTCGTCTGATTCGTAACGCCTCGGGTTTTTTGTTGTTGTTGTTGTCATTTAATAAAAATGATACAATTTATAACGCGCGCAATGTTGCGGACCGAAGATGCTATTCTGAGGAGCGGTTCCAGGGAGACTCGGTGGTTAAATGTCGAGCTAAAGACACGCGCCTTTAGATGGTCTTTGAACGAAGAAAACGATCGATCGTTACGGATGTAAATTTGGGGGATGACATTCCAGATGACGGGAGGTGGGTCGGGGACTGAGAAACGACGAGAAGCCATGACGGTCCCTGTCCTGGGAGTTTCAAGGAGGTTCTGCGACGCACTGCGAAGGTTTCTACGATGAATCGAAGTTTGAAGTGTAAGGCGTCAGCAGAGGTACCTGGGCACGGTGGCTAGCCGGATTTTAGGGCGCGGTAGCAGGCGGCGTTGGTTTTTGGAGGGCACCAACGCCGCAGGCCTCCGTGTGTGCTTTCGCACTACCGCCGCTGTGCAGGTTCGACGCGTGGCCAGCGGGCACAGACAAAGCGCGGGGCCGAGAGGGGTAACGTGTAACCTAATCGCGTAACCTAATCGGTTGCACACTTGCCGGAGAGCATAATTAGATACTTATATACTTTTTAAATCATCCTATTGGGCGTTGTTGGTGAAGCCCACGAAGCATTTAAAAAACACCCACCACAATTCTGAAAATACAAAAGCACATTTTTAGCAAGCAAAAGCAATCAGAATCGTTATTGAGAAATAAAATGGCATTGTTGAACTGCGACATTATCGGTGAACGCTCGTGCTGACCCCGAAAGACAATTTTTACGGCGGCGGTTGGAGATCGTTATTTGGTGAGGATCAAACAACGTTGTGTTGTGCTCTCACACAACTTGGTTGTCGTGGCCAGATGAGGTACAACAACAAAAAAAGTCACCACATTCGAATGTGTCGATTCAACACTTATAGCCAACTTTTGTCAAAGTCTTAGGGGAACCGCAGTGTAAAGTAATTTTTAAATATATCTCGGTTAATATCCCTGCTCTCTCTGTTCCGAAGGAAGGGGCCATTGCTTCAAACAATGGGTTGCTATCGTCACCATAAGCCACGACAAATCTACGGCTCGATAGATGCGTGCCAAAGCTATCGCCATCTCTCGCGGGCCTGCGATGCAGCAAGCCATCGAGAGCATCCGTGCATGGGCTGATTTGATTACTCCATCTTTGCAGTGACAATCCAGTCGGACGTGTTCCCGCTATATTTATTTAATGTTATCGGGTAATGTCGTTGAACACGGTGACATTTTTTGGTATTTGTGATTGTGATCCACCACCAATTCAGTCTCTTAAAAGCCTCGACCGCCGTGACCGTCTTCACAATTATCATCCTTCCCGTATTCTCCGGATCGTAAGACGCTCCGGAAAGCACGTCGCACCCCAAAACTGTGCCCAGTGTCAATGAGGTTACACAAACCTTGTCACACACACACGCACGCACTTCCGGTTTATAAGATGCACTCGCCAGCTTTTTTTCTTTCAAACACAGGGGAAAAGAAGTGCGTCTCATAATCCGGAGTGAACGGTATTCATGTTGCCTCTGCAGCTTCCGTGTCTTCCTTGCCAATGTGCCAACGTTTTCAGAGCCTGCAGTTCACTGCTGCACACTCCAGTGTAACATTTCGTGAGCAGGGTTTGTTGCCCCTCCAGTGATTAATAATCATCATATTCTAGCTCTCCTTTATTTTAATAAGCACCCATTGAGTTTCCATTTATAATATATATGTATTCCTATAATATAATTGTGCTGGGGTAGGGATTCCTCTGTATGACAAAGCCGTCGGTAGACTTAGGTAAAAGTGTAGAGGATGGGGAACATACACTGTATGTGAATGTGTTCATTATCATTATTATCTTAATGATTGTTCCCTTCACTTTTCCTGCAATCACCAAAACAATAATGAAAATGATAACGTAGGGCAAGTATGCAGGATAGCTTTCAAACGAGTGAATATTGCTAAAAAAAAAAACCCACCATAACAGGGGTGGCCAAACTTCATGCATGCACGTTTGTTTGCACGTCTTCCGCACCGTTACGTAGCCAACCGTGGCTAATCGGAGGCGCGGGGGACGGACAACAAACTAAACGCAAAAAAGCAGTTACATATATTTAAAAAAAAATGTGAGTTTTCAATCCAGATTCATGACCCTGTGAGCCGCACGGCAAAATCCTCATTCGGGGGCCGCCGGTGTTCGGACGGTCGCTGTGGACATTTGAATTTAGAAATCTGCGGAAGCGCCCCCCCAGGGAGTTTTCGCGTCTGGCCCCACTGCCAGGTGCCAGGAGCGAGTTTCTCGGCGGCCGTTCAACAACCCCCCCCCCCCCGCCCTCGTTTTCGCAGATTCCTTCCCGTTTTCAAATTAAGTCACGTTGGAAGAGTTGCCAATTACTTGGCCGACCTGCATTCGCAACTTCATGGGATCCACGCGGTTTGGCCACCCCTGGATAAACGCGTGCAAAAGTGCACCGCGAAGCGTTGAAACGTTTACCGGCCCGTGCCAGTGCGCTGGCGAATGATGTCCCTGTGTGTTCAGACCCTGTCAGTAGTGTCCCAGGTGGCGGGTACGCCCTGGGTGCGCGAATGATGTGGCTGCCCTTTCAACTGCGGGGTGAGCAGCGAGAGTGGGAAACGGAGGGAGAGAGCGGGTTGGAGGGGGGGGGTAGGGGGAGTCGTTTACGGGCGAGGAAAACGACTGCTGTCGTGGGCAGGAGGTTGGAGGGCGGGGAGATTGAGGACGCAACGTAGGGCAGGAGGTTTGTGTCTCCAGTCTAGCGTTAAGTGTCCGTCGCCGTGATATAGCAAAGGTTGGATTTGAAAAATGCGTGTTCCCAGAAGCAAGTTGCGCTGTAAAAAGTCAATCGGGATTTTCATAAAGATCCCTGGCAGGATTTCAAAGGAATTTAAAAAGCTGTGCATGAGAGGGGACCCAGTTTTTAGTTTTGTTTTCTTTGGGGCCCTGTTGAAAATCAGTGCTTGTAAAATGAGATCCAGCTCACAGCACATACAAGACGTCCTTTTATTTAGCCAAAGGACTTGGAAGTAATTGGTTTGTTTTGTAAAGGATATTAGGGGTAAATGTAGTTAAAAGAAAAAAATGCAGACATTGTTAGCATTAAGAAATATGGTAAAATGTCAACCTGACCTCACCCCAGGTTTCGTACAGGCCACGAGGTCAGTGATCTGCAAGAGGTGAAATTCCCCACCTCCTACAGAAATTGGGAAACATCCACCGTCACCCCCCGGTAAGCGTTGGCAGACTCCACATCGCAGCTGCACCTGTGGATCTTGTACACAAAAGAATGGACTCACGGGGGGGGGGGTCTGTCTTACCAAGAGAAAATCACCACTCACCGATGTCGCCGCTGCACTGCTAAACGGTGAAGCCAGCACTGTGTCTGAGATGTAAAAGGTCCTTTTATGCTTCTCGCGTATTATTTTGTTGTATTTCTTTTGGTTTCTCACCAGTGTAAAAGTCTTAATTCACGCGCACTACGTAGTCGATCTCTGCTGGTTGCACCGCCATCCTGAATAAATACGGATGAATAAACTTTAACCGTGCTCTCACAACTCTGAAAAATAAAGCTATACCAATAACCACATAAAAACTAAAAGATGAAAATTCCCTCCCGCCTACGGAAATAACGTTTGATTTCATGAAAACATGGCTCTCAGTGATTTCCCCATATTAAATTGTCGCTCGCAAGTATTTTATTGTTATTAAGTTCATATGTGTAGGATTTTTTTGCATTGTATAAAAATGACAAATAACAGATAATAACATTTAAGAACCAAGACCAAGCACCAAACGTTGCTGAAGTGTCTATGCCCCTCTAGCCCACACCCTAGGCCCATTGCCCTAAACCCCATGACTTCTGCCTCCCATAGCATCCACCTGGCCTAAAGATGAGTGTTTGGTGCAGCGTCACACTGGGGAGAGAAAGCTCTCAATACGGATAAGCCGCGCCCGTGTTAACACGCGTTGGCTCCTTGGCGCTGGTGTATACTTCACTATTTCTTCATTGGCCAATTTACCCTTTCGCCCCAATTCTCTTCTATGCCCTTCGCCCCGATGACCTCATGACCTCCGCTCATCCTTCTCTCCCTCCCTTATGCCCCCCAACTCTTCCCCCCCCCCCGGCCACCACCACTCCTGCCGGTGCATCACTGGAACTGCAGGCGCAGCAGGTCGCGGTAGTTCATCATGTCGTTGGCGGTGTCGGACCAGGCGGCGTGGCGGGCGCCGTCCATCTCGGAGGCGAGGGCGTTGCCGCGCTCCAGCAGGTGGTTGACGCCGCCGATGACGTCGCCGCACTCGGGGCAGTGCGCTCGCTCCATGGCGCCGCCGCACTCCCCGATGGCGTACACGTGGCCCCGCGAGCACTTGAACCAGTGGCCCTGGTGGTGGTGGTGTCGTTGGGGCGGGGGGGGGGAGAGTGGAGAGAGAGCGCTCGGTAGTTAGTCGATCGGCGGGGTAGCTGAGCGCGCGAGCTCTTTTCGTGTGTGTGTGTTTTTTAAAAGGTGCATTGGGGTTCCCGTAGTCTGGTTGGTGTTACACTCTAGAGAGGGCTCTCTTGAGCCCAATTTAGGCGAGGCCCTCCACTAGAGGGACATCTGGTGAGCACACTTCACCGTGTTGGTCACTGTGGGTTGGTGAAGGCGGGGGGCATAGACGCTGGCGTATTGTACAGTACAGCAACGGATTTCGCTGCACTACTCCCTGCTAACAACGCCTTTTGTTGTAGGCACAGTGGTCGCCCATCCAAGCACTTCCCAGGCCCGCACTGACTTGGCTTCTGAGATCTGACAAGATCGGATGCATGCCGATGACTTGGTCATAGGAATGCATGACACACGTGACCCATTTTTAAACGTTTGGTCCACAATATTTGTTTCGTAATGTTTCGTTTGGTTTACAGCTCACGTCGCGTTATTCATGCAAATTGCACCTCGCAATGCATCACACACGCGCAGAGGTGTGAGGAACCACAGACTTAGCGGGACGGCAGCCAGGTGTGGCGAGCCGGCGGTCAGCAATTTCCCAAGCTCTGCGGTCCTCTACATATTAAGATGTTTTCATCCGGTCAATGAGCGTCCATGCGTGTGGTAGGAAGCCGGAGTAACCGGAGAAACCCGACGCATGCGAGGGGGCAGCACTCTATCCCGAACAGATGGAACACGGAGATTAGTGCACAGGTTGTGTACCGCCTTCTCTTGGCAAGCTGGGGTATGCTGCACCTCGAGAAAGGACTTTCACAACATTTGTGAGAGCCACCAACCCTCACCTCCACAGTGCCAGATCACAGGTTGGCACCAACACCACAGTATTTTCATACAATGGCCATTGGTCAGCAATGACAAAGAGTGGCAGGTAATGAACGGAACGCATCCAACAGGACGCCTGCTGACGAGATGTAGCGAATCGATATATATATATCTGTGTGCGGGTTGTAGCTGGATGAATACATCGCAGGATCGTGAGCGACGGTGGTGATTTCGGGAGGCCATCCGGCGGTGGCTGGACCACGGCCGATCGAACCAACCTGAGCCAATCCCATGGCCTTGACGATGTCCACACGCTCGCCCTCCGACACGCCGAGCCCCGACAGCGGCAGTCGCTGGCGCACCCTGGCCATGAGCGCCTTGACGGCCGCCTCCCGCTCGGCCGAGAACCTCCCGCGCGCCTCCAGCAGCCGCAGCGCGTCCTGGGCGTCCGCCAGGGTCCCCGCGACGCCGCCGCCGCCGCCGCCGGCCGCGGCCACGCGCTGGTAGCGGCACCACAGCTCGGCGAGCATCGTGAGCCGCAGCAGCTCCGTCTGCAGGTCCCGGAGCTCCTGCTCGCCCAGGCGGCTGCGAGGCTGCACGAGCCACCCGAGGAACTCCTTGAGGCGCCCGTCCACCCGTCGGCTCCGCTCGGCGCCGGCCATGCTGTGCGTCTCCAGCTGCAGCTTCAGCTCGGTCACCTTCTGGAACATGACGATGACGTTCTCGAGCGTGTGCAGCCGCGACAGCGAGGCGTCGTTGCCGTCCAGCATCTCCTGCAGCTTGTTGGTCTCCTTGTAGTAGTACAGGATCATGCTGTGGTTCCTCCTGAACTTGTCCTGCAGGAGGACGATCTGGCCGCGCGTGGCCGACCTGTCGCCGCCGCGCATCCTCCTCTTCACCTCCTCGATGTCGCGGAGCGTCTTCTTGATGACGTTGCCGTAGCGCAGGTTCCGCCGGATGGGCGTGCGGCACTTGGGGCAGACCTTGAGCCGGATGGACGTCGCGTCGCCCTCCTTGCCGTCCTCGTCCTGGGACATCCAGCGGTCCAGGCCGGACGCCTCGAGCACGTGCTTGCAGTCCTCGAGCTGCACGAAGCGGGCCGAGGGCTCGTCCTCGCTGCCGAAGAAGATCTCGGCGAGCTCGGCGCCGTCGCAGACGCGGCACTTGTCGGGGCACGGCTCGCCGCACAGGCCCGCGCAGGGGTGGCCGCAGCGCAGCGGCAGTTCGCACGGGCGGTCGCACGGCCCCCGGTCGCACGGCTCGTGGCACAGGCGGCCGCAGGCGCGGTGCGGGCAGCGCCACTCGCACGGCTCGACGCAGGGCGCGCACGTCTCGCCGCACGGGCGCCGGCATCGGCTGTGCACGCAGCGGTTCTCGCAGGGCAGCGCGCAGGGCGGGCAGTCGCGGGTGCAGGGCTCGCGGCAGCGGTGGCCGCACACGAGCGCGCGCTGGCACGGCTGCGCGCACTCCTTGTGGAAGCGCTGCTCGTGACACTCGCGGCAGCTGCCGCGGCACGGGTGGCCGCAGTCGAGCGCGGCGGGGCACGGCGCGTAGCACGCGACGCCGGCCAGGTCGGTGTGGCACGCCACCTCCTTGCGGTGGGCGCACGGCAGCTCGGCGTCCACCGTCTCCTTGCACTTGCTCTCGCAGGCGGCGCCGCACGCCCGGCGGCAGCGGTGGGCGCAGCGCAGCGTCTTGCGGCAGGGGACCTGGCACGCGAACTCCTCCGGCGGCACGTGGCAGGGCACGCGCTGAGCGTGGCCGCACTGCGGGATCTTCTTCTCGAGCGGCACCTCGCACTCGCCGCACTTCTCCCAGCACGCCTTGGGGCAGCGGTGGCCGAGGGCGCACAGCACCTTCTGGCAGGGCTTGAGGCACAGGAACTCGACGTGCTCCGGGTCGTACGGGTGGCAGGCGCGCGTGCACACGTGGCCGCACTGCAGGCGGAACTCGCACGGCAGCGTGCAGCCGCCCTCGGGCGCGCGCCGGAAGTCGGAGTCGCGCGCCGCCACGACCTCGCGGTCCGGGTGCGCCTGGCAGCGCAGCAGCAGGCCCTCGCCCGCGCGGCCCTCGGAGCGCAGGGCCCGCAGGAGGCGCGCCCACAGCGGCACGGTGGCCGCCAGCATCGCGGCGTTGCCCACGACGTAGAGGCCCCGCTTGGCGCGCGACAGCGCCACGCACGCGCGGTTCTCGTTGCGCAGGAAACCCGGCCGGCCCTCGGCGTTGCTGCGCACGAGCGACAGCAGCACGATGTCGTTCTCCTCGCCCTGGTACTTGTCGACGACGCACACGCGCACGCCCTGGAAGGGGTCGCGCGGCATCATGCGGCGCAGCGCCAGCAGCTGGCCGGCGTACATGGTGAGCACGGTGATCTGTGCCGGGCGGTAGCCCTGCAGGATGAGGTAGCGGCACAGCGCCACCACGAAGCGCGCCTCGTGCCGGTTGTGGCGGCTCCTCGAGTCGGCCACCTCCTCCTCCAGCTCCGAGTGCTCCACGAAGAACAGGTTGGTCCCCATGCCCTGGGCGGGTGCAAGAGACGGAGCGTTCCCCGTTTGGCGACGGGGGTGGTGTACACGCGCGCCGATAGCGAGCACCGATCAAGGCCGGAGCGGCGCACGGACGAAGGGGTGGCATGGCCAGCATCACGACCGGCTGTTCCCGTTTCTCCAATGCTGGTGTTTACACACTTTTACCGGGTACTTATGGAAGGCTGAGTTGACTTTGGATATTTGCCACCGAAACTGGCCATAGCCAGGAATTGAACTCAGGTTGCCAGGATCGGAGCGAAGTGTGCTGACCATGACACTACCGCTCTCCACATGCGCATGCGTTAGTACAGGTACATCATCCGCATCACCATCACTCTCATTATCATCATGACCATAATTGCACCACCATCATCGTCGTCGTCATCGACATCAACGGGCACTAGCGCCACCACCTTAATTGTAGTATTCACCATATTTTATAACACGCATCTTATGATTGAGCATGGGCACAAAAGTGACACTTTGATGCCAATCGGACGGCAAAGCCAATGTCACTCGAATGCCGAGACAAGTTTTAAACCTGCAGGTGGGGAGGGGGGAGGAGAGAGAAAGGAGTCGCGATGCAAGAACAGAGCTCACCTTAATGTCCTCGTATGCCAGCACGGACGGGTGGTCCCGCAGCTCCGTGTAGATGTGCGGCACCAGGAGCCGCGCGATCTCCGGCCGCATGCGATGCTGTGGGAGCGGAGGGGAGGGGGGTGTGGGATGTGGGAGCGGAGGGGAGGGGAGGGGGGGTGGGATGTGGGAGGGAGCGGAGTCGCGATGTTCAGCTTGCGGTGAAACCAGAGCTGGGACGATTCGTCGATTAACCGAGTAAAGAATTGTCAACGGCAACTTTTCACATCGTCGATTGCTCCCTAAGGCAGGAAACCCCCTGTAGGTCACGCCCAGCGTGACGTGGCTGATGATGCCGATGAAGCCACCAAGTGCTCAATTTCGATAAGCCTAATCGGCCAAGGTGACGATGTTACACGCAAATGCGTGTTGGCTCGCCTCCCCGTGACGTCATTTCACGACGTCATCTTGTGATTGCGAATGAAATGCTTCTCCGAGGAACTGTGCAAGTTGGAAAGCGATACAGGATCCATGCGTATGCAAGATCATCTTTCACCGTAAACATGGACTACCATCTCGTTTGTTTGTTACGTATGTGTCTGTGTGTGTGTGACTGTTGCTCTTCCCTGCTTGGGAACAGAACAAGCTCATGAGCATGAGCACCGCTGAGACGGAGCAATGCAATCGGTGCACTTGCAGCAACCAGGTGGATCGTGAGACCGCGAGAGACTGTGACGGCCTGGGAAGATCTTCACCCAGCAGTGGATAGATCATGGCTGATGATGGTTTTGGAAGTGCCACGGACCGTACTGCGGTCAAGCCACCCGGCCAGGGATCTCGGTGTTTCCCCAGATGGTCCCAAATTGCCTTCATCTTACCTTGCACCCTCTCTCGTCTACCCATAAACCACCTCCGCCTTGTTGGGAGGCTCCACCCTTCGTATCCCTGCCTCCATTTCTCGTCGACCCAACTCGTTTCCCCTCAATTTCCCCTCCCTTCCCTGCCCCTTTCTCCCCCCCCCCCCACCCCCTTAATTGCAGCAGGTTGAGTTTTGTCTTTTTTGTTTACTTCACGTCTCTTGAGTTAGTCTACGCCCGTTCTTCAGGTTAGGTTTTTAAAAAATCCGTGACTTTTTCTCGCACGTGAATGGGCCTGAGATGCCCTGGTTTTAAGGGCGCTTAATCAGACACAAATGTTTTAATTATTAGTGTATCGTGACAATTGTGATGATGACGACGACGAGGATGTGTCACCTGGTACTGCAGCCTCACGAAGGGCAGGCCGTTGCGCACGAGGCGTTCGAAGAGGGACACCTCAAGGTGGAAGTGCGTGGCGAGCTCGTACACCGTGGCACTCGGACGCAGCTGCCACAGGACAATGACGACAAAGGAGCAACCTGAGCAGGGTGCGATCACAGGCAGACCTCGCTTAGCGCTTCAAGATGCGTTCCCGGAGAAGTGAGCGCCCGTGGGGTTGGCTCCAAAAGAAGCCACGCCATTGTACGTCTGGGAATGGTGATCTTGAAGGAGGAAGTGGATGACGGTACTTGTTGGTTGCTGTCATGTTGGCGATGGAGTTGATGTCTGTGGGGGTATTGGCGATGGAGGTGGCGTTTGTGGTGTTGGTGATGAAGATGGCCAGAGTGGTGGTTCTTGGTGGTCGACGGAGGTGGCGGCACTGGTGGAGTGGTGGTGGTGCTGTTGGTGATGGAGGGTGCGTCGACGGTGCTGGTGATGGAGGTGGTGTCGGTGGTGTTAGTGATGAACCTGTTGGTGGTAATAGCGACGGCGTATGTACGTATATACGTACGTTGAACTACGTACGTAGCCAACCCTGCTAATCGGAGGTGCGGGTGAAGGACAACAAACTAAGCACAAAAAAGCAGTTCTAAAGAAATTAGTTTTCATTCTAGATGATGATTTAAAAGTTCCAGTGGCTTCCTAATGTCAGAAAGGAAGAGCGCGCTCCGGACGACCGCAGAAGCGCAGCGCGGCGCGGCGCGGTGACCGCCGTCTTTGTTTCAACGGTCAGACAAAAGCCGCTGCCGCGAGGGTGACCGCGAGGGTGACCGCGAGGCCGGGTGTATGCGCCGCCACCTGCTGGTGGTCTCCGATGAGGATGAGGTGCTGGCAGCCGGGGCTCAGCGTGGTCACGATGTGCGCCTCCAGAACCTCGGCGGCCTCCTCCACGATGACGATGCGAGGCCGGATCTTCTGCAGCGTGTGCCGGTACTTGGCCGCGCCTGGCGGTCGCGCACAACGACAAAGGTAGCCTGTGCAGACGCAAGGGGCGGCTGGAGCAAGGCGTGCCGAGCAAAGGCTGGGTCGGCACGTGAAGCGGAGGCGTTGTGGTGTTGCGGTCAGCACCACTGCCGGTCTCACCGGTGCTGTTGTTTACACACCGCACCGGGAATTCGTTTTAGTTCAGCTAAGGGGAAGCCAAGGATGGGTTCGGAGACTACTTAGTCACTCTTGTTGTCTGTGACCGGGGATCGAACCCAGGTTTGATGGGAACGTAGCACAACGTTGTGAACCCCGCTGCGCTACCACGCCACACATAATCCCACTGGCACACACAGACTCAACACAGTCCGTCCAGCTCCATTGATCAGTACATCATTTTTGAAATAACAAAAGACTTCGTGCACGAAACAACTGCCCAAGCGTTCGAACAAAAATCCGCTGTTGATGAAATCGGCAGCGCTGCGACTTCACATCGTGTTGCCATGGCTCCAGTGTGCAGGGGGGCCACGTACCGGTGGTGGTCATGCCGATGACGCGGGCCTGGCGCAGAATGGCGAGCTCCTCCTCCTCCCGCACGTCCGCGAGCCTCTCGGCGCCCGTCTGGTACTCGCTCTCGTGGGTCTGGATCTGCCAGCGGATCTCCGCCTGGTACTTTTGCACCCAGCGCCTGCTCGCCGCAGCATAGCCCCGTGGGTGGGCAAGGGGGGCGGCGGGGGGGGCGGAGCGTTTTTGTCTGACAGAGTTTTGGTGATGATCAGTGGCATCTGTGAACCTGGGAAAGCCTCGGTAAGTCTCAAGGCTCCTGTTTTTTCAGCGGGGGGAGGGGGGGGGGCAGTGGGGATCCTGCTAAGTGTCGTGCCGGATGGGGGGGCGGGTGATGATTGCTTTGCCTTTTGCCAATTAAGTAGTTTGTGAGTAATACAAAAATGTACGCAAATTTGGACCATGACGCCGGCACACTTGATCTCCTCTTTGTCGGGAAACGACATGGGATCTTTAACGTCCAATGCGTTGGAGACGGTGTGTCATTTTAAGGTTAATACACGCTCAGTATTCAATAAACTTTTTTATTGTTACCAGGTAAAGCCCACTGAGCTACGTGGCTCTTTTTCATTAGCGACCTGGCAACAAACGATAGCGCGACGAAGTGGCTCATCACGTGGAAGCGTGTAGCAGCCAAACACTCTAAACGCACGTCGATTCAAAACGTGGTGGGGGAAAACGGAGGACACGGAGAAAAATCCACGCGACCACGGGGAGAACACGCCAACTCCAATTATATGGGCGCCAGGTTTCAGGATCGAACCCATCAGCGGCAATACACGCCACCGCTTGGCCGTGTCACCGCACTGTTGTGATGTAATCGCATTAATGTTCCCATCGATGAAATTGCGAAGGGCACCAATAACCCAGACAACGTGGAAAGTTCTTGTCATTGTTGGACCGCCGTCGGTCCAACGGTTCTCACTGCATGCCAACGTTGACGCAACGTTGGCATGTTTCCTGGGAAGCTCTCTATTGTTATGCCCGAGAAATACAATGTCCGTCTGTCCATATACGCTCATCATGGACATAATGTTTTGAGGTGAAGTTAAAACAACCAGAGACTCTTTTTCCCTTGGTGCAATAACAACGCCCAGATCGAGAGTGGGCTACATGGTTCCAGCACAATCACCAGACATAGAATGATTCGCCTCCATGTCCGAGATTTGATTAATTGTGACAATTCATGGTCACGGTTAAATCTAATAATTTATTTGAATTTGTATTGTTGCTATTTAACGTGATAATTATTTATTAGTTATGTTAATAATAGTTACCGATAACAAAGGGATTCACGTTGGGTTAAAGGGATTGAATTCATTATTTCATCCCTATAGGGTCCATAAAATGTGTACAACGTTTAGGGAAGTAAATCCAGTAGAATGAGATGCCCCTGGCTGATGCTGATGATGACGACGATGACGATGTACTATGTATGTTGCATTTCTTTCGCACCGTACGTAGCCAACCGTGCTAATCGGAGGTGCGGGGGAAGGACAACAAACGAAACACAAAAAGCAGTTCTAAAGAAATGAGTTTTCAATTTAGATTAAAAAAAGTGCACGGCTCCAGTGGCTTCCAAATAAAATGATGATTACGGGACGGTCCGATAGAACGTCCCTCCCTCTAGACGGGCACCGGCGCACTCCCTGCCTGGGGCGCACCTGTAGAGCTGCCAGCGCTGGGGCAGCGTCAGGGCCCAGATGTCGTGCACGTTGGCCTCCTCCTCCTGCGTCATGCAGCTCGTCTTCCGCAGTTCCCTCCGCGCCGCGTGCCGCTGGCGTTTGGGGTTGCACACCACCTGCGCCGGCAACCACCGCCCCACCCCCCCCCGTGCACGTCAGCGGAGAGACGCGACGACGCTCGCGGCGCTTCGCGACAGACGCCGGTGGTGAGAGACGCCAGGATTTCGGGCCGCGTGACATCGTAGCGGGACGAACACGAAACGTGCGTTCGACCTGCGCCTTACCTGCCACCCGCCGCCATCCCGGGCCCTGTGCTTCTGCTCCGCCTGTGCCCCCTGCTCGTCGTCCTGCAGGGACATGGCCATGATATTCCGCTGCAGCTGAGCGAGCCACTGGGCTTCGCCGTCGATCCCGCGGCCCCTCGCCGCCTCCATGTCGTCCTCCATCAACCGCGAGTCCTGGATGAGCTCCGCCTCGCCCGACACGCGGATCAGGTCGCCCTCGTCACTGCCGTCGCTCACGCCGACGCCGTCCTCGGTGGCGACGGCTTCCCTCCTGCGCTCGTCGTTCCTCGATGGTGCCCGGTCGCCCCTCTCGTGCGGCCGCTCTCTGTGCTCCGTGGGAGGCGCCCGCTCCCTTCTGGTGCCGCCCCGGCCGTGTTTATCGGCCTTCGCCGCTGCCGCAGCCACCGCCACCGTTGCCGCTGCCGCTCCGTGCTTTTCGCCGGCGAGTAGGTGACCGCTGCCCATCCACTCGCCTTCATCGTCTGATCGGAGAGGAAAGAAAAAAAACATCACATAGTGGCATGAAACTAAAGAACAAGGCGGCAGTTTAGGGGTGAATGTTTAGATAATGAGAGGTTCAGCTCTCGGGTGTGTTTTCCGCTTTCACCGTGTATTGTTTGGCATGATGTCCGACGTTTCGTGTCACGCGCTCGGAGATTTCTCAGCAACCGAAATGAAACACGCGGAGAGAAACTTACGCGGTAGTCAGATGAGAGGTGGCCGGGTGAATTGGGGGTCGGAGCACTGAGCTGGTACCACTGAGATCGTGGGTTCTAAATCTGGGCAGCCACCTGCGGTTAAACTGGGTCCTCCAGTCTCGCGAGATCCCAGATCCTATCCCAGTCACCAATGACGGCACAAAAAAAAAACTCAACAGATTAAAATTGAGTTCTTAGGTGGTGACTATGCACACCCGTAATCTAGCACTGCAGGGAGAAGCGACCGTTTGTGGATCGTTCAAATGTCGTGAAACTCCCTTCACCGTGGGCGTCGGGTGCCATACCCTGGCTCGCCGGTAGAATGAAGTGCAGCAAAAACACACACATGTAAGTTTTCTGCGGGTGCTGCGGTGTCCTCCCACACGTGTAAAGACGGATTGGCTGATGCCACCTTCGTATATTGAGGACCGCAGATCTTGGGAAAGTTGTTTGCGCCTGCTCGCCGCGTGGCTGCAGTGGTTCCTCCGTCTCTTCGAGAGTGGTTAAAATAAAAACATCGTGCGCGCTGCTACAATAAAAAAAAAACATTACTTAGCCTGTCGAAATAGTGGCTCCAATTTAAAAAAAAAAAAACGTCGTCATCAAAGAGTTTTACCCGATGGGTCGGTGGAGGTCTCCTCGATGACGTCGTCCGCCTCCTCCAGCAGCGTCTCCACGGACAGCGCCGCCTCCGCCACGGAGCCACCGATGCCCAGCCACTCGAGGATGCGCGACGACTGGCGCCCGGGCGCACGCCGACCACCGGCCTTCTCCTGCTGCGCAGGCGACACCGCAAAGCGCCGTCACTCGCCGCTGAGACACCGCCGGCAACGCGGCGCCTTGCCAGCCGGCGAGCGGCGCCTGCCCCACCGCCTCCCGGGCCGGCCTGGCTCTGACGGTCACCTGTAAAACTAAACTAGTTTTTTATCTGACCATACTAAACTATTTTTTACTTTAGCAGGTAAGGCCCACCGAGCTGTACAGCTCTTTTTCAGAAGCTTACCTGGCCACCGCAAACGATCGCTCGACGAAGTGACCCATCGCGTGGAAATGTATAGCGGTAGCCAAACACTCTGACGCGCGTGACCTTGATTCTAAAAGTGGAGGGAAAAGCCAGAGAGCAGCGCCACCCCCGGCCGCCTGGCACGGAGAGAGCGGGCGCTTCCCCTGGGCTGGCATGGCTCTCGAGTCTCTGCGGAGCGTCTCAAGATGCCCCCGCCTGATCTCACCGCTCTCGCATGTCCCCTTCCCTTCGTTCACAATCTCCTCTCTCTGTGTGTCTCTCTCTCTCTTTCTCTCTGTCCCTCCTTCTCCCTGTGCCCCAATCCCATCTTCGGTCCTCCTTCCTCTTTGCAGTCCTCCACTGGGATCAACTTCCCCTCTACATGGAGTAGTCTCCCCACCCCCCCCCCCCCCCTCCTTAACCTCCTTTCGTTCCTCTCTACTGGACACCTGTGAAAAAAAGAGCTTCATAGGCACATCTAAATAAAGATTCTGATTAAAGCTCACCTCGTCTCTATTGCCCATTCTCATTCCTCTTCCATCCCATCGCCCCTCCACTCCTTCCCGTCCCTCCCCTCCCCTTAGAGCTCTTGCGTGACCCCCACGTGCGCCCTCTGTTTCGGTCACTCGCTCCTCGGCCCCTACACCACGTCTAAATAACTCTTTTTTTCGTTACCGCTTTTTGTAAAACTACGTAAAGCCCCACGAGCTACTGTGAGTTCGATCCTTGAATATGAAACAAGCTGAGACTGAGCCGTACTCCGACGCTGCAAGCGTCAAACCCCACCGCCCCCCCCCCTCCCTACCCCTACCCGAGCAGCGTACCGGGCGCGCCATGAGCTGCGCGAGGTGGTCGCTGGCGATGCAGGGCTGCAGGACGCGCTCGCGCAGCACGCCCTGCTGCGCCGCGCGCAGGTGAGCCGCCTCCTGCTCGATCCTCTGCCGCAGGCGCCGCATGTCCTGGGAGATCTGCGACAGCGAGCGAGGCGAGCGTCAGCGCCGTCGCAGCCCTCGACGGCGCGCTCCCATGACCGGCGTCGCGGCCGGGCATCATCACCGCCGCTAATGATATTACGACGACCACCACCACCACCAAAGACAAAGATCATCCGTGTAGCCTTAACAGACTGTTGGGGCAAGGGCTGTTGGTGAGCAACTACGAAGGCCGGGACAGCACACGAGGAGGCGGTTGGCCAGCACCACGCCTGACCAAATTTGTCTCCCCAGTGGCGATGTTTACGCACCGCCACCACCATCGTTACCACCACCACCACCACCGTTGCCACCACCACCAGGCATTATCACCACACTGCTATCATTAGCACCACCACCATCGGGGAGCGCGGGGGGGGGGGTGGGGGGAGAGATGTGGAAAGGGTGTATGCAGTTAATAATCTTGACAATCAGCTGGTAAGCATTGCTCAAGGTTTGATTTTTCTCATCTCACGAGTGGGATCCGGCCCAGCCCCCACCCCCCCCCCCCACTCCAGCTCTGAATGACGAGTCGCCACTGAGCCCACCGCCGCCTCCGACACCGGCCGCGCGGTTGCCCCACGTGGCCGCGCCACCGTGCTGGCACGTGTACCGCGGAGAAGGTCGTGCGCAGGTGCGGTGGTATTTTCCGGCGGAAGTCGGCCGAGTTGCGCAGCTCCTTGAGCGAGAACTTCTTCATCACGTCGCTGGTGCTGCGGCCCCCTACGCGGACAAGGTCCTTCTCGAAGCGCGCGATGCCTGCGGGGAAAACCCGACACCGCGGAGGGAGCCCCATTACGACCGCTCGCTCGTGCCAAACGTTGCGTCTCGAGCCTGTCTGTGATTGTGATGTGTGCCTGTTGAACTTCTTTTGCGCCTGCACGTAGCCAACCGTGCTAATCGGAGGTGATGGCAGACCGGGCTTCACAAACCAGATTGCTGCTGCTGGTGTTGCCCTGCGTGCGTGCATGCTGCTGTACAGTAGCCGCCTGTTGCTGCTGCAACGAGCCGCCTAGGCTATGGCAAGCGGTTCGTTTAGAGTCGCAGCCTGTGAGTGTTACATTTGTACACGCTGGTAACATTTACCGCCGCGGTACATCGGCACTCCCAATTCACCGTTCGTCTTCATGGTTTACGGAGATTGTGAAGAGAGGCGGAGGGGGCAACTCGAGCAGCAGTTGGTCACAAAGTCACATTCGCAGTCGTCGTACCCAAACGAAGTTGCAAAATTACGTTCGTGACGTTTAATAATTAATTGCACGAGAAGCTTTCCGCTGTTGCAAATGTATTCATTATTTCAGTCTCCCTCGAGCATCGGACCTGGTCTCAAGCCGCACACACATGCGTACATGAAGCCACACGGGCGAGCGCCTTCCTCCGTCCACCGGCGCGTACCTTCCAGGAACTGGTCGAGGGCGTGGTTCGTGTAGCACACCACGAGGATGGGGCTGGGCTGGCCCTTCTGCCACACGGGTGCGTTGTGGAGCAGCAGCTGAGCGATCTTCAACCCCACGTACGTTTTACCTGCAGAGAGTCGGAAGGGTTTTGGAGGGGGGCGACACTACGGTGGAGAGGCGCTCTCTGGTGTTGGGCGAGATCGGCTTTCAGACACGGCTCGGGTCAAGTAGCGCACAGCGTGTTCGGCACGGGCACGCAGATGTGGCAACCCTCGTGCGTGTGTGTACGTGTGGGGAGCGGTGGTGTAGCGATTGGCACGCTGCGCTATAAACCCGGCAACCCGGGTTCGATTCCCGCTCACGGCCACCAACAGTGACAATCATCTGAACTGGTCCTGGGCCTCCCCTAGGTCGACTCAGCCTCAAATGAGTACCTGGTGCGGTGTGTAAACATCACCACTAGGGAGATGAAGGCGGTCGGGCGTGGTTCTGGCCATCCACCCTCTCGTGCGCCGTGCCGACCTTCATAGGTGCTCGTTAACAGCACTTGCTCCTCCAGTCTGTTAAGGCTATACGGGGGGGGGCTCTTTTGTCTTTGTTTGTGTGCGCATTTATTTGGGAGGAGTCATGTAGTAGTTAGCGTGACACGCCTTGACCGCGGTGATTTGAGTTCTCTTCCCGCTCATGGCCAACATCAGTGACAAATATCTGGACCATTCCTGGGTCCGCCCAAGGTCAACCCATCGTTAATTGAGTACCTGGTGTGGTGCGTAGATGTCGACACTGGGAAGACAAAGGTGGTCGGGTCTGCCACTAGCCACACCACCTCTGTGTGACGTGTTGGTCTTCGTAGTGTTGCTCACTAACAGCACCTGCCCCCAAAAGTTTGTTCGTCCTTATCTTATTTTATATTCGAAGAGCACCTTAGCTCAAGGCACTTTACACGGTCTAAAAAGCAATCACAAAAACACAGTGATCTAGATGCCAGGGGTGTGCAAGGGTCGAGGAATGAGTGACCATAACAGAGGGCATTTAGGGGTCACAAAAAGGCAGGTGCATGGGAGGGGAGGGAAGGGGAAGAGAAGAATGGGCAATGGAGAAGAGGTGGGCTTTGAGAGAGGAACGGAATGAGGCTAAGGAGAGTGGGACTTCTTAATAGACAGGTGGAGGGGGTGCAAGGAGAGAGAAGAATCGAAAATTAGATGCTGGCACAAGGAGGAGCGACGGAGAGACGGAGGCGAGTGAGTACCGGTGCCGGGCGGGCCCTGAATGATGGCGAGCTCCCGGCTGAGCGCCAGCCTCAGAGCCTCCGCCTGCGACTCGTCGAGCCGGAGGTCGTCAGCGCTGGGCCACTGCCGGGCGTCCACCACGTCCACCATCGGGCGCGGCTCGAGCAGGTGCAGGTACGAGTCGTCCGGCAGCTCCGTGTGCAGCACGGGGCTGAAGTCGTACTTTGGTCTGCGGATCGCGGGAACCGCCGTTACCAAAACCATCGGCAACGGGATTTCACACGTTACTGCTGTCGTGGTGTAATGGTGAGCGCACTGGGCTAGGCCAATGTGTGAACATCGTCTTTCGCTCGTGCGCCGTGTGGCAGCCGGACCCCAACATTCCAGCATGCCCCACGTGTCAAACCCAGTGGTATGGTATTCATCGAATTTGTTCTTTTTATTTTTACATGTGTAATGCCCACAGTTTCCGTTCCCTTTCAAAGACGGAATGACTCGGAGGCAAAGGGAACCACAGGACATGCGGGAAGGCAGCCAGAACCGTAAGACAAAATTGCCCAAGTTCTGTGGTCCTATATTTGGGAGTGTTGCCAACACCAAAAATGAATGTTTTCTACATCGCACATACGGGCGCGTATAGGACAATCAATGGTGTAATGGTTTCGACACTGGAATTGCAATCCAGAGGTCGCCAGTTTGATTTCCTGGCGTGGCAATTAAGTTTCTACAAATCCCCGGCACCTCTGTCCATCCAGCGATAAAAATGGGTGTACGTAATAGCAGATCACACGTGGTGGGCTAATGTGCGGATACGCATACATCTTCCAAGATTCTGGCCATCATGGAAGAATAGGCCAAATACCCTCTAGAGAGGGGATCTCTTAAGCTCCTGTTAGTGGAGGCCCTTATGCCAGCAATGGCATGAGCAAAGAGTTTATGGGTGTTTGGCTACCTGTCTATAATATCAGGACAGCCAGTGGCATTCAATCAACAGACGGCAACTTTTGATGAGACTCGTGAAGCTTAAACTGACAGAGGCAACCGGGGAACATGAATCAGTGACATCAGGTCACATTGGCCAATTGGTTCGATGCCATTTCCTTGAACCCTCTTATTTAAATAAATAAAAGTTGCTGAGCTCAGGCCCAAAGACCAATTACATAGAGCAGTTAGCAGCAGGAAGTACGAGAATTAATATAATTTAGTATATTAAATTATAACCCTTTGTTAAGTCACTGCTGAATAAGGCCTCTTCCATGCCGTGTTGTTTGTGGTGGGCGTTTGACTTTGACCATACTTCACCATGCTCGTCAGTGCAGGCTGGTGAACCGGCTCAGATACCGTTCGCCGCTGACGTTAGCCATGGTCAAACTCCGGTCACTCGGAACGTGCAATTTGCACTCACCGCTGCACGACCCCTCCACCCTTGCGGTTATATTGCAGCGAAAAATGTTTCTTTAATTGAGCAACTTGGGGGAAAAAATAATGACAGGAGGGAGCTTCAAGGTAAACCAGTGCGAGAAAATATGATCAAATAAATATGTTGCGTGCTTTACATTGGCGCAGCTATCAAGGTCGAGGTGTAAAGTTCACGACGACAACGACTCTGGTGGCGGCCATGACGCTGCTGAGAAAGTGGTGAGGATAAATCGGTGAATGTCGAGGAATCTTCCACACTGTGGCTGCGTGCAACGGCCTCGCCCTCACCTGGGCAGAGTGGCCAGGTAGTCGGGCGGCTCCACGTCCTTCTGGCACTCGACGATGTAGCGGCGGAACGGGAAGTCGACCTCCTCGGCCTCCTGCAGGCCCTCCAGCACGTGGCGGTACGCCTCGAAGTATGCCGTCGTCTCCACCATGAGGAAGACGTCCGACGGCTTGACGTCGGGCAGCTCCCGCCGGCTCTCCTTGCTGAAGCAGAGGCTCACGAGGCCCTGGCGGAGGTCCTCGCAGCCGCGGTTGGCCACCGACGCGAAGAGCATGCTGTCGAAGTTGTCGCGCGAGAGGCACACGAGCGAGCCGAACAGCAGCCTCTTGGAGTTGTCCCAGCGCACGGAGCGCAGCGGGCGCACGTCGAAGCTCACGTTGTGGATGATGCCCACCGAAGAGCAGGACGGCGACACGAGCCGCACGTCGTGGTACACGCGGATGTCGTCGTAGCGACGCCGCCGCTGCCGCTGCTGCTGCTGCTCGTGCCCCGCGACGCTCAGCAGCTCCGCGATGCCCTCGCGCAGGGGCCTCAGGAAGTCCTCGCGCAGCAGCCGGAACTGCGTGTCGAGGTACGTGGCCACGTCCGGGTAGCCGCCGCGGACCACGTTGGCGCGGATGAACGGCTCGGCCTTCTCGTGAATATCGGCGTACGTCGGGTAGATGGACAGCGTGTGGAAGTCCTCCGGCGGGCGCGACGACGGGTCGCCCCTGAGCGCCGCGGCATCCGACCGGAGGTTGCCCTCGCGCTTCTTGTTGAGCAGGAAGTCTGTGAGCTTCTTCAGCTCCTCGTAAGCCTTCTCGGCTTTGGCGTCGAGGGCGACGCCGCAGAGCTTCAGGTAGTTGACGCTGCCCTCCACGGCGCTCAGCAGCAGGGACACGTCCGCAATCGCGCTGGCCGGGAACGTGCCGATGATGGTGGAGAGGAGCGCCAGGATGTCCGCGATCTGCGCCGAGAGCTTGCCCAGCTTCTCCGGAGCGTTCTCGAGCTTCATTTGCACCACAAAGAACGGCAGCACCCTGCGGAAGAAGGGCGACTCTTTGACGGTGGACAGCATGTGCTGCAGGCTCTTGCGGTTGCCCTGGCAGACGCATGCCTTGGCCAGCACCTGCACGAGCAGCACCAGCACGTCCCTCTGCATCTCCATCTTCTGGAGGAGCGGACGCAGCCCGCAGATTGGAGACGCCAGGCGCATCACGATCTCCGACGGCTCCTTCTCCAGGAGGTCCCACAGGGCCCGCGTGCCCATCGCCCGCTCCTGGAAAGTCCTGGGCCCCCTGTCGTTGATGTCGCGCGGGGACCCCCCCCACGTTCTCCCGCCGCCACCGCCGCCGCCGCCGCCCCCGCCATCGCCGTCATCCTGCCACCTGGGGCCTCTCTGTGGGGCCTTCCCGGACGTCCCTCTGCCGAGGGCCTCGAGCGACAAATCCCTGTCTTCCCGGCTGCTGCTGCTGTTGTAGCGACCTGGCCCATCCCCGCGCCGCCTCCGGGTGTGGTCGGGACACGTGTTGTTGCGGGAGAGGCACGGCCACTCGTCGGTGGTCGCGAGCGTCCCGGTCTTCCCGCTGTCCCCGGGCCACCATCTCCTCTGTGCCGGTGGCTGCGTCACGAAGGGCTTCTCCGGGCACCCGCGCTCCAGCCCCACGTTCGTTTGGTCCTCTCCCCACAGGGAGCACTGGGAGGGCCACGCGGACGACTTATCTGGGAAACGTAAAGAGGGATAAGAAAACAGAAGCATGGCAACTGTGCTGTGGTCTCTTTTTACATACGCAGCTGGCTCTGACATTACTGTTCTGAGTTTTTTTTTCTCGCATATTGACATAAAACAGTACTTGCTGATATAAAAATAGAGGAATGGGGAGAATAAATCCTAAAAAAAATATCAGCTTAGGAATCAGTCAGAGCCGCCTCCTCCTCATCCCTCCTCTCTCCCAACTCCTGCTCCTCGCTTGCAAGGACTCCCTACATCTGCCATTGTCATCGGGCCCCTCCCGTGCCACCTGCCTGGGTTATCCCATGATCGACATTATGTTGAGGTAGTCGCTGTCCTGGGAAATCTGTAATGTCTTCCTGGGACATTAAGTTTTTTGTCCTTTCCCCCGCACCTCCGATCAGTGTGGTTGGCTACGTAAGTTCAACATACGTACACACATTAACAGTCACCTGTTTTTGTCGGTTTTGAAATAATACACTGCTCAAGACAACACATTTACATGTAGTTCTCACCCCCTCCTCTGGTATCGTTATCAATTCTTCTCCCCGCGATGTCCCATTTTTTGTTCGTTTGTACCTCTAGAGGCGGCCACCCTTGCCCTCCGTGGTGTACGTACCGCTCACGTCGGTTGCAATGGGGGACGACGTGGGTGGCACCCACCCCCTGCCCCGACCCTGCCCGCCCCTGTGGCCCCGGCCGCCCCCCCGAGCCCGGCCACCACCCCTCCAGGGCCGGGTCGGTCCTTGCCAGGCCATCTTGGGCCCCCTGGGCCCTGCAAGTCAGAGAGAAAGAGACATAAACAAACATTGTTTAGATGCATAACACTTCACAAGCACAGAGCAAAGCTATGTATAGGAGACTGCCCCAATATGGTAGGCGTGTTTTTTGTAGAGAAAGTGGATTTGTCCCTGGGAATTCACTGGGAAATCAGCTATCGCGCAGCATTTGCGTGGTTAGTTTGTTTTTTTCTCTTGTACTTTTCCTCTGCTTCGCATGAGGGAAGGTGTTTATAATCCGCTCACACCACCCAGGCACCGGTGTTTGTGATCGGGGGTGGTTATGCAACACCGCGGTGTGTTTCCAATATTGTCGATTGTATGTGGATTCATCTTCTTGGTTCTTTCGGTAAAATCACGTAGAATGGAAATAAAATAATAAAAATAAAACGTAATAAAATAAAATTCTCACGACGTTTCGGCCACAATCACAACACAAGTAGCCTACTAAAATTCTCACGACGTTTTGGCCACAACACAAGTAGCCTACTTGTGTTGTGGCCGAAACGTCGTGAGAAATTGATTTTATTATGTATGTGGATTGTGAATGCTGACAATTTGGCCACGATTGGTAATGGTACTTTCTTTTAATTTGCCAGTCCATAATAACATGGGTAGGAGTTCAATTCAGAAAAACCGGCACTGCAAACACCCCTATAAAAATGGTACCTTCCAGTACTCCGCCACTCAACCACAGCAGCCACAATCATGGGCTGATCATCATGGAAAATGCCACCGATTGTTGGGGTGTTTTGGGAAATTACTTAAATTGGGGAAGGGATCATTCCATTTGAACTGGACTAGAGGACGGTCCACACCTCATCAATTCTGGTTATTATTTTTCAAGAACATTTGAGATAAGTACTTGTGAAATTTTAACACTAAACCAACATTACGGTTCCTCGCTAAACATTTTGGGCAAGATATGGCCCTTCACAAATGTGAACCTTTGATCTGGATAAACATCACTTGAGATTAAATTTGGCATTTTTAAAATTGAAATTTTTAAGCCAGAGCCTTGAAAATGTGCATACTGACTAATTGTATCATAAAACAAATCTGTCATGTTAATAAATTATATTACTGTACACATTTATAAGAAAATGATTATTCAATGTTGCCCAATTGTTGTATATTGTTTTCAATTTGAAAAGCATACTAAAAGTTCAACTTTTTCCCATGTTAAATAGGTTACTAAAAATATTTTGTCTTACAGATACCTCATAATTTCAAAAATAAATGCGCTAAAAATGTACCACAGGGAGAGTACAGAAATGCACCTACTATACATTAACGATTTCACATATTTCCGGACTTAACATTAATTACTGTCAAATATATATATAAAAATGTGTTCCTCAATTACACCGTAATATTTCAGAATATCTTGATTATAAAGCACTTAAATTGTGATATTAAAACTGCTACTTTTGTCGCGATTTGTATTTTAGAGGTTGTGGGTCAACTTTTAAGGGCCATATCTCAGGAAATGCAACATTGCAGGACAATGAGGGATGGATGGCCGGTGGGTTGGGGAGGCCTTCGTCCAGCAGTGGATTGACCATGGCTCATGAAGATTTCAGCCAAATATTTCCTTCAGGGACATTTTGGTTCCATTCATATTTCCTCTGTATCTCTGGAATCGTTTATTCAAGAAAATCTCAGATGGTCAGGTTGTGGGACTTCTTTAGCAGTTGGCCGGTTGACGCAGAATGACCCATCGTGGTTTTTCAGATTCCTCTGTCCTCCTAAAATTACCCAACATAAACCCATTACAACTGGTTGTTCCGTCTGAATACCACACGTAAGGTGGGTGTGCTGCATTTCAATCAGACCATTCCAAAAGCACAATGTGAGCAGTGTTGCCGACTGCCATTTTGCCCCGCGTGTGTTTTTATTTTCCAACGCCCACCCCTGCAGGCGTACTGGGGGGCGGTCACCACGATAAGCAACCCAGACCAATGACGCAAGTTCAATCCCAGCCCCAAGCCAACATTTCCAACAATTTCATTTCCCTCCTCCCACTCGTGTGGACAAGGAAGCAGGTGCCTATGACCTCGAACCAGTTTTGCCTCAAAACAAGTGACCATGTGTGTTCCATTTGCCACTAATGTGTGTGAGTGCTCAATGTGACGTTTTAAAAATAATTTTACCGTGCAGGCCGTCTGCCTTTTACGTAAGTTGACGAATGGCGACTTCCATCCCCGAAAGGAGTGCGGAACCAGTTTCTTTACGTCTAGGAGAGCACCATTTATTATTGTGTCATGTTCTTTGCTTGCAACAGCCATTGGCAGTGTGTCAGGAAAACACAATGTTCTGATAACACAAAATGATTTCGTCATCAGGTCAAGACGACAGCCTCACTCCCACCCCCGGTCTTCACAGCCGTGGGTGCTGCAGGATCTTCCCCAGTTTTTTTTGTAAAACACCGAGTGGCGATGTAGGGGGAATACAAACATCCGTCAACTCGGTGTGGAAAAAAAAAACACATTTTTCGTGAATTTACACGGAAACCACCTTTAAAACCTTTGTGTATTTCAGTTTGTATTGCAACACAGAATTTTGCCGAGAGGCTTTTCAATCTGTAGACCGAATCATACCAAAGTCTGGCCAGACGGGCTTAAGAATAATTGCATACGTTTAGAAAATCCTGATGACCTTTGCATCATGTCCTGTATGCACCGTTGTATGATATTAACTCTCCACTGGGTAGACGCTGGAGAATCTTGGGTTGTTAGGGATTGGATGCCTCATGGTGCCCAAGTGATGGATATGCTCATGCTGTGAGTGGTACAAACATCCCATCTGTCTGCTACACTATGTGGCGTTGTCTAGTAACTTGTGTGTAACGTTTAGCGCATTGCGCTAACCGGCGACCCGAGTTCGATTCCCCGCTCACGGCCAATACCAGTAATGATTATATGAACCAGTCTCGGGCCTCCCTAAGGTCAACTCGGCATTGAATGAGTACCTATTGCGATTTTTAAACATGGCCACGAGGGAGACAACGGCAGCCGGGCGCGGTGTTAACCAACCACTTCCTCGTGTGCCTTGCGGGCCTTCAAAGGTGTTCGCTAACAGCACTTTCCCTGACAGTCTGTTATGTCTATATGCGTAATCTTTGGCCATGGTTTTGTTGTGTGTTATCCAGCTAATTGCGTGTGGGGGGGGGGGTTCCACGGTCGCACAATGTATTTTGTTTGCTTGACCCAAAAGGTCAAATGGGGGACATGTTCCCTTGAACTGGTAATCCTGCACACGTGATACCAAACACAAGAGCCTCACAGCATTGGGTGAAAGATGTCTGAATTCATTGGCTTTAGAAGCCTCAGATGAGCTGGAGGGTAGAATTTGAAGGGGCCATGAGCATTGAGAGCACGACTGTGGATGAGGAAAAAAGACACAGCTTCGAATTGCTGTGTTCATCCGACTCGCACGTCATAATTGTAGGCGTATTTTATTCAAAGCTCCTGCTATGGCGTAATGTTAGCACACTGGACAGGCAATCCAGTTCAGAGATTTGCCGGTTCAGCTTCCCAGCACGGCAGTTGAAACGATAGTTTCCTGGATCTCTCCGCCTCTGTCCGTCCAGCAGTATACGTGGGCAACCAGTCAGTCGGCCGGCAGGTAACGCGTAGCAGCGTAAATGTAGGTAACTCCAACTTCTTCTGAGACATCCAGCCAGCGCGGAGGACTAGCCAAAAACACTCTCTCGTGGAGGGGTTTATCTAGAGCTCCCGTCATTGTCGTAAGGAACTGCGGAGCTGCGCCTTTCGCTTTACCTTCATGATAAGTTGAAGCTTCCTTATCTTGATAGCCACATTGCCAGGGTGACGCAAATGATTCTGACCACCGAACCTCTGACTACTGCACCACACATCTCTTGACCCCCAATTCCGTACCCTACGTTTGTCCAGAGGCCACTCTCAAAACCCCCGGGTTGCCACGGGAATGCAGGTGGAGGTCGCGAGAGATGAGGAACTGGGAATTGAGTCTGTGCCGCGGTCCACTGTGGAGTGAAATTCAACCAGGAATGTGCGTGAGAGAGTCGGCTACGGATTTTAAATTAATTATTTTATCGAGAAGCTCTCTTCTGAGATCACTTTTGAGTGATGTTTGACGCCCTTTACTTTGATATACTTTGTTTAATCAGCCATGCAAATGTACTACTTGCAAAGAGTTTTAAAACAAAAAGTAAATCTATCTGTTGTTTTTTTCCGATTTTATATTTTATTTCATACCTGCAGAAAATATCGAATGCACCTTTTATCGACTTGTTGTGACACGAACTTAAGCCCAATTTATATATATCTTTATTATTCAAAACTTTAACAAACTGGTTCGCCCAGCTTGTATATTTCCATGATTTTAGCAAGAGGGGGTTGTGCCTTTGACCCAGGAAGTATTTTGCCAAACCGGTTTTTCATTTAAAAAGTGGAAAAAAGCCATTTTGCACAATGCATGGATGGGTGGGTGTGATGCACACACACGTGTATAAAAAAATAACCCTGTATTTGACCGAGTGTACATGACTAGTGAACCGTGATAGTGTAGTTGTGTCAGGCTTTTAAGGACACAATTATGCATGTATAAGCTTGTGTATGATAGACGCTTGCTAACAGCACTTGTCCCTACCAAAAACAGTAGGTTTACGTCTAAATGTATAGGCTTTTCACTTTACCTGCATATAGTGTGTGTGTATGTAGATCAGCAGCAGCACATGCTGTGATGACTTCAAAGCAGAATGCTGAACAAGTCATTAAAGGTGGGGGGGGGGTGGGAAAACAGATCTTAACACCACACTGAAAGTACTACAGCACGGTATGTGTTTGTACGTAACAAAAATAACCCATAACGTAAATCAGCTGGCGCATTGTCATGCCACTGCTGGATGCTGTGTCACTCAAGGGGGTTGTGTGACCATATAACGCAAGTTGGTGAAGTGGGACACTCAGGACCCCTTTAGATGCCATGCACCACTGATGTTAGCTGTGGC